ATACCAGCAGCAGTTGGCTGGCATGGCAACGTATTCTGTTGCGTAATTTGGAATTTGAGCAACACACCCACTGGCACTGGGGCCATTTGAACGGCAACACGAAAGCTTGATTCACACTGAACCACCATGTTGTAGGTGTCCATGCATGTCAACATTACACTACATGCACTGTGAAACCGTTTTCATAATCCGAAGTCACGTGGCATGTCCTGACCGCGTTAATGCCCTACCCACCAGCACACGATCCTTGCATACACGTACCCTTGCCTTCTTTTTCGTCCGCCAGGGAAGTGGTTGGTTGTTGGTGAATGATGTGAAGGCATGTCTGCAGTGGAGTGGAGTTTCTGCCTCTCCATATACATGTATTATATTAGACTGAAGGATCAATTTTGATGTTATAATGTGGTCGTGTTCCCACGAAGTTCCCGTCTATTTTTGGCCATCCCCTGGCTGCACATTGCGCGGGTAACTGAACACATCTCAACAGTGTCAACGTTAAGTCATCGTTTTCCGTCGGGCGGGCTCAGTAACATCGGTATGTATGCCCTGGGGAGACTTCTCGACAGCTCGCCTCGACCATGGTACACAAGGTACGCAGAACATGGAAATAACTGTTGCTGATTACTAGGTTTCAAGGGATAGTTGTTTCGCGTAATGTCGGGCAATGCCGAAGAATTCGCCCAGTGACAGGTAACATGTGCCGATTCGATGATTTCTATGATAGTGTAGAACGATGTGATAGTGTAGAACCAACGCAAATGGCTAACAGTCACCTGGAGTGGTGATTTATGGCAGGGGGAATTTGCAACCTCTCTCACTCACTAGTAATAGGGGTCGCGATTCGATAATGCATTACACTTTCTTCGTCACGCTAGCAGAGCAAAAAAATTAATGGTAATCGAACAACAGCAGAGTACACGGATGCGGCTTTACTCTTGCAGCTCAAAGCTCATCTCAACTAGGATCGCGCGATGTCGTTGTGCCACTTCACCGCAGTGCTCGCCACCGCAGCGCTGTCGAGTTGAAGGAAAACTAATCGATTGCTGTAACGATTGCCACCTTTCCGTGTGCGCGTGTACGTACCACTGTACCGTGTCAAACACCCAGCTACTTCACCAACTGTGAGCGTCATATGGGGGAACTCAACGATCGCTAGATAAAAATAATTACATCCTGAACACAAAGTCACACAAGGATTCTAGGGTGATTCACAGAAGTGTGATCGTCACCCGATAACAGGTCACTACTAGTATGTAGTCTTGCAAACCCATTGACTTGGTGCATGCCAGAAATAGATAGGAGCTTGCACAACAGGGGGACGAACTTATCACGGGAAGTTTGTTTACGCTTCAACAGTCGAATAGCAGTTGGCTTCACTATGACCAGGTCTTGTGTGTGAGCAGACCTTTTGCTCGGTACTACTAGTATTGCTAATGGATGCGCTCGAACAAGTGAACTCTGCGTTTATGCCCAGGTCGTTCTGATATATCACGTAATACCTCTCTCAAACACTTCCTCTGCAGGCAGCACGCAATATGGCGGCACTGAACGAGGTCCATCAAGAGACGAGCCAATCCACGTGCTGCGCATTCCACGTTTGGGCTCCGTTTATAAGACAGCTTCGCACCTGTCTTCATAGCGTGGACACCCCAAGTTGCCTGAAGTTGGCCGCCATCTGGAAAAGCCCGTTTCTTGGCACTGACGAACTGCATGGAGAGGTCGGGTGTACCATGCCAGTTCCTTAGCATACTCTTTTGTTCCTGTTGCTGAGGTCGCAGGCAATCAGTTCACTCCATTAACCGCCAAAGCTTGTTAGAGGAGGAGACAATGAACACAAATCAGAAATGTTTAGTTGGTTAGATAAGTAACAATTAGCTTTCCTTTCCAACGTACATGTATAATATGCTTCACTGGAGAGAGAGTGGCAACATGTCAACTCTACACAGTTGCAGCAATTGCTCTTTGCATACCCTTCCCGTCCTCTACAATCATGTAGACTCTCTACATGCACATGTAGTTCTAAGACGCTATTGGGGAGAAAAAACACAGTGCAGTCCAGCCCGACCATGTTTGGGTCGGGGACTTTCGATAGCGGAAAACCCCTACAGCACATCAAAACTGGATGTTGGTTGGTTGATGGTGATACCAAGACTGGCAAGAGTACAATGATTGTCATGCGCATGTACATTGTAAGTTCCAGGGAGCTTGGTCTGAATCATGTACAACGTACATGGACACGTACATGTACATGTTGATGGCGTACATGTACATATACATGTACGTGTAAATCACGAAGAAGTGTAAAAACAACAGAAACATGATTAACCAGAGGAGTGGTGTGACCAATCGAGAAACCGTTCAACATGCCATTAAGGCACCCATTTTGATAATCCAGGGGATGGCCCACGCCTGATACTGCCGTTGCATTATAAATCATACGTGATGACTGACCAGGGAGCTTGGTATACTCTTGCGTCTTGGTGGTACTCGTACCAGCGCACGTATTGCTATTTACCCCCTTGTTTTTCAATATTTCATGATCCATTTTTCATTGCCTCCCCGGGCTAACTTCCATCTGTCTGTTTCTGGCTAGTATCAGTTCTATCACACTTATCAACTTTCCTTATTGGCGTCACGTCATCGTGGAATAAAACATGTTTTAATACGCACTACATTAGTACCCCCCCCCCCCCACACACACACACATGTACAGACATGTACGTACACACACACACACACACACACACACACACACACACACACACACACACACACACACATACACACACACACACACACTCATTTATACAAAGAATAATAATAATGTATTGTACGTGTACGGTATATTGGATGTTTACGGACGAACTAACCGGAGAAAGAAACTCCATGTGCTTATACTAGTAACCGGAGAATTCATGATTAAAAAAAGGCGACAGGACAAAATCATCTTCACCCCAACCACAGGCTTTCAGCAACGGCCAAACCTTGTGAACACAGGAGGGGGAGGGGGTGCATGTACATGCAGGTAAAAGCGCATTGCATGATGCTTCCTGAAAACAATCTTGAGTCAGCTAGCACTGGGCCTGCAATGCGTGTCCCAGTGAAGTCCCCAGAACTACATTGTACATGTAACATTACACGGCAGAGCAGGTCGCCTAGGCACAAGATCAGTTGTTGCAAGGAGACACTAGTACAATGTTCATTGTACACCATTGTCTGTGCTGTAGACGCCGGCATGGGGCATGCATACTTGCAGAACAATCTGATATTGCTGCCAAATCGTCATGGTAACGACACAACTACACCAGTACACTGACTGTCTAGTATGTCTGAGTATAGTATTGTATTGTATTGTATTTTATTGTATTTATTTTACTTCGGTGGCTCAATAGAACAATGTACTACCACAAAGAGGCGCGAAAAACCGATCATAGGGAGATAAAAAGGAAAAAGAAGGGGCAAACCAGCTATGCCTGGCTTGAGCATAAAGTGCTAGAAGCAGACAAAATATAAACGTAAATAACTGAAGGACTAATGGAAAAGAAAGGTACAAAGTCGATAGAACCAACAACCATGAGTTACACAATATTCAGTGCGGTGTGCAGCACCTCGATCCCTGTAGTAGCACATGCATGTACATGTACATGTACATGTCATATACATGTACAAAGATCATGCTCAAACACCACCACAGCTCATAAAAAGCAACTGATATGCGAATTGTTTGCTCCTTGTAACAAAATATGCTACATTTGGTGCTTCATACTTTTTTGAAGTACTACCTTGAGTCAAAATGACCAAAATGTGGGAAAATATGCGCAAGCATTTTCGGGCCCTCCCTAGTGCAATGTTCTCAAGACAACGAAGTAGTCCAGGCGTCAGCTGCTCGACAAATGTCCAGTCGTCAGAAAAGCTTTATTGTGTTCGAGACGAAGGGGTCCAGCACTAGTTCTAGTCCCTGGCGACACGACTTGGAGATGGCTCCTACTTGCACTGAGATCGAAGAAAACACTTCTCGATCGGGACAAATGCTGAAATCATGCAAGCCCTGGTAACTGTTGCTTAGCCGCGGTACTCCGTGTAGATATACATGTAGTTGTCAGAACACTCCCTGAAATCCTCGCACGATTGTGCTGTGTTATAAAGTTTTGCACCGGACCAGAGCTCGTAAACATGCCGGCCTAGCTCCAGGCTAGTAATTAATTTAGTTGTGACTCTGGCGTGGAACACGTGCTACGCGGATTGTGTAACGAATTCGACAACTTGTCCACCTGCATGCGCGATGCGACATCAAACCTCTCCAAGAGACGGGATGATCTTACATCTTGGAACCTGTGACTGAGTTCACGGGGAGTCATAAAGCCTCCACTGCTCACACTAGCAGTAGCATCATGTGAGGACTCGGGCAATGCAGCATAATAAAATAATTGTAGAGAAGATGGTGATAAAACACACCTGGTGAAAACTCCGCAGACTTGCACTTGCAGCACGGGCCACGGGACCATGTTGATCTGTCAGGGTTCAAGAGTTCATTTTGATACTGACTACCATCGCGCATCGTAGCCCTAGCCCGGCGTACAAAAGCCTAGTAAATTTTACTAGCAGTACCGGTAGTATAGGGGGTAAAATGGCGTAGATCTACATACGCGAGAGGGAGCGTAATCTACAGTCTTGATCTTGTAAAGTCGTCAAGCGTTTGCCTTAGCACCTGCATAAATCGAATGTGAAATTGGCAATTTTTGATAAATCTCGGACTTCCGTTGAACAGATCTTCCCACATGGCGACCAGTTACATAGATTACCGATGGGCATGCACGTGCACGACGTTTTCAAGTGTTGATGGTGCTGTGTCCGCTGCTGCGAGCTTGGCCGGTGCGCAAATCAAGAGACCTCCTTCTACAGTTCCAGGATCCTCTGCGCATAGTAAACAATGCAAGGCTGCTGCAGCAATACGCTGGCTTCAAGTTCAGCTATTTCAGGGATGCGTCTTCGATGGACGTCGGGTGAAATGCTTCGCGGAGTAGCTACATGTAGCGCTAGGCGATGGTACGATACGTATATGCTACGTAAGACACGCATGGAAATCACAGTTTACTGGAGCGGCGAGAAACCAGCGCAGCAAACAACCCCATGATGCTGCAGCTCAGTATCATGGGCCTGATCGCATCGACGAATTTCTAGCGCAGCTTGTCGCTGGTGCTAACAATTGTTATCGATCTCGGCACTATGTTTCACTGCCTGGCCCAGCTTTGAGATGTCGAGAGAACAAGTCAACCCATCGTAATGAAAAGGTTTATCTACTTCCTCTCGCCGACTGGGGAGCTCAGTTGGCGAAAGGCTCTCCTCCTGGGTCCAGATAACAGCTCCGTAGTCCGAAGACTAAGCCAACCCTAGCGAGGCTGCCGACTGCAATGTGGCTGCTCAGACGTCAAGGATATGGATCGCCAGGGGCTGGGGCAGTGTGTCTCTGCTTGACACTGGCTGTGCTGTACCACTATGCTCTGCCCGCAGAATGTGCAAGGTAAGACTATGGCCCGCTTGAACTCTTCTTGATCCTCATACATGTAGGACCAGGGGTTCAGATTGAGCCAAATACATCAGTTCCACTGTACACTGTTACCCACGTCCTTTCCAACAAGCACAGGACATTGTCAGTAGCTGAGAGGCAGTCATCTCGCCTCAGCATTTACTCCATTGCTCTGGACAAAGTAAAACTAAAGTTCTTCCTCATAATAATAATGATCCTGAGGGAACCACCGATGGCCGTTTCCAACCGTAAAATTGCAGCGGCAGATGCAACGCCTAGCGGCTGGAGCAAAACTGCCTTGTGAAGAATTGGCCAACCTATCCGTAACTAAACCCTTTAGAGTCCAATCCGATTTCGTTGATTTTGACCCGACACGAAAAACGCTTATCTTTGTCCTCACCCTTGCTGCCATTGCGTACCTGAGAGAGAGAAAGAGAGTGTGGGTTTGTGTGTGTGTGTGCGTGTGTGTGTATGTGTGTGTGTGTGTGTGTGTGCGTGTGTGTGTGTGTGTGTGTGTGCGCGTGTGTGTGTGTGTGTGTGTGTGAGAGAGAGAGAGAGAGAGAGAGAGAGAGAGAGAGAGAGAGAGAGAGAGAGAGAGAGAGAGAGAGAGAGAGAGAGAGAGAGAGAGAGAGAGAGAGAGAGAGAGAGAGAGAGAGAGAGAGAGAGAGAGAGAGAGAGAGAGAGAGAGAGAGAGAGAGAAAGGGTACATGTGTAATTTTGTGTATGTGCATGCGTTTGTGTTTTTGTATGTATGTGTATGTATGTGTACTACATATGTGTGTATGTGTGTGTGTGTGTGTGTGTGTGTGTGTGTGTGTGTGTGTGTGTGTGTGTGTGTGAGAGAGAGAGAGAGAGAGAGAGAGAGAGAGAGAGAGAGAGAGAGAGAGAGAGAGAGAGAGAGAGAGAGAGAGAGAGAGAGAGAGAGAGAGAGAGAGATAGTGTACATGTGTGATTTTGTGTATGTGCATGCGTTTGTGTGTTTGTATGTATGTGTATGTATGTGTACTACATATGCTTGTGTATGTGTGTGTGTGTGTGTGTGTGTGTGTGTGTGTGTGTGTGTGTGTGTGTGTGTGTGTGTGTGTGTGTGTGTGTGTGTGTGTGTGTGTGTGTGTGTGTGTGTGTGTGTGTGTGTGTGTGTGTTTGCGTGAGTATGTGTGTGTGTGTGTGTGTGTGTGTGTGTGTGTGTGTGTGTGTGTGTGTGTGTGTGTGTGTGTGTGTGTGTGTTTGCAAAGCCCAACAAGCACGCATGATTGCATTTGCCAAGACTGAGAACAGGATCAAGCAGCTGGTACAGACCGACCAAGAATCGAGCTTTGACATTCTGTGATATTGGGGTAGAGTGAGAATTCGGGTAGTGTGAAACCTTTCCAGGACATGCAGCACTCCATCCAGATGCAGTCTCACGAAGGAAAAAAAACTCGTCAGTAATCCCTGGGGATGCTCAGTGCTGAAGGACATGCCCCAGATTAACCCTAGTAAGCTGCAGTAGATTGGGTGTGGGCTGTACAACAATGTACTGAGAGTACACTCCACATTGGCCACCATTAGAAACGATGCCTGCAGCTGATCCTAGTGCTTCAAGTAGGGGCAAATGGGCTGCAGTCTACTGGAGAACGCATTACAATCACTCCTCTGCCGGACATATACAATTTAGCAGAGGCTTTTTGACCAGTAATTGGTTTTTAGTGACTGTTGAACACTTGTCAATACACAATGCAGTTGCTTGTTCCCATATTAGTATGCCCTCGTTTCCTGATTGCTAGCCCTACTTGGCACTGTCAGGATGTGGGGGGAGGACTGCGGGTGTGTGGGGAGCACTAGAGAGAGAAGAAAACCTGGACTGCATGCCAAGCTTCAATACAATCCTACTTGGGCTGATGGGATTTGTAGCCAATACTTAGCTATGATAATGCAATCCCATAGCAGTTGGTGTTTGGAATCCTGCAGTACAACTGTGGGTTAAGGAGCATGTCCATGTGCACCATTGGACCAATTGTGAATGCCATCATTGACAGGGGGTGTGACCCTCACAGATCGCCTTTCTGGCACTAGCGAGTTAAGACGTCAGATGATTCAGTTCCTGTAGCTTTGGGAGATCAGTAGATCAGACCCATCACCAAATGTGCCCCCTCCCCGCCAGCACCAGAACCACCACCAGCAGCACCACCACAATCGGCACAATCATCGCCACGGATACAGTCATTAGTCGGGTGGATGTTACTGTCCACAGATTATGTCACGAGTATGTGCAACTCTAATCGAATAAGTTTGGACCAAATTCCCATGTGTACCTGTGTGCCAGTAAGCTAGGTGTTTGAGCACCGACCACAGTCTCCCTGGTGCAGTCTCACCAATGCCTCCACTCTCTGGTACAGTTCACTAGACTAGGTCCCGCACATGGGTGCGTCCGCTATGACAAACTGCGCAACCCACTCCGACTCTGGGCGGCTTTTGGTCGCCAGCTGTGGTAGCGATCAGAGTAGCTCCGATTGAATGTGTCATCAAAATGGTGACTCTGTTGGGGAAACTCCCAATGTCTGCTGCTGGTAGCCATACACTGAGGGTGGCCTGATGGTGTTCATTCCACTGTTATACCCAGTAAAACCTGCACCTTGTCTATGCATGTCACCCCTAAAGTTCGTAAATGTGCTACTAGCAACCATATGCATGTCCATGTAGATGTATCCGCTATTCAGTTTTGACTATACTGGAAGCCCCTGTAGAGACCGCTTGATCCAACGCTGCATGTGCTGTGATCGGAACTGGGAAATCGTGATCTGACCTGCGGAGAACATTTCAGCTGCGAGTCAAAATCACCCGTAGCACGATGATCGATTGTACACGCAAGGTTGTCACTTGTCAGACCTGCCCTTTTCTTTCGCCGCTGGGCCCTGGAGTTGGAGCCGAAACAGGTTTTAGGCATTCACGTTGAACTGATTTAACACTGCAGCAGCTTAGTGCAGGGGCAAATAAGCCCTGCGGAGCCATCAACCGCTGCACTGGAACTCGTCATGTTGGTTTAGCCTGCCAATTGTCGTTGATGTTAACATAGTGTCAGTCTGGGGATATCTCCACAGCGCTGGCATCAGTATATTAAGCGACTGGACCGATAGTAAACAAACAGTGCACATGTGTTGTTATCATTAGGTCATCAAAAGTTACCACATCAGCCAGCGAGAGCTTGGGTTGGTTGTGGGAGTGAACATAGGAGAGAAGTATTCACGCAAGTAACTGATATCCTTCTTTTCCGAGCTGGTTGATCGGTTATCGGGATAAGTCTCATCACGGTTGGCTGTTGTGTGAGCAGCATTGGGCTACATGCCTGCTCTGCAGCTATCTCACATTTTATTCGTTTTATACAAAAGAGAAAGACCAAGGAACTACAAGTTACGCTATACTGTCCACTAACACCACCAGTCTTGGTCTTTCTCTTTTGTATAAATTAAACCTTGGCTCTCCATCTGAGTTTATTCATTTTTGTTTGTCTTTGCCTCTGGGTGCAGGTATGGCAGTTTCAAGTGCAAGATCGGCCGCGAGGTCGTGTCCAAGGGCGACTTCAACGATCGCACGTTTGCGCCGTTCGTCTCCCCGCAGCACCGACGCGGCAAGGACCAGTGCGGAGGCAAGTACTTTGACGACCTGGACTGCGTGTTTGAGTTCAGTGCACCGGACCGACACTTGGCCTACGTTGAGTTTGTTGCAATCAACCTGGACCGTGAGTGCAACCATGACTTTCTGGACATTGAGACTAAACACCGGGCCAGTATAGTCTGCAAAGCTCACAACAGAAAGCATGTGTACTATGTTTCTGATGATAACGATATCAAACTGAAGTTCAAGACCAACCGGGAGAACAGCTGCCGTGGATTCGCTGCCTTCTTCAGCTCCTTCCCGGAAAGTAGGTGAACGTGTGTGTGTGGGGGGGGGGGGGAGGGGGTGTTTGTGTGTGTGTGTGTTCTTGTGTGTGTGTGGGGGGGGGGGGGTTGTGTGTGTTTGTCTGTCTGTGTGTCATACTTTCTACTCAAAGTAAACATACTTCTTGACCAAGTACAGTGGCGTCGGACACGGTGCGGTCACTACCGTATTTACCGTATTTACCGTACCCCTTTTTACCTCAGGCACCTCATGACTATACACTGATCTGGACTCTAAATTTCGAAAAATTCCGGCTCAGCCATCCCTCCCCCACTAGTTACTTGTACTTCAGATGGCAGACCGTACCACAGAAAATACCTTCCGGTGCCCCTGAATTGGGATACTTCTGGCTATAACATCTCTTGTGTAACCAATGGTGCTAGTGAAGCTTATATAATTATCAGAGATCCACTCTGATGTTGCCGCCCACACTAGTAGCAAGCACTACCTTCACTGGGGAAGGTGGGGGGGGGGGGGGGGGCACCTTTTCCCCACCCATTTACTGAGGTGTGGTGAGCCCATAAGTGGGATAATTTCCAAGTCCAACCTAGATTTTGTGATTTCAGGGGATGCAGGATGTTGAGCGGTTCAATAGACAATGGAGTCATGTTTCCGAGATTCTTTTGCGATCTCTCCTCTCTCCTGAGGAGACCCATGTGAACTGTTTTTGGCAGTGAGAAATTATAAGTACAAATACAAATCGGTCTGTTTGTTTGTATGTATGGTATGTGTCTGTGTGTATATTTCTGATCGACCTGAAACGGTTGACCAAATATGCGGAACTTTGCTTCTGCGTAGATGAAGTAGGAAAAGAAACCGGTGAGTGCCAGGCGAGAAACTGTGTGATTCGCCTGTCTTGTTCTGTGCAGACAAGCGATGGAGGCGTGCACTAACACCACATGATTATCCGACTGTTAACTCCACTCTCTTCACCGATGACTCTCGTACTTCATCGCGAATCCTGGAAACGGATGAGGAAGGAGCGCCTTTGTTCAGGGAGAAGCGCCGTGCCGGCGAGAAGAAGTCGAGAAAGGGCGGCGTTGATGTGGATGATCTGGTGGATGTGGATGTGAGTAATGCACATGTTCAGTCTCATGCTAACGTTATGCTGAGTGAATACTGGCGGCTATGATCCTCCCCCCCCCCCCCCCTCCCACCCTTTCTTCAACCCACATAGCTCCTCCACCATCTCAACCCCCTCTCAACCTTCACCCCCCCCCCCACCCTTTGAAAGGCACAGAATGGTTGAATCCTTAACATGCAACCTCTGGCGCAGCAAACGCCAAGGATTCTGTCACAGGAATTTGAATTAGGGACACATCTTATTTTCAGTCCCTGCGGGGTCCACCACAGCTAAGTGCTTGCAGTGCCTCTTATCTCTTGTAACCTGTGTGTTCTGTTCAATGAGTAGGAGAAGGAAGACTTTGACCCACTTGGGGCATGCCAAAGTGCCTCATGAAATTTGAACTGTTGACTGGGCGTGGGGTGGGGGTGGGGGAGAGGATGGAAGTGGTGACCTACTGATATTCCTAGTGTGTAGCAAACATTTGATAGAATGTTCAAGAATGTTTAAATCAGACCTGATAATCAGGATCAGAAGAATGCAAAAGAGCAGCCAGGTGGGAGAGGGGGGAGGGGGAGGCACCTACATCACTTCATTCACCCATATGGTCTTCTTGATACTTTTCCAATTTGCTTCCGCATCCACTTCCTCGGCCTCTCATTGATACCCAATCCAACTCCATATATGTATGCATGCTGGTAAATGTGTCACAAGGCCTACACACATTGTTTAAGTTAATGTACTACTCATTTCTGCTGTATCATGTATGTCTTCTGCTATGTTGTATTTGCTCAGACAATGATGGAGAGCTTCAGGCGCTCGGAGGCGAAGCATCTAACCAAGTGCCGCGACCAGGTGCGGAAGAGCGTCTGGGAGGACGACTGCTGCAACATCTGCCAGTTCAAGCAGATTGACAACTGCTTCTGTGAGCGACTGGAGAAGAAGCGTGGCCGACGCTCACTGCGATACCCCCGATCCAACGACAAGAAGGACAAAGATGAGAAAGACAAGGACAAGAAAGATAAGAAGCTGAAGAAGTGTGATTGTCGGCGTGACTGAGCCCTGTGTCCTGAACAATTTCAACCGGCCCAGCACAATAGATCATTGGTGTGACATTAATAACATACTGCCTCCACGATCCACAAGCTATGTCAACGCTCTCTGAGCCAAGGTCCTCAGAGCATGTACGACCATGTACATCGTCTTTTCGTGCATTGCAGACTCGTCTGCACTGTGCCGCGAAATGAAGCCAAATGTCGTGCAGCAATGAAGACTACATTTTTTAAACACCTTCTCTGACCCACAGGCAAAAATGTATGACGTTTAAAAGTAGAGGGTGGAAGGTGATCATGGCAGTTTTCTGTATCAGATTGGAATAGAACAGATGTATTGTGGGCAAATCCAATCCTCGACTAGTAATCTGTAGTGCTGGCTTACACTGCTTGTACATGTAGATGTCTGCTCTGCCACACTGACAGGGCACAACACGCCAATCTTTAGCAACACCACGGAATTTTCAATGTTGATGACTACCTTGACACAGTAGCTGCGTAGACATACATCTGTACATGTACGCTGCTATATATTTTTTATACTTTTATGTACGCTGCCATACTTTTACTGCCATACTTTTTTCGTAGCTGCTATACTTTAGAAATTCTGCCCTCCGAGTGCCTGGTGGACGAGTTTGCCGAGATTTTAGTTCCGCTTGACTTGCATTGTAGAACGATAATTCTTGCCTGACTATCTACTACCATGGTCCGTGGCATGTGCAAAAGGCGCCTTTTCTTCTCTTGGGTATTATCTTAGTCGTGTGCGCTGTTTGACGTCAGATGGCATCTCGCAGTCACCAAAACCACACTACTGTAGCTGCATGCTGACTGACAGTTTCATCACCTTCAAAATCTCTGACACAACCGCCACTCATCCCCTATTCTCCTTTCTTTTTTGATTCATTTGTATAATAAAACACGTCCTTTAGATTAGCCACACGGTCTATCAGTCAGACCTCGCATAACCGCGCACATCATTTTTCCACAAACAAATATCCGGATAGGCGAGGGAACCGGATAATCGAACACACATACTGTATGTATGCATGGCATCTGCTGTAAATTGGTAACCAGCGATTTTCTTCCAGATGGCTAGGGATCCGGATAAACGAGGACCGGAAAAGCGAGGTCTGACTGTATTCTTCAAGCATTTCTGCGGGCACACCCTAACGCGTGTGTGGGTATTTTCCTGTTGGATAATTAGCTCATTCGGATTAAAGAATGTAATCTTATGGATCCACGCACAGGGCAGATCGAACACCACCTTTCCGCTTCCGTGGAACGCCACCACCCCACCATCAATCGTCAGATACAGCTCCTAAACACCGGTGGGGGGGGGGGGGGATAGATCACATCCACCAACCAGAGGCCAATGGATGCATGGTTACTATGGCCACCAAAGTATACAGGAACGAAACGAGGTCGACTCTCTAGTTCCCTTACCTCGTACATGTACTACCAAGAATATACTCTTGGTAGTACCCATTGCCCACACGGATTTAACTCAAACTCGAAGTTTTTGATTGCACATCCTGCGTTAGGCAGAGGCACATTTCATGCATTGATAAGACTATTCATGCTCCGCCCATACTGCCATAGTCCTTCTTGATAAGCCAACTAACAACGTTAGTGGTCAGGAGTGTTGTGTTATACATAACAGAGCGATCAAAATTGACACAACCTACCGTCCATACTAGAGCCGCCTCAGCTAGTGCAGAAGCAGTCTAACTCTTGAGAGCATCTTTTTCTTGTGTGCCATTGCACGCCTGGCATGCTTGCTTGGCTGCCTTGTTTCGGATCCAGCGTACATACATGCTACTTTTCACTTGTCGACATGAACATTTTTTACTCTTCACTACCCATTATGCGAAGAAGAGGCTGGTACGACTTCTGCGATACTTCTGTGAATGGCCAACGGTCCTCAGCGCTTGTTCAGCACCTCCATGAGCGACACTGACTCACGCTGCTACTAGTATTTGGTGTTCAGGAGGTGTTTGTCGCGCTGGAACGAAGCATCTCTGTATGTTTGTATCCCTGGTGATGGTTTGGTCTGGGAAACACTACTCGAAGTATAGTATGAGTATGTGTATATAATGTGTATATAATTATAAGTGGTGCTCTTCAGACAACAATCACACATCTTCCTCAGCCTACTCCAGCTCGACTGATGAGGGGCGAATTCCTCGAAACACTGTGTATTGAGCAGGGAGTGGTGTTTTCTTGCAGGTCTGACGAGTGGAAGGTTCGATGGACTTCTCATGTGCTCTGGATGGCAGTCGCGAGTCAGTCAAGTGAGAATTCAAGTCGGGAGGAAAGGCGCGAGCTCCCATGTAGGGAGCAACACACAATTCTTCACTGACCAAGCTGATTTTGTGCACGCATTGCTTGGCTATCTTGATCCACATCCTGCGTATACAAAGGCATGTACCCCCACCTCGCACCTTCCCTTCTTGTCCTATATCTCGCAGAGTCGCCTTTGTAAGTATCATTGGGTCTAGTTCCCGTTTATTGGGCGACATAACCCAATCAGCCAACCTGATCTGGCGCATGCATGCGCGCACCTCTGGTCGGCGTAGTTTAATGGGCTCCACCACCACACTCCATTATTCACCCCAGTGTCTGGAGATATGTGGATTTTGTAGAGAAAAAAAAAGCACGGAGTGAGAGAAATCCCGTGTCTCTTTCTGCTGTACGCGTTTGGAACAGTCTTCCACCTGATGCGAGAAACATCACGTCCCCCCCCCCCCTCCAGTTCAAGGGTGTGTTGCACGCGTATTGTCTTACTGTAGCATGACAGCAACCCCCCTCCCCTGTCTTGAGTATAGTACTAGTAGTATGTAGTAATCCTGATGCTCTGATACATACCGAGGCTAGCTGTGCTCAGTCTCCGGCTAGCTGTATGCTCAGTATACATTCTTGATCTTATCTTCTTCTTCTTTTTTTCTTTCTTTTTTTTCCTTTCTCTTTTACATTTTACTGCCAGACGTCGTCTCCATATAAGGAGGCAGATATGCCTGTTTGTTGTACGACTTTAAATAAATCCAACCAACCAACCAACCAAATCCGACCGCACCGTGCACTCACAGACCATTCCAGTGGCATGAGAACACCTACATTGTAGCTAGCTTGGCCCTGTGTAGTCCCAGCCCAGCCATGCACCGGTGTGGTTTTCACTTGCGCAGGCCGCGCCACTTATTTCTGTCCCGCCGGATTTCATTAAGTGCGAGTGAAATTATGTTTTGGAAATGGAATTGATTGTTGTAATGTGGATGCGTTCGTGCGTACTGTACATCTATTATGCATGAACATGTGGTTGTCTGACAGTCCTGTCAGTTGTCGTTAGCACCAGATTGCTACTGTGCTGCGAACTCCGCTGTGCAAAGTAATCGTGCACGGAACGTGCCTGCATGCGTATTCTGCAGACTTGAAATTCACATGGATACTTTGACACAGGTACTTTGGCACAATCCGATTGCATCAGTCATGATTTACATTTCGGTGTTATGCATCAGGTCCCGCACCATCTGTGAGTATTGCGTAACCTCCAATGACCAACGCTCTGAGGAAGGTCAGTGCACAGTGCATACCAGCTACACACTGATGGTATCGGCTGGGCTAGTTTCCTTCAAACATTACTTTTGCTCTTGGGTTCAATATCCTTTGGTCTACTGGGTTTGCATTCTTTCATTACATATTTTCACCAATGTTTGAAGTGATCTTGAGGCATCTTGCAGCTTCAACCGTAGAGAGTAGTTGGGTGGACACACCCATTCCCACAGCACTGCAAACCGAACCAATTCCTTTTAGATTTACAATGTACTTGGCAAGTACGTACAACGTATAACATGACGATGGCAATTTTGCCGAAACGTTGCACGTAAAAGGAATTAGTTCGGTTTGCAGTGCTGTGGGAATGGGTGTGTCCACCCAACTGCTCTCTACCAATGTTTGTATTGCATTTCCATTCATTGTGTATACACGTACATGTATTAATTTTTGCCCATAAAGGAGGCTTCCTACACTAACGCTCTGAGTAAAGGACCCAAGCCGCCAGTACTATGTAGTTACTTGTACTTGTACTTCATAGTCTTGCGTCGTCGACTATGCCAGGGCATGACGTCATACAATGGTCATGTAGCACGAGCAAAACGGTAGACAGACAGACAGATAGACAGAAAGACAGACAGGCCGACCGGCAGACAGACAGACAGACAGACAGACAGACAGACAGACAGACAGACACACAGACACACAGACACACAGACACACAGACAGACTCAGTGAGACTCAGTGAGACTCGGTGATGCTGGGAGATAGAGAAAGAGACAGGCAGACAGAGAGACTCGGAGACGGAGAGCCAGGGAGAGGAGAGTGCGCCTTTCCATCTCATCACAAAAGGCTTGCAGTGGTTAACTAATTAGCTTGTTGTGGACGTCCCTCATGGACATTAACGTGCCAATTGACGCAGGCTAAGCTCTCCAGTCCACTGTTGTAAAGATGTAATGGGGTGTACATGTACATGTACATGTACAATGTGTGCGTGCTTTTTACTTTGCACGTGCTGCACGTACGCGTATGTGTTCGTGCTAAACATAATTATTATGTACATGATTGTACTATGATGGAGGGGTTTAGGGCAGTGTGACTAGCCCTTGGTGGACAATGCCAGCAGAAAAATTGGCAGAATTTGGTACTTTTCTGGTATGTCTCATGCATGTTTGCTATGTGCATATACCGGTATATGTAGATATGGAGCAGAAATCAAGGAAGTGCTTACCATAAGGTTTCTATGGTTCTTCAATTTCACTGCTTTTCGAGCAGAATCTGCCTTTTGTCGAGCTTTATGCACCAAGGGCCAGCTGAATGTGCACACTTGGAAGTCATAGTGACAGAGAGCAAACACTCTGCTAATCTCGGAACACGTGAGCATTCATGTTGCCGTTTGCCCGGATGATCCCCCAGAAACATGTGCAGGTGTCAGTCACAGGTAAACAGCTGATTAGAGAGTGGCTTCAGGCCAAGAGACTAGGCATTGATGTGTCACCATTGTGACAAACTTACTTTGTTCGATTGCAAGTGGTACATCATCGCAATTTGCTCGCACTGTCCGACACTCTCCTGCGCACATTCCAGCGAATTCTGTGGCCAGCCACAACTGCATGGAATGTTCAAGCGACTCTCGTCCCGCGACTTCCAGTTCACCAGTCGGTTTTCCTACAGACTCCTATCCTTATCTTCTCAGCGTCCTGGATTCGATCCAATCGTCCATGGTTGACGGCTGAAGCTAGTGTTAGTCGAAAGTGCCCGACTCCTGTGCCTGCGCCCTGTATTATGATCAACATGTCAAGTTAATCATCTCACATGCAGTGCTTTTGCTAGTCTCACCACCACCACCAGCACCAACACATCCACCACCACGCTTGCTCCGATTGCCCGGATATAATTATTAGTTCGTAGTTAGGAAAAGGACCAAGGAACTACAAGTTACGCTATAATGTCCACTAACACCACCAGTTACTTGACAATCAGCTCATGCGATAATATTGCACAAAACTGACCGAAGGTACTGACGTTCTGCAATTAACTGGCTGTCAGCTAGCTCTAGCACATCATTCTTGGGTGCACACTCCAAGGCAACAGCCTTCCAACTGTCTAATGCAATGGTCATGCCAGTATCGTCATCGACATGCATGTACATCCGCCAACGTCCTTCACAGCTGAGACTTTCAGCTTGTGCTTGTCTTGGTTGCACTCACCTCCCCTCCTATGTTATCCTGTAACTTTTTTGTTGTTGGAGTGTGCACCCAAGATGTGCTAGAGCTGATAGCCAGTTAGATGTAGAACGTCAGTACCTTCGGTCACTTTTGTGCCATTTTATCATAGGACCTGATTTTCAAGCAACTGGTGGTGTTAGTGGACATATTATAGCGTAACTTGTAGTTCCGTGGTCCTTTTCTTTACTATAAAAAATTAATCCTTGGCTCTCCATCCGAGTCTATTTCAATGAACTTTCTTTCGCTGCCGGTGTACGTGTGAGCCACGCTTACCAGTAGTCAGTAGAATCTGAATGGTCCTGCTTCAACACCATACACAAACATGTACACATTCACATACATGTACACATACACATACACATACACGCACATGTAGCGGGTAGGCAGTAAACACTACGGGTACCCCGCAAGGAGACCATCGGTCTGTGGGGACTGCCCGAGAGAAATATGAATACATACATACATGTACATATTACAGTACAAATTGTGTTGTTACTATTAAAAGTACTTGCGTTCGGAATTGTGTGTGGTGTGTTTCCATGGTGATCAATGTTACCCAGCAACAATAAAGCCATCATTTCATACACCCGGTTACAGTGCTAGCTACTACCTATCACTAGCTAGTGTGTGGTAGTATGTTTATTTTACGTTGCTGGGAGTGGCAAAGGGTTTCGAGAAGGAAATGCAAATCCATGGGGTGGACAGTTGCTGCACCCGAATTACATTGGATTGCCAGCTCTTAGTGGTGTTGTGTTTTTCAAGTATTCTGTAAGGCTACTTGTTATACCAACATAATGATGCCACTCAGTGTCAGCATGCGATCAGGTTTCAGATCTGCTTAGGGCCCTCCAGCGGCGTCAGGAATAGCGTGGCCAGATGCCAGGGACAGTGGTCTTTCCGTGCCGTCTGGCATAATCTGGAACACGTTGTCCTTCTCTTTATTACAGTTACTAACCTGCTCTCTGTTGTTCTGTTGTTCTAGTGTTTCCAGTGCTCGGTCCGCCCAACTCTCTTGCCAACCTCTTGGAACTACAAATTTGCCACTTGGGGAGGCTTCACAATTGGGAACGCTGTACACGTTTCAGACGGACAACACCGGGAATCGCTGTATGCCCACAACCACTTTTCATAGTACCTGCTCACAAGTCCTGTCCGATTCTGATTCAGTTAACAAAAAATTACAGTTTTCTTAGAGAGTTCCCTACATACATGCAATCGGTATGGTCAGGGTCGTTCTCTAAACCAAGTGTAGTGTGATACCTGTTTAAGATGACTGCTCAGGCAGGCGGCCCCTTCAAGACGTGGTCCTTGTTACCAGATGGTCCCCTTGTCCAGGGTCATTTTACTGGAAGTGTCATCCCTGGCCTTGGTCCTGGGTGCAATAGTCTTCTAAGGCAGGTAGTCGACCGGCTTATCGAAGTGGTCGCCTTGACGGGTTTACTGTTCAGATGTGGAGCTGATTTAACACATGCTTTATCGTTCATTCGACTTCATTGTGATCGGTTTGGCCAGTAGCTCTGACTCTGAGCTCCCCTGACGAGACCTGACAAGGTCGACACTGCTAGCTGTCGGGACTGAGTGGTGTGTGTCTGTTTGTCTTGCGATGCGGAAAATGAGAGGACGTATGGACAGTGGGTTAACATTGGTTTTCGTCTCGATGATGCGAGCATCGGGTTGCTCAATACGAACGGCGATCGCGTGCGGAACCCCACAGCTGAGCTATGCATTCACTCGCCTGCGCCTGACCAGTCCATTGTGCCCGGATCAGGTTGGAGTCACGCGGGCCGGGTCTCCACGTTTACCGCCCTCATGCCGCATTGTGTCCGCGACACCTCCACTCACAACGATGCAGCAGCACTACGCTACTGAACCCGAGGCCAGCCAGCCAAACGTGATTGCAAGCACGTATCAGAGATCACTGGGGGAGCGGCCATGGGGTATGATTTGTATAAGGCGGAAGAGGCGCAAACGACATAGATTACAATAATTTATGGTAAACAAGGTCACGATCCCGGGGCTCAACTGGTTCACATTGTACATGTATCTGTACACGAGCACGTAAAAGAAGTATACAGGCTCAAACATGTACTGTAAAAATGGATGTTCGGTCGAATGTACAACGGCTATAACGTATTTTCTACTTCAAGTAGAAACATTGGAGAATGAGAGCATTGGACCCGGGAATCCTATCTACGTCGTATGCTTTCCCAATCACCAGTCTTCGCCTAAAACGTCGAAGAAGTACGTTATAGAAGAGTTTACTGGGGCACGTTCCTGAGCGATTCTTATCGCAACCTTGCGCATTAGCAGCAGCGTCCTTGATCTCGTCAAGTCTACATCGACCATTACAAGATCAAATCCAGTTTGCAGAAGTGTTATCTTACACAATCAAAACAGAATTTGATCTTGGAATGCACCGCCCAAAGCATCCTGTTGTGGCAATCCGACTCGCAGCAGCCCCCGCCGCGTTGTGCGGTGAAGGCAGATACTGTACTGGTCAGAGCAAGTCCATGGTGAGTGTCTGGGCATGATGTAGTGTACCAATGAAGGCAACTGAGATCCGACCTCGCTCAATAACCAGCCCTAGCCCCCGTGCCTAGGCGTTCCTAGCACCGTGATAAGTGGTCTGCAATAATGTTGCCCTGTTTCATAGAGGCTGTTGGATTTCACTTACATAACACCATGACTAATGTATTGTTCATTGCTATCAGGTTCGGCCTCATTCTCTCTGTGCTGCGCTAATGACTCCACAAAGGACGAAAGAGTTCTGTCCGCAGATTGAGTAACACCATCACTGTATGATATGCATAGGTGTTCCTACAATGCCACTGCCGTCTTTACCCTGTGGCTGTGTGTCGCTAGTCAGCCCACTCCAGCACTGCCTACGCCACCAGCCGCGATGCACCAGCACAATGCTAAATAAAATACAATGTTTCATGCACGCACAATGCAACAGGATTTTTAGAGATCTCTGTTAATCCAGCACCTTTCCTGATCCAGCAGAGTTTATGTGTTCACACAACTTGTGTCTGTTTTGATGTTCCAATAATTATGAGATCGGTTTACAAAATCTTGACATTCTTCGGACATGCACCAAGTTGAGGGAATGGAAAAGGGAAAAAAGAAAATGAAAAAAGGGAAATTATAGGGACAGGTATCAATTCAAACGCACCGTCAGGCATATCCTTGAACACAGCAATCTGACGATCTGTCATGTTCAATTTTTTAAAGCAAGGGACAACACCGATGACTTCGATCCACTTGTCTGGAACGGACATTTGCGAATATGTTGGTACTGTGAAGCCGCGTGACCACCGCGAGGACTTTAGGATCGTTCAAAACACCTATCCAGCATTCAGTGATGTCGAGACCATTATGGTCGGCAGAGCTTGGTAATGTCATGTCCAACCCGCTCCACCATGTCCCTTGGCAGCTGCACGTAATGTGCTGAAAGGTCAACATTGGTCTCCTCAGTGTACTACTGTGCAGAGCGTGCATCTCATAGGAGAAAAAAAGAAGCAGACACGAATGGGTCCCATCCGAGATACGACGACCCCGAATTCTTTAGCAACTGAACGTACGAGATACATGTTGGCCACCCACTGCAGTCAGTTGTTGAATAGTAATACTTCGAGTAATATACATGTACATGTATTGCTGTACATCTTGTATGACTAGACATGCTGAAGTCAATTGGATGTGCCACGGCCAAGATCTTATTCAATTGGATCGAGTGGTGGACACGACTCGAAGACAAACATCTCTTTCATCCCCTTCTGCTGCCACTGCAAAGTTGACACAAGAGGAATTTGATCACAATTGAATGTCCGTACGTGCTATACATGCACAGTGACCGCTTTACCCGCACACTACTCGCTACTACACTACTCGCTACTACACTACTCGCTACTACACTAGTGCAGACGGACACAAGTGGAAATACCTTGATTACAGTCAAGTGCTACAAGAGTCGTCGACGCGTTGCCCCTATGCTCTCCGCAGCACAATATTCAATTTTCTGGCCCCATCTACTTTCATATTCACTTGCCATCTCACCAGGGGGTCGTTATCAGCAAAGACACGTAAGTTATCGGCCTCGGACACAGCTAATCTCGATTGTATTACGCTCTGAGTCTAAGGGCGAATGTGTCCTGTACAGTTTTACTTGTAGCCGGGACTTGCTCCTTATTGCTTCCGTTTCTGCTGGCACTGTATTATCATGCTGCATAGCTTACCCACCTTCTCCCCCCTTACCCTCCACTACTTGCAACGCACCGCAAACATCGTAGGCCGCAGCTTCAAGTGGCCCCTCTCGGACCGTGGAGAAGTAGGGAGTAAGCGGCATGCCAGCACTAGCGTTATGGGCGGTTTATACTCCGCGGATCCACTCACGTAACATCGCCAAGGCCCAGGGTCTGGTTGACAGTATACCAGCAGCGCCTGCAGTCGAACACGTTCCATATTATCAGGGCGTATGTGTGAGCATGCTGATGCTGATGCTGATGCTGATGCTGATGCTGATGCTGATGCTGATGCTGATGCTGATGCTGATGCTGATGCTGATGCTGATGCTGATGCTGATGCTGATGCTGATGCTGATGCTGATGCTGATGCTGATGCTGATGCGCGTGGCTCACAGATACAAAACAGGGCAGAGCGCATGGCATTAATGCCACCATCTATCTCTATGACTCAGAGAACGGGCCTGAGAGATCATTCGCCGAGGCGATACAGGCTATTGCAGGCTGGCATAGTGGCAGCCGGGCGACATTTCTTGGCCAATGCCCTCCTGGGTGCTTGCAGAACCTTCAGGACGCGTTTGCAGTCAGTCAAGCAAAGAAATCTCTCTTCACTGTGGACATTACCTGGTCGCCACCAAGCCCCAGCAACTGTTTCACGGGGATTAATCCGCTCAAACGTCCTTTTGCTCACGGACTCCAGCAACGGAAACGCAATACGTATTCGGATTAGAAGAGTGGAAGGTTCCGAAGTAGAAGCCGTGATATTCCTAGGTGCCGTCTGCTGAACGCTTCCCCCGATTCCTGGCCAGCGAAGGCATTCAGCTACCAATCCCCGTAGCCTGTGTATCCCAGGAGGAGTTCAGGGCGAAGAGCCAGATCAGATCAACACTATCACAGACAGAGTATTGTTATTCTCCCGATGGGCAGGCGTACTTGTCGGATGAATAGGCGAGTCGGGATCATGTCGTCGACGCGAAGCTGCCGGTTATCAGCTGTGTTGGTACTGCTTGTCCTCTCAGCCTGTGCAGTGCGGGAGTCAGAATCCGGAACGTAAGTAGAACATTTGGTTTTCAATAAACAAATGCCTTGCGATGTGGAATGGGGGGTTGAAGTGGGGGGTTAACTGCTCCCTTGTTAACACCTCAAATTCGCTGCCAAGCAATACAAACATCTCCTATTGAAGTATAAATGCAAACCGAGGCAGGTAGCCGGGATATCATCCTAAGCTGGACCACGTATAGTGCAACATTCCTGATGGTGATTGATGAGCTAGACCCTGGTAAAGCCTTGAAGCCGATTTCCCATCAGGACTTTGAGAACCCTATGGCCAGAGACCGAGAGTGAGAGCGGGTGTCATGTTATTCTCACGAGCCACCCCTCATACCTGTACACAGTACAGTAGGTGAGAATAGTAGAGCCTTTTCATGGATTGGCATGATCACTAGCTCTAAGTACCTTCGATGAAACTGGCTGTGGGTTCGAGCCAGCACGATCAGTAACGGTTTTCAGCTATATCACGCTGTAGGTTCACGCACTTGGTATTATACTGGGGCTGTTTGTGTCTTTGACAGTGGTACTACAATGTGAACATGATGGTATTGACAAGGGATACAGTACATGTACATGTACAGTGGGGGATCAGAGCTACTAGTAATCGTAAAGATCCACCACTCCCGTAGCTCCAGCTTGAAACTCATACCTTCCCATTCTCCCCAACACCGACGCCTAAAGCCGAATGTGCTATAGCAGTGGATCTACTGCAGCATAAACCCGGGGAGCTAACAGTAGCGAAAAGGTTTCGGTTAGTTTTGTTCCTCGATGGTCGGGCGTTGGTTGCTACTTCAAGTATTTGCATAATATATACAGAACGTAGAGGAGATCGCGTCCCAGTTGGCCTCCCAGTGCATCACTGATTCGTAAACTCTACTGGAGATCCGTGCACTCGAATGTTGGAATGCCATGCATTGTCGACTGCCATTATCATTTTGCCTGGTGTCGCAGGCGAACTTTGACGCGGAAGTGCGTCCGGAGCGCAATCATTTCAGAAGTCGCGCCACTTCCTCGCGGTCCTATTGTCACTCTGCACAGGCGACGATGACATGTACCCGTCGACCGGCCGTCTGCTGTTTGGTGAATACATGAAGTAGATTGTGATCGTGTGAATCATAACGTTAGTCGTAACCCTGCATGATGTGCTTGCTCGAGGCGAGCTGTCGGGTCAATAGTGATGTTCACAGCTATTCGACGATACCGTAGTGCGCCCCAGATGCCTACGTGCACGGTGCCTCCGGCGAACAGTCACATTTTGTTAAAATATTTGTGGCCCGGCGAGGAAACCAAGTACTCCACAGGCACTGTTTATCGTGGTGCACATCATGGGGTGCTGTGGTACTTTCCATTGTGTATGGTGTTGTCATGCTGGTGGTTAAAAGGCCCGTTTATTCCTCGCTAGATTGATGATTAGGATCTCAGGTAGAGTGATACAAGTTCCATTGTCAGCGACTATCGGTATTCTGGAGTGGCAGCCGGTCGATCGTGTCATGTTCTAGCTCTCTGTGTGCTGGTAACAGTTCGCCGCAGTAGTGTCATGCGTGGCCCACTCCAACAAGGCAAGGACTCCCCGCGTCGCTGTAATGTTCTTGAGAGGGTTGGAGCCGCGTGTGCATACGGAGTCTGGACTACGTGGAACGCTTCGAGTATTCTTTTGGACTTTCCTGTTCCGCACTGTTTGCCAATACGTATTGGCATTTGGGACGGCAGCAGAAATTGTGGCATTCTCCAGCGACAAACAGAGGGAAGACGGAAGTTGCAATCAGGAGCAATTTGCCTGATAGGTCCACAGAGCAATAATCGATTATTTTAGTCTTCAAGAAGATGTGATGTGATAAAGCTCTGCAGTGCAATGCTGTCTGGATAGTTGGGTCGGGCCGCATTCAGCACGTTCGTCCGTTGGCAGCGTCCCTCTCTGCACAGTGTGTTCACGTACACGTTACGTTACATGTTAACGCCTACTGACGGCATACTTTTGTTTACGATTATGCACAAACCCAACTCGGTGACCAAGTACATGTATGTATACATGGAATTCAGTGGAAGACAAGACTGAAAAAAACACCGCGGACAGCGGACAGACGGCTAATGAGATGGGCGGGATCCGTTCTTGTATGATGGGGATAGGACCTTTCAAAGCGGTAAAGTCACGTGGTACGCTTGCATTGACCTACACAAGGCAGCAATTGCGCAAGTTAGTTGAGGTGCCTTGTCGCGGGGAAGCCATAGACCACGTGATCGTGATCGCCCACTGTAGTCTGAACACAGACCTCTAGCCCAGCTCTATGTACGTTTGGGTACGTGAGCACCAGTTTTATCTCGACGTAATCCCGGCGGGGGGGGGGGGGGCAAGGTGTCCCTTCCACTATGCACACCGTGCATGCACGGGTAAAGACGGCAAAGGATTCTGCGAAGTACAAGACAAGTAGTTGTTGTGTACCTTTTCGACCGTATGGGATTCAGCCGTGAACGAGTACTAATACATGGATATGCTCTCCCCACTCCTTGCTTATGCCAGTCTCCAAGGGATTAGATAGCCAGACAGCATAACTGCACCATTTCACATCTGCCGTGTTGCCTCTGGGAATCTTATCCAGTTTCATGTATTTCCGTTTGCCGGACGCGTTGATCATCAGATTAAGATTGGGAGAATGTGGTGCGCTAGCCGTCTAGTGTAAACTGGTGTGTTTCTTATGTCCACACAAGTCGCGTGTTGACACCAGAATACGGACGAATTGAGCAGGCTTGCTGTGAAATCGCTTGGGCAGCCCGCTGCGGAAAGGTTCATTTCAAAGTAAAACTCCACGGCCTTATAAAAGTGTCTCCCCTAACACATGAGTCGTGAAAATATGACTTTAAAAGGATCCCCCAAGAGGAAAGGGTAGCCGTTTGGTCCCAATGGCATTGTACCTTTGCTTTCGGCTGGCAAACATTGACAACTGGAGGCTTAGACTAAAGGCACAGTTTGGCCCCACGTTCCCCTTTCGCATTCCCTGTACTAACGTTATATTCCTGGTGCATACACCAATCAGAGATTCCCTGGAGATCCCCTCAATAGGAGTTTGGGGAATCCTGAAATACAGATTACTATAGAAGGCTAATACTCGTCAGCTCTAACAGCATGGATGGAAACCTTAGGATTCCGAACTAGTGTTTATCAGGCAGTTGTGAGACAGTGTTACAGGACTGGAGCCACGTCCACTCCAGTTATGAGCGGCAACTGTTAGTCTCTCGCCGAGAATTGCACAATAATGTCACGTACTGCTTTTCGTGCGAGGGGAGCGAGTGTAATAATTATCACGATTTCCTTGTGTACAGGTATGTATGTGCGTGCGTGTGTCGTGTGTTTGGGGGAGAGGGTTGGATCCATGCAAAGTTGTGGGAGCCAAACCCGCCAAATGTGCAGATGGGAACGAAAGTAAAGCCAGAGAAGGGGGTAATATCGAGAGAATATAGCAAAACAGGAGGTATTCCGAAGTGCCAGATAATACATTCAATTTGATAGCAAAGCGGAATTCAATTTGTATGGTCCCAGCAGAAAAGGCTAGCAACGAGTATCTTGGCAAAAGCTATGCGATCGGTACGGGTAGGACTTGCTACTTCACTGCCTGAGTGTCATGTTTACTATCTGCTTCATAAGAATTCTTATGACGTTCTTCAATGTACAACATACCGCGTTGCAATCTTTGCGTTTATCACTTTGTCTCATTGACAGTTATAATCTAGATGTCACGTCGTGTTTCCGCTAATTTCATTCATACAACATGTCACCATCCACAATCAACCCCAATCCTTTGTCCTCTAACGAAATAATGGCAAACCCCAGGTTTATTCAGGAGAGGATGTTATAGAATGATGTGCTCAGACCAAGTAGCGCTGGAGGTTTCTAACGAGATTGCCTTGAGCTGCTGGAATCATTTAGCGCCTAGGGGCCATTAGCGAACAGCGGGGGTGCAGGAAGTGGACAGTCAGCCGACCTAAAATGGGCATATTTCTAGACCAAACGAGAAGAGGATCTGGACCCCTGCCAAGACATTTTTCTTATCAAAATTAACCCTAATAATATGGAGTGCATTAATGGCACTAGCTTCAGCGTTCACTGGGAAAGCCAAAGTCTCAAACGGCGCCTTGCGTATTTATACAATGCCGAGTGTACTGCAAGTTTTTTTGTGCAGTAAAATCCGACCGTGAGAGTCATGAAACTTTCTCCCAGCAGGCAGCACCACTGAGTTTACATCTCCGTGTTCTCAGGTCATAGGCACAGGGCTGCACAGCTCAAGGCACCGCGCACACTTGATTTGCACGATCAGGGCAGTACTGTGGATTGAACTGTACCTGAATGATTCCAGCGTGATGATTGCATAGCATGAAGTACAGAGTTGCAAAACACCAGCCTTGCGCCTTGTATCGTTGTTCTGTGAGTGATTCTAGCCTCTATTACTTTTCTAGGTGGGAAGCAAACAGAACTGCTACTTTGCGCAACGAGCACAACACTGGTTGCGAACAGTTGCAATGTCAACCGTTTTGCAAGAAAATTTGTTGCAACTTATCGGCCACTACCTGTGCTAGTACCACGACGCCTTACCAGCGTTGATCGAACCTCATTAACACACCAATGATTACTCTACTATACGTCAAAATTAGTATCACACTGTATGATGCAGTATTGGAGTCTTCTGCATCATTGATGAGACTTGCCTCAAAACTGTCATTCTCAGCTGGTTAGGACTGAGGCGAAATATCTAAACAAATGGTTCAGAAGATACCGTGGTGCTGCCCCTCGGCTCTCACTCACAGAGCTTTGTCGGAGTAAAACGTTTTTGTGAAAGTTTTACTTCTTTAAAAGTTACAGAAATGCATCTCGCCCGTCGAGAGGGTTTCTATATTCAGAAGAGGTATGTTAAAGATGTGAAATGAGCACGAAAAAGGCTGAAACTGTGTCTTGCCAGCAATTCTGAATGTTCCGTACTCCACTTACTTGCAAGTACAGTGAAACCTGTCTAAGGCGACCTCTCAAGGGACCTTCGAAACGTGGTGGTCGCTATGTAAAGGTGGTCTTCTTATCCAGGATCATTTGACTGGAGATAGCATCCCTTGGTTCTGGTTGTAGTGGTCCCCTGGGACAGGTGGTCGCCTTGACAGGTTTACTATACAAGTGTATCTTTCTTCCTCGTCTGTGTATTGTGTTGCAGGTTTGGAGAGTGGACCTGTTCTGCAGGTACCACTGTTGTGTCCAGTGGTGATTTCGTGGACTCCGAGTTTGCGCCGTTCGTCTCGCCGGAGGTGACCACCGGCCCCACGGCGTGTCAGAACAAATACCACGCGGATCTGGACTGTACGTACGAGTTCCGAGCGCCGGCCAATCATATCGCCGTCATAGAGTTCACCGCGGTCACCCTGGACTCGGAGTGCTCGGAGGACTTCATCGACATCGACCTGCAGGACGGCATTCGACGCTTGTGCGGCGCGGCTGGTGCCACCTGGGACATCGCCGACGGCGACACAATCACCATGACGTTCACGACCAGTGCGGAAAACCAGTGCTCGGGTTTTGCGGGATTCTTCAGCTCCTTCCTCGATCGTAAGTCCTTGACTACTTGTGTTTTAAGTATACTGACGTACCGGTACACCGTGAAGAGTCCATAACCCCCCCCCCCCCTCTCCCCGCCCCCCAAGAGGGGGTATTAGCTCCTGCTACTATAATAAAGTAGCTACATAGAATTACCAGTTGAAAGGAAAAACATGTGTGAGTTGTTTATGAAATATGTTCCCGACGAGTGCAATTGGCCGCATGTGCATGTGTTTCAGAAAAGGACAAAAAAAAAAAAAAAAACATGCATTGGCCGGGAATCGAACCCGGGCCCCCCGCGTGGCAGGCGAGGATTCTACCACTGAACCACCAATGCTTGGATGGAAACTAAAGGTTGGTTTACAATGGCATCTTTTGCGACGCGACTTGGGACACTTGCAACAAAAAAATGCCTTTTGCGAGCTGGCGCGTGCACTCGCAAGGTACTTGTCGCAGAAGTTGAAGAAAGTTCAACTTTTGCAAGGTGCAACGCGCAAAATAATCGACATACACAAATGGGGTACAGCTTCTACTCTGGGTACACGCGTGCAGTGCGCATGCATAGGGCATGCCCTGCAGAGGAATGGTGGTATTGTGAATCGGCCTTTACTCAGGGGGGGGGGGGGGGGGGTACTCTCTGGTCCAAACCTGATTGGCACCAGGTACTGTCATGCTCCGTAGTTGCTAAGTTATCCCGTTGGCAAGGGAATTCTTCGCAGCCGTAACCAAAGACCTCCTTGGCGAATGATTACTTCGAGATGATATTTCCCTCGCTCAAGGCACGTACTGTACTGCCGACTTATAACTGGCAGAAACAAAGCTGAAGAGTCCCACTGGTATAGCGCTATAAACGCCATACAACGATAGGGGTTGAAACAGTATAATAAGAGTGAAAGAAAATCAGGCTAAACAACAAGTAGACATAGTACATTCCCTTTTCCATTCTCTCAACCAATGAATACCGTAGTATTTGATGCGTTGGGGCTCCGCGCATACTTGTTTGTGCATGCAGTGTGTGGTCACAGTCAGGGCTGCGTCCCACCAGCTTGTGTAGTATCACAGGAAGCGTGAGTTTCAAAGTCTGAAGAAAATGTTGAAGGGTTTCTGCTTTGACCACAGGTACACCATAGCTCAGTGGTTAGTGCATCGCTAGCGTCACACAAAGGTCCCTGGTTCCAGTCCTGGTGGTGACAGTCAATTTTTCCCTTTTCCATTCCCTCAACTAATGAACACATGTATAGTAGTACATAAGTACTTGATTGATGTGTGTGTGTGTATGTGTGTGTGTGTGTGTGTGTGTGTGTATGTGTGTGTATGTGTGTATATGTGTGTGTATGTGTATGTGTGTGCGTATGCGTATGTGTGTGTGTGTGTGTGTATGCATGTGTGTATGCATGTGTGTGTGTTCAGCTGCAGCAAAGAAGCGCAGACGTAGAAGTGTACCTGAGTCACCGCAGTTGAAGACATTGACCTCAGTGGATGTTCCCAAGCTGCGCGGCCCCAGGAGAACTGAGTACCGCTATTCTCGGGATGTCTTACAGGTAAAGATCAGGCACTTTAGAGATGTTCTGCTCTATGCTTTAAAGAGAACGCGACACGAAGAATCCCTGGATCACTCGTCACGTTCCAGTAACGTATGATATGCCTGTTCTGCTCTACGCTTGCTCACACGGAGAAATCATGTGGAAAGTGTATTGGGAAGTAACTACCGTTCCCAATTCAGCAGTTTGCTCAGAAATCAGAATGGCATGCAACAGATCCATATGCATTTTCTCTAAGTGTGCCACCACCACCACCACCATAGAGAACTTCATCTCCCTGTAATGGTCCATACCCAAAACACACGAAGCCGTAGACTCTAACCCAGACACCTGTCCTCTACACGAATTCTCTATGTGAACATAGAGCAGAGTCTCTATCATCATGGCAAGAGTACATACCCCCCCCCCCCCCCCAGAGTGTGCAATGCCTGGTCCAGCTCTGCATAGGCCTTATCAGGGTCTTGGTCGAGCGTAATCGGATCTTTGCGTCTTAAAACCGTACACACCTGAGGGGAACCCGGGGAGTCGCGGGTACACTCTGATCAAAAACAACGATGCTCTGCCTCGAGAACGGGCTTGCACTGGTGTGGAGTGTACGCATGACATCATAAGATCCGATTACGCTCGGCCAAGACCCTATGCAGAGCTGGATGAGGTGTTGCACACTCTGGGGGGGGGGGGGGGGGGAGGGGGGGGAGTTATGTACTCTTGGTCATGGTGTTTGATAAAGATTGAAGTAAAAGAAAATACCAGACCGTACCATATACCGCGGTGGAGATGCTCTATTCAGAAGAAAATCAAGTCGGACTTTAAAAGACAGAACAAAAAATGCATTGGCCGGGAATCGAACCCGGGCCCCCCGCGTGGCAGGCGAGGATTCTACCACTGAACCACCAATGCTTGTATGGAGGTTTTAAAACTCTTGCGGATGATCACCTTGACCACATGTGAGGTGAGCTCGCTTTCCAAATTGTGAGGAAATGTTTTCCACCCTAGAGAACGTGTGTGTAGCTCAGGGAGTTGTACCCAGACCGTTTGGGTATAACTCTCTGGTGTGGATGGATGAGGGAGATCGACAAGAGCAGAGTACGAGGCATCAGCATAGGCTTTGTATGTGTCTGTCAATTTCACTGCTTTTCGAGCCAGCGAATCTGACAACTTTCTAGTATTATCCGTCAAGGCCTATGATGAGTCACACACCTGATTTTGGAAGGAAATGTAGTTATGCTTGTAAATTGACAAACAACATAATTATGTCCACCATCTTTCTCTGTCTGCATGCGTGTGTGTGTATGTGTGGGTGTGGGTGTACGTGTTTGTGTGTGTTCACGTGTGTATGTGTATGTGTGTGTGTGTGTGTGTGTATGTGTGCATGTGTATGTGTGTATGTGTATGTGTGTATGTGTATGTGTGTATGTATCACAGTATCTGCTAACTGTCTACCAGAAGCACCATGCTAGGCACCTGCAGGAGTGCAGAGAGATGATGCAGGAGATCTGGGAGCATGATCACTGTAGCATCTGCACATCAGAACATGTCAATCAATGCTACTGCATAGGCGATGTCGATGAGGAGGGCAAGGCGTATGATATTCAGGACGCTGACTTGGACTTTGAAGTACAAGGCTACACGGGCCGAAGACGACGGCGTAGGGGACACATTTTGGAGAGCAAGATGCTTTCGGCGCCGCTGAGCCGGCACAGACGGAGCGATCCGTGCGACTGCCGGCCATAATGACTTCGGGTATGACGTCATATCTACAAAATGACCTCGAGCATGACGTCATAGCCATGATGACATCGGGGCTGACATCGGGTATGACGTCATACCCACGATGACCTGCTCCGCATGCCTGTGGCTATGCGGTCGTCACGGCAACCATGTATCCATGGTGACCTCCGTTGACATGGATTTTCGCCCAGGCAGTGCATGCCCATGGTAGCGAGCCAAGCTATGGCGGACCTTGTCGAAGACACTGACTACTAGTCCTAACTGGCGTGCAGTGAACAGACACAGCCAGCAGTCAATGCACCACGCACCAGCGGATACTCAAGTACACGGTGGAGACCGGATGAACTGCTTTCATCAGCTGTTGACCCAGGGGTGAGGCAGGAACTGCACTGCACGAGAATCCCACCCACCAGGCAATAACGTTACAAGAATTCGATGTGGAGAGAGACACGTTTACAAATAATTATATCACTTTCAGTCACCACCCTTGCCGATAGGACACCACCACCAATTTTTTAACCAGATGTTACGCAATCTTGAACAGTGAGCCAGAAGTTTTCTTTTCTTTAATTAGCCTTTGTCTTGATCTCTTGAAATTGTCAGCTTTTAACTGTAATGTTTGAGGTAATCAGCCACATAAACTTCCTATCCACATTAATCTCTAAACTTACAATCCGCATGGCGTATCATGCAGTTTGTGGGGCAAAGAATTCACATCTGAAATCAGTGAACTCAGAACACAACGGCATGCTCCGTTCTAAACCAGAGACTAATCTCTAGAGTAAGAAATTGCGTAAACGTACTACTAGTAAACAGTAAACATTGGGTTGTATGTTGTTGATGCTTCATAAAATGTGTTATTTTGCCCGCGTACAAGGGGCTCTAATTCAGTCCATGGGGAAAACAAGTCATGAATGGGTCACCATGGCATGCTGCGCAAATAAAACAAAAAAACACTAGTGATTCAGTAGGTAGTGAACACTGTAGTTTCAGCACCCCTTCAGGACATGTATAATTAGCACAGTTGAATGTCTTTATGCTACATGTTCATGACTTGTATTGAAGATACATTTTAACGTCTGCTAGTTACAGTAGTAGCAGTAGTACTGCCACCTCACTTTCGAGGCACAATGTTCTGAGTGTAACTTGTAATGACTAGCCCCTGCCATAAGCTCCGGGATATTTTATTCATCTTGTAATCATCAACTCAACATTGTGTGTTTGTAGGAAATCTATGTGGACAACTCGATGTCCAACATATTCATGCTAATTTAGACTACGGAAGGTTGTTGTATAGACCTTATTTCGTACTCAAACAAATTAAATTAATCCGCCCTCCCCCCCCCCCCCCCCCCCCAAAACCATTAGTATCACCATAGTTGTGTATAAGTTTCATCTCAATGATTTTAACAATAAGAAATTGTTGTTGTCGTCGTCATCGGCGTTGTTGTTGTTCTTGTTGTTATTGTTCTTGTTTGAAATGTTTTATTCTCACGATGGCCTGTGGCCAATAAGAGAAGAAGAAATGCAGGCACGGGGATCGGATAAAGAGAAATCAAAGCTACTTGCTGAAATAGTAGCAATCATGGTCATAAAGAGTCTATCACGCAGACTGGGAACAATGGGACTATAGATATGCTGAGCAATCAGTGAGCACTGAGCAGGCACTGATGTACATGCTGAAGAGACAACTAGAGGTTTAACCGTTAGGATGTTTGCTTTGATATCGTCTGGGATTGATTTGCGGGAGGCTGAGTGGGATGGTATTGAAGAGATCAAGGGAAGTATAGATGGGGGAGTCTCTTAGCCGGATTGTGCGTGTTGTGGGTAGCTCAAAGGTTCGGGGGAGCCTGAGCGTCCAAACTTTACAGTGGGTTCTATTCGGGGTAGGAGAATTACAAGAAGGTGTGGTGGCGCATATCTATGGTGCAGGCTTTGTGCAAGTGTTTTGTTGTTGTTGTTGTTGTTGTTGTTGTTGCTGCTGCTGCTGCTGCTGCTGCTGCTGTTGTTGTTGTTGTTGTTGCTGCTGCTGCTGCTGCTGCTGCTGCTGTTGTTGTTGTTGTTGTTGTTGTTGTTGTTGCTGCTGTTGTTGATGATGTTTAAAATCGTTATTCTCACGATTGTTACTCGGATGTTGAGCCAAAGTAGTCATGGATAAAACGAAAGGACAACATGTTACGAGTTATGACTAACTGTCCAACTGTCCATCAGCGTAACCAGGTCACAATACATGACGTACTTGAAGTCGGAGCATTGTGGCGAGCCCGGCGATCCCTTTCCCAGAAGGCCAGGGTCCAATACCTAAAATCCGTTGTGATGCCCGACCTATTATATGGAAGTGTGGCCTATAGCACCTCCCTCTCTCCCTCTCAGTTTTTGCTCTAGGGAAGCTCCAACGTCTTCAGAACCGTGCCATCCGCGCTGTGTTCAGCCTACCACCCACATCTTCGGTAAGCCACCAAAGGGAGAGCTTATCCCTCCGCAAAATCGAGGAGACACAACACCACCGACTCCTCGATCTCATCTGGCGCGGCCTGAACGGCCAATGTAGTACAGCGCTTTCAAAGCAGCTGACGCCCGCAACCACGGCCCCAACTCGACATCAAGCCAACGCCGGGCTCATTCTCCCGCTGGCCAGGACGAATACAGGCTCTCGCCGACCGTTCTTCCGTGGACCTGCGCTGTGGAACACTCTGCCAGCCAGTGTACGTTCCTGCAAAGCCGTGGCTGATTTCGCAGCAGCCGTGTACCCGTACACTCTCAGGCCATAAACGTTTTTAAAGAAGAGAAACAGTGATATGCACCCCCCCCCCCCCCTCCCCCCCCCCCCCCACACACACACGGACAGTATGTATAGGCATAATAACGAACGGTCTTTTCCTGTTAGCTCTGTTTGTCCAATACATGACATATAACGTCTTTCTTGTTGTTTTTCCTTCTCCATGTAGCTGCTTCCAGCATGGTAAACGACAGTACCATGGCCTTTTCAGATTTTCATTGTACACCTATTTGTAGTACCTCCCGGGATCAGTATTTTCCACTTGAAATAATATCCACCCCAATGCCTCATTCTTAGCATTCTTTTATTCGCTTCCATGTAATTGGGCGTATTGCCCGTTTGGTATTGCGAATTCAAATAAAAAACAACAACAACAACAACAACAACAACAACAAGTACAGACATCGAGTGGGACAACTTCCAAGTACTTGTTGCCGTGGGACGTAGTTCGTGCTCTTTTTCGTTGCGCTTTCCTTCCCCTCTTGGACATTTCCCAACCTGAGCCTTCCAAGCTGTAAGGTTGTTGGTTTGCGCCTCAGCGAAGTGTTGGAGGTAGGTGTCAGGTCATTGAATGTCTCTATGCTCGCTAGGGACCGGCGGATTGTGCTCGAAAAGGTGGCAGATTCTGCTCGAAAAGCAGTGAAATTGGCAGAACCATACAAACCTTATGGCGGGCAATTCCTCGAATTCTGTTCCATTTCTTTACCTACATACCAAAACATGCATGAATCTTACCGGATAAAGTACCGAATTCTGCCAATTTTTCTGGCGGCAGAATCCGCCGAACCCTAAGTGCTCCCCGTCAGTTTTGTGCCATTTTGTCGCACTCGCTGACTGTATAATTATGATCTGGTTATGTTGGTGGCCAGTTAGTCATAACTCGTAACATGTTCGGGAGAATGAAGTTGAAGACACCACTGCAGCTGTAAGCTGCAAGCTCCGTATGAAGACAACCAAGAAGAAGATTGCCTGATGAGTCCAGCGGGGACGAAACGTACGTCGCAATCGAGCTATGTCGTTGCTGTGTCATCTTCTATGTGCCATGCGCTACTTGATGTACCAGCCTGCTATGCCGGATACCGCCAACCATGCATCGACCAGGCGCCAGGCGCGAACTGATGGTGGTGGTGGTGAGGAGAGCTCTGTGCCAGAACTTTGCAGCCTAGAGAGCGTGTGTGGGCAGGCGTGTGTTTACCGCCATATTGCCAGGTGTGTCTTTACCACCATATTTATCAATCGTAACATGTTGTCCTTTCTTTTTATCCAAGAAAGGCATTTCTTCTGCAAAACATATGCTAGGAGAAGCTAAGTTAGTACATGTACATGTACGTGTGCATGGACTGGTTCTAGATGGGATTAGAAGAATACCGGAGAGCTCAGCATGCAAGAGATACGTAACGTTACAGTCATTCAACATTCACACTAGGCATGTAAACAGCCATAATTGGACACCAGTTGTACGCCAGTTGTACACTACTCGACTCGGAATGGACTTTTGCTGTACATCTGTGCCAGATAAATATGCCGCGGGCTTTAGATATCCTAATCTGATATCCTAACCTTTTTCTGATGATCGTTTAGTGCGTGAAACTCAGAGTTAAAGCACATTTCCGTCCTCTTATTGTGTGATATCCTAATCTCAATAGGCAGAGAGTTCCATGTGGTGAAAATGGAACGCAGTAACGTTAGAGTGGAGCGGAAACAGGGACCAGTGTGAGTAGGTAGAAGGGAAAAGTGGGGACGACGTGCACTCTTCCATGCAATCACACTGTATGTTGAATTTGAACTCGGATGGGGAGCCAATTTAATTATGGTAAAATAGGAGTAGGAGGTCAGTTTTGTGCCATTTTGTCGCACTCGCTGACTGTATTGTGATCTGGTTACGTTGGTGGACAGCCAGACATAACTCGTAACATGTTGTCCTTCTCGTGTGTTGAATTATTGAGGATTTGGGGTAATGGCGGATAAAATGATAGAACAGTTTGAGGCGATGGATGTACCGCCACCACACAAGACTTTCCCATTCAGCAGCTACGAACTACAACTCTATCTCCCTCTCTCTCTTTCTCTCTCCCTCTGTCTCTCTTTCTCTTTCTCTCTATCTCTCTCTCTCTCTCTCTCTCTCTCTCTTTCTTTCTCTTTCTCCCATCTGTCTGCCTCTGTCTCTATGGATTTCTCAACCTCTCGATCTCTCTCTCACCCTCTCGATCTCTCTCAACCACTCGATCTCTCTCAACCTCTCGATCTCTCTCTCACCCTCTCGATCTCTCTCAACCTCTCGATCTCTCTCTTCTCTCATCCAATGTATTTGGCACCAGTGAAGCTGTTGAGTCAGTGCGAACGCTGTCTTTGCACGTTCGCGCCGGACCTTAAAAGTCCAACGTGAACGTGCATAGACAATCCATGTACATGAGTGTACTGTACATGCAAATACAATCAGACCAGAAGGTGTGTAATGGTCTTTTAAAAACTGAACCACTACTAATCAGCGGGAAAGTCTGTGAGGATTTCCAAGATGGTTGCAATGCTCGGCCATAAGTGATCCAACATCTACGCCAAGCACGTTTAGCACCGCCTTTCCTGCTGCTACCCTGCACATTGCCAAGGAAACGGTCTCCGGAGGAGACTCTGCGCTATTTGTACGGTCCATGTTCTCTGCGACTGCGTTCACTACCATTCACTGTCTACCTGCAGGCCAGGTCATGATCAGGTAGACCTACATTCAGTACGAGTAGGTCTGCTCATCATTTCGACCCTCTGTTCTCGCCTCGGCACCAAGTCACATCGCAACACTCAAAGAAAACGCGCTCAAGTTTTCAAGCCGGAAAACTACCAGTAATTTGATAATCGCGCATAGAAAACAGAGGGGAATTGCACGATTATTAGCAAATACTCAAAGCATGCCACTGCCATATCCACAAATAGAAACGGTTACGCAGTTACGTGCATGAGTCAACTGTGTGTGGTGATCGCATAAAGGAATCTAAAAGAGGTGAATGAAAATACAAAGTCATATTCTGCGCCTCGTATGTCGTTCTTTGTTCAGCTAGAATAATGCTGACCGCCAGAAACGAGGACGCAGGCTCTTTCGCAAGTGATCTGACGAGGCACCTTTGCGGCAGAGAGAGAGTGTAGGAACGTGCCTCGTGTGATATGATGTGTGCCAGGTTCCAGGCATTGTTTGAGAGGACCCTGCAGGATTCCACCATCGCCGTGCACCGCTGGGGGTCCTCTTTCAGATAGTCTGCCGCGGCTCCAATCGAGCGAAGGGCAATGATGAGGCATTTCTCTGCTCTTCTTCCTCTGCGAACTAACGGTGCTGTTTTAAATGAAATCCAGTCGCGTCACTCAAGTACGCGCCGGACGTTGCGCAGCCCTAGACTTGCGAACTCTGGCCTGCGAAATGATGCAAGGCGCGAACTTGACTGTCCCTCCAGGAAATCGCGATTCCACGGATGCAACAAATTTCGCGATTTTGGCCAAAACCCGCGAATTTCTGAAAAGTCCGCGATTTCCCGCGTGTTTTGTTGTTTTCTGCACTTCTTTTTACAGTTTTCTGCACTTTTCACGTAGTATACAGTGCTTTCCATGATCCTGTACGTAGGTTATTTCCACAGTACGCAAATAGCGACTCTAATGATGCAACAAATTTCGTGATTTGGCCCAAATCCGCAATTTCCTGCCAATAATTCTGCAAGTTCCTGGCAAGTTCCGCATCTTTCCGCACTTTTCGCCGCATTTTTTGTTGTTTTCTGCCGCAATTTCTTGCGCAAGTTTTCGAGGACTTTTTCCGCAAATTCCTGCAGGGACAGACTTGAGTGATGCGACTGGATTTCATTGAGCGGCACTGTAGATCTACATGAAGTAACATAGTTTCTACACTGTTCCAGTAGACCTACATCGTAAATCTAATCATTATACTATTAGACATGTTGGATCGTGCACTGATTCCTAGTGCCTCGCGTTACTACCCGTAATCTTGTCTGCAGCGCTTCCTCTATTCCCTGCTTCGCACACATCCTGAAGTGAGAATTCATGATGAAGCCGCGTCATCCAATCGTGGCGATTGGATGACGCGGCTTCATCATGAATTCTCAGTGAGTAGATCTACGAGTCTGGTGTATTACACTCCCGGTCCCGGACACGCGCGCATACACGTACACACACGCAACGACAATGCGGCCGGTTATTTCCTATCATCACCCATGACCGATGGCGGCTCGACTCCGCGATTGCAGCGCTACCAAGTATGCTGGCGGGAGCCTCGTTTTTCAGCAAGGCCGCCAGTGTTTGGACCGGCGTATGATCTGAGCCAAGACTCGAGCGGAAAGACATCCTTCACACGCGTTCGCAGAATCTCGTCATCAGTCCAGGATTTATCTACAGTAGGCCGGAGGGAAGCGCAGACCAGCTGCTGTGCCAGGCATGCGTGCCGTGGCCCGTGGAGTAAGGACTTCATTGCTCTGGCATTTGAAGAATCAAAAACGACAAATGGCTAAGTGCTTGAGTCTCAAGAGAGAGAGAGTGAGAGAGCCATATCCGCAGTCATCCATCATGCGATCCTGACTAGTAAATGGAGCTGAAGATCGAAGAGGTGATACGCTCATTTGCCGATAGTGCCAATACACACGTGCACGCGGTGTATGCTAACCGTCGTCGAGGACAAAGGTCCGTGATCTCTGAACCCGTGAGCGCGTAGATCCGCACTATCGTGCAGAAGTCGACTCCTAATCCTAGAATCTTGTGCCAGTTGGGGCATGTCGACAGTTGGTTGCATTCTGGCACGAAAATGACGTGCATGTGCGTGCACGTGCCACTTCGTCTTAGCGCTTAGTTGCTTCGGCAGACGCTAATCCGCGGTGATCGTCGAATTCTTGAGTCTTACTACACAATCAGGTGTCTTCCATTCGCTGTTGGTGTCGCTTGGGGTGTGAGCTCGCTGTCGAAGATGTGAAGCCTTTATCCCCGTCGTTCTGTGGATTTTCTCCAGTATTTCACAAGAACCGGCAACAGGCCATTTTGACTGTTGTTTCCTCGTCTTTCTTAGCTATTCTCTGGATGTATCATGCAATCTCCACGTATTGCTGTCTGAGATTGCTGCTTGGATTTGGAAGCTGAACTGTCGCTGCATTGCGTCGTAGTTCAGAAACGCTGTTCGCTCTGAATTCCAGTCGTTGGTATAGTAGGAGATCCGTTTGGGCGGAAGTTGGACGTCGCAACTAAAACATGGAAAACTCCGTGAGAAAGTCACCGGCATGCTGCATATCGTGGATTCTATTGTTGGCGGCGATGTGTATATGCAACTGCGCCGTTCAAGTTTCAGGCAGATCGTAAGTACCCTAACCCTCTTTGGAGAGTTTCCTTCTTCCAATTTTCGGCGTATATGGCGGCGTTCTCCATGAATTCACTGAAGCCAGCTCGGAGCGTTGGGGCAGGGGATTCGTGGTAGAAATTAATTGCGCGCCTTCTTTCCGATTTGTCGCCTGCTGGGCTGGCATGGGTGACTTGTAAAAGTGCGTGTCCGGCCGCTGCCCGGCACGATGTTTCACACAGGCTGCTCCTAAAGTCACACAGTGATCCTCGCCATGCAGTCTTGGTGTGAAGCCTGGATTACACGCGCAGCAGACTGCTAAGCAATGATAAGAATCGCCTGGCCAAGTCTCCAGCCTTGCTCAGCAGCACACACCCCAGGATAATAAGCCGAGAGGAATACTTTAAAACTAACACGTGTTCTGTAAAAGCAGCTTGGACTTGCACCCCCCCCCCCCCCCCCCCCTCCCGCCCATTTCACCCGGGGAAGGAGTATGCCATATGCACTACATATAACACAAAGTGGATCCACTCAATCCTTCGTACAAATTAATGGGGGCGAGTTTTGGGCTTAGCCAAAACTATCAGTATTCTAGTGATGGATGCTGGTCCCAAAACCAAGGTGGCGTACTTCACAAGTCCAGAAATGCCTGTCTCCAAAACTTAACCTGTGTACGGTCATACCCATAAGTGTTCAGACCTGTGCGCTACGTATACATGTAGGCTTGATAGGGTAGTATGGGGCATGCCTCCTACTGCTGGCTGTTGTAATGTGCCAGGTAATCAATCCCTTGACTCACAATACACTGGCTGTATGCAAGAAAGCAAAACAAAAAAGGAACTAATCGCATCCATGTGGCATGCCTGGGCGTGTACATGGCGCAGACCAATCCTATAGGCTATACTGATGCTGGAAAGAAGTTCTCCCTAGTCAGCAGGGGGAGTTACTACTGAAGGAAAACACTGTTGATGAATGATGACCTTCAATCAGCCAAAGTAACTCCATGTATCAGTATTGATACTATTGTAGAACCCCTATGGTTTGATGATGGCACAAGCCCAGAGAGATGTGCACGCCCATCATCTGGAGTGCCTCTCAAGGAAGATGGTGTGCTTGATAGGAAAGCAGCTTGCTATCAGATTCAGAGATACCTTGTCTGTAGAGTACAGTCTACTCTCCCATGACTCGTGAGTCACACATTTAAGTCCGACACTCCCAATTATAATAAGTCACCCAGTTTTTGCAATCCAGACGGAATGCACTTTTGTATGACTGTACACTAGTCTGTACATGTACAGTGGCAAATAATTCATTAATTTAAATGGCAGCCAATACATTGTGCACTGAACCGTGGGACTGGCACTCATAGTCCTGGCCCTGATACTAGTAACCCTGGCCCTGTAGCTGTGGGACTGGCACTCCCATAACCTGGCTGGCCCTGGCCCTGGCCCTGGCCCTGGCCCTGGCCCTGTATAATGTACATGTTCATGTACATGTAGCTGTGGGAAGCCAGGGGTGTGCTTTGTTGTGAAGCTACCCCCTGCGGAGACAGACACTGGTGCAACACACATGCTGGCTCCAGTCATCCCCCCCCCCCTCCCCTTGCCATGTACTGCTGAGTATTTTCAGTACAGAAGCAGTAGCAGAAGCAGCAGCATAAATAATTACCAGCATTGGAATGACAACTGTTCATTCCCTTTAGGAGCTGGGGCAGGAGTGGGTAAAGCCTGTAGCCTGTACCAACTTTTCAGCCGGACTCCATCCACAGAAACTTTTGGAAAAAGCCCCCAGTGAATTCTATTCTTGTCCAGCACAACCTAAATATGCACATGATGAAGGTCTACTCTTTGACCCTGCACATTATCACATCCAGTCTCAAACAATCTCATATACGGACAAATCCTCTCCGATCCTGTCGACTGTGGAATTTGGAAAATACGGGGGGGGGGGGAGAGAGAGAGAGGAGGGCCCAGTGTGGTACATAGCTGTACCCAGCTGATGTGTGTGTGTGTTGTAGTTCAATGAGACCAGTGAGGACCACCTTGGCCTGGCATACATGTAGCATTACTGGATCAGTAACGCAGGGAACTTCCAGATACTGTGACTCCAGAGTCAAACACAGGTGGCTGGATTGTGTGAGTTCCCAGATGAAAGGGGAAAAGAGTTCCTGAGTACAAAGTACTTGCATGATCTTCAACTCCCCTGCTACCATTTCCCAACCCTGGCCTTGTTTAGAAATATTCCACCCCCTCACTGAAGGAGAACACACAAGAGTGTGTGATTGGAAGTGTCATGTTACAGGTCGTGCAAATCACAGGCTAGCGCCCGACTCTGTTGACAGAAAGAATGCTGCTATAGGAAGGCAGGTGGAGGGAGTGTTTGGAATGCGTGTGCTTGAAACACTCACTTGCACTCATCCCTTAGCGGGTTTGGGTTAGACCCTGGATTTATGCTGTGCACTGGATTTGGGTCATCATAGAGTGTTGAGGACACCTTCTGGGAACTTCCTAGTGTGTTGCTCTGGGGCTACCTCAACTCTGCTACCATTGCAAATCTTTCTCAGAAAGATTTATGTCAAAGTTCTTCACACACACTTCGATGAGTTATAGTATCATTCACCATAAGTCTTGACACATACACACACACACGCACATGTCTACATACACACTTACACACATACAAACACACGCACATACACTGGTACAGTACACACACACACACACACACACACACACACACACACACACACACACACACACACACACACACACACACACACACCTGGTCTGGACTACTCCATCTCTGAATCCCTCTCCCAGAAAACACACACTGACACACACATGCACGACCATTGCCTACTAATATGCGTACAGGGACAAGTGGCTATGTTTGCCCACATGCACTCAAGAGACACTCCAGAAACCCAGCAGGTATTCCCAATGCCAGTTGTCATAGCCTGGCTCCCCAGTCACTTAACCCAGTTGTTGGAATGCAGGACAGCACTACATCATGTACATGACTGTATTACTAGTAGTAGTAGTAGTAGTACTGTCTAATGCCATGTGAAGTGCCCCCAGTCCATCCCGGTACAATGAGTCATTCTGGCTTGTATGCATACCCCTACCTGGAGTGTGGATCTACCAGCATCCCAATAGATTCATACCAGCTGAGGGTACACTAAGTCTTGCAGTGCAGGCCATGCTGTCATGCATTGGCAGTCTCACAATGATTATGATCAATGGATTTTGACATGACTTTTAAAAAATAATAAAATATTTTTGTAAGTAGCATCATGCACTACACCCATGCTTATGTAAAGTCAGACCTCGCACATATCCAAATACACAAAAATATCCGGATAGGCGAGGGAACCGGATAATCGAACACACATACTGTATGTATGCATGACATATGCTGTAAATCGGTAACCAACGATTTTCTTCCGGATGTCGAGGGATCCGGATAAAAGAGGACCGGATAAGCGAGGTAGTCTGACTGTACTATGCTCTGTATGATATCTATACACCATCCAACACTGTAGTGTGACTCACAGCGGAACATAAAGTGAGATTTCCACACTCATTCCAGACCACCAACTGAACCAAGCAAACCTCGTCTGTCTGTTTACCTATCATGCCGTCTGCAGGTTTGGTGACTGGATGTGCAGTGCGAGCGGTCGCTGGATCACAAAGGGTAACTTCAAGGACTCGTCGTATGCGCCGTTCAGCTCACCGCAGGTGAAGACGGGCTCGTCGGCGTGTCGCAATCGCTACTTTCCAAACATGAAGTGCACGTTCCGTTTCCTGGCCCCCGCCAAGCATTTGATATACGTGGAGTTTGCCAGCGTGAGTCTGGACGGGCGCTGCAACGAGGACTACATCGACATTGATATGCGTCACGGCGTGAGACGCGTGTGCGGCAAGCCACGACTCACCTATGACATCACCGACGGTGGCGAGATGACGGTGACGTTCCGCAGCAACCGTCAGAACCAGTGTGCCGGCTTTACCGGCTACTTCACGGCATTTCTGGACGGTAAGCAGGCGCGTGCACGTAGCTCGTGTATACAGTAAACCGCGTGAACAAATGACCTCAGGTATGACAACAATTCGGGAATATCGACACAATTTTCAGACCTAGTAACCATTTGACTGCATGCTTTCAACCTCAGAATAACGACAACTCACGAATAATGACCCGATCGAGTATAACAACAAATTAAACTCGGATGGAGAGCCAAGGACTAAAATTAAAAAAGAGCATTTTTGACTCAACAGTATTCTGCTTATAACCGTTAGTGTTGGACAAAACGGATAACTTGTAAACTTTTGGTCCGCTTATTTACTTGAAGTAAGTATAACAACAACTCACGCATAACGACACAATCTTCAAATCTAGTGACCATTTGACTTCATTCTTTCAACTTCACGAACAACGACAAGTCCGTAGCAACACACTGTCTAATAGCAGACCATGCAATGGTGGTTTTCTTGTTTGCTCTCCTACACGTATAGATTCTGCTGGCCGTAAGCGACGGAGTTTATCGCAAGAGGTCCTGCTCAGCCGCTTGAAACTTCTCTACACCTCACAGGACCTCGTTCACAGGGCATTGCGGAGCACAGCAGCAACAACACACTACAATACCCGCTCCGTCCAGTCACGGCAGTACACCACAAGATACTCACTGCTGAGACTCAATGTAAGGTTACGTGGTGTGTGTGTGTGTGTGTGTGTGTGTGTGTGTGCGGGAAAAAAAAAATAAAAAATAAAATAAAAAGACCAAAAAGTAGGGATTCACTGGCCAGAAAAAGCCACTTCATAGCTGTGTGGTGTAGACCAGGCTGAATAGTGGCGGTCAATTCTTCAGCCTTGCAAGCTATTGAATGGTGCAATCCCAGCACAAGTTGCTATGGCTTCTGCTGTAGCATCGCTATCATCGCCTCTGGCGATGGGCGTCCAATGGTCCAATGGTGTGTGTGTGTGTGTGTGTGTGTGTGTGTGCGTGCATGCTGAGCAGGACAGTCGTGCTTTGGACCAAAACATTTGTGTACATTTACATGGCAGACAATTGCCTTGGTATACATTTTCTATAGGTGTCCTGCTTTGGAAAGGCGGCAAGGTTGGACAGTCTGTGCGTGTGTGTGTGTGTATGTGTGTGTGCATGTGTGTGTGCGTGTGTGCATACGTACAAAAATGTGACGGGATAAACAACCAATGAGGCACTGGTAGTCCACACAGACTTTGGTCTGCTACCTGCTGAATGTGGTAAAGACATTCCTCGTGACTAACGTTACTGACATGCTTGAGGGTTCATTTAGAACTACTTGTGGTATAGTTTATTTTTAGGAAGCAGTTTAGAGCAAACCCGCTTTTTCCCATCCACTCCGCAACCGTATCGAACTCGCTTTTATCTTACGTGCCGGCAACTTCGCCCTCATCAGGTGAAACGTAAGAATAGATAAGCACGAGTTTGACACCATTGCAGAATGAATGGGAACGAGCGGATTTGCTCTAAACTTCTTCCTTAGAGTGAAGCTGCAGGAAGCCTCGCCATTGCTACTACATTGTATTCTGCTTCAAATTTTTTTATGGCAGATTTCTTTTCTTTTCTCCCATGATGTTGCTGTGCAGTTGAAGATGATGTTGTTCCGCGAGCGCAAGCTACCCTACTTGATGAGCTGTCGGAGCCGGGTGATGAAAGACCTCTGGGGCCAGTCGCCGTGTGCCATCTGCAAGCGCAAGGAAATCTACAACTGCCGCTGCAGAGTGCCGAGTAGCTACAGTGGACGGCGACGCCGAAGAAGCAGCAGCAGCAGCAGTGCCCTGGCTGAGATGCATGCGATAGTGCGCACGCGTCGACAGAGCGAGGACTGCAGATGCCGGAGATGACGACGAGGGGAGAGCGAGCCGGGCACGGCCGTGTGTTATGCGACGACGGCTGCAGAGCAATGCAAGCCGTTGAAGCACTGCTAACACTGTCGCTAGCTCACCGGTTAGACGCTTGGTGGATGTGAAGGGAACACAGCGTATTGCTGCTGCTGTGAAAGCCAATCGTTCCAGGCCTCTCGGCATGTCACCACCACCACCACCACCAGAGCACCAATTGCTGAGCACACAAATGGCTGAGCCACTGCCCTGCACCAATGTACACTGTGATACCACACGAGCGTCCGCGCAGGAAAAGCTGGCAGCACCGTGAACTCGTCGAAGTCACCACCACTGCCAATACCACCAGCACCACCAGTAGCATCAACACCAGCACAGCGTAGAGAAGAAACCAGAGCGATGCAAATGGACACCACCAGCATCATCAGCACAACATAGAGAAACCAGTCTTACCAGAGCGAACCAAATGGACACCAGCACCAGCAGCATCACCAGCACCAGCAGCATGACCAGCACTGGCACAACATAGAGAAACCGGAGAGAACCAAATGGACGCCAGCACCACCAGCACTCTATCAGCACTGAGCAAGCGCTCCAAAGCGAGTCCTGCACACTCTTGCACTGGCAGAGACACTAGCAAGGGCACGGCAGCATCAGCCTGCAGTACAGTCAGCACACTCACACACTCGCAGGCACAATCCGCACAGCACGGCACAGCACGGAAGGAAGGCTGCACACATAGTCATTGCATCAATGCCCCAACTGGACCCGAGCACCAAGCAGAAGTGACCCACAAACGGTATATGGGCATCAGAATCAACAAATGGACCAGCCACACCGACATTGTAGAGTTAGTTGTACTAGTTGTTGACAGGCCTTCTATGGCCACGAGCATTATCTTGTGTGTGCGTGCGTGCACATGCACTCGTGTCCATCAACGCTGCTTTAGTTTCGTCATAGTAGTCGTGAAGTCAAGCCTTATTCCAATTTCATCACTAACATTGCGCGCATGTTATTTATTATACCCCCCCCCCCTTATCGCTGTTTGCCCCATCCCTTGATAGTTGACACCCGCACCCTGCTCTTGACTTTCTCTTACCACATGCATACTGCATATGTGTACAGTCAACAACACACTGCCAATGCCAGCACATTATCATCGTAGCAAAGAACACGTTGAGATAGGAACCACTGAAACTTATCTTGAGTTTTGTCGAGTATCGGGGAAAGAAACATCAATGATTAGGCACGGAGCAAGACGAATTCAAGTCTGTAGCTTGTTTGGCATCTGAAAGTTTTGCCAATACAATCAAGTGTCAAGAAGAAATGCTTCCCGCTTACCCAAGATGGGAAGTGAGCAAGTCCTAAGTGCATCAACTCATGTCCACACCCCTGGCCCAGTAAATCACGGGATGCTTGGCGATATCAAGTTTGCCCCCCCCCCCCCCCCCCCCCTGGTGGGCCCTCACTACAAGCAGGAGTAGAAATATGCCATTATTATTTTTCTACTCCCTGCCGAGTACCAGGCCCGGATCCAGCTCCTGAAAGGTGGTATGGCCAGGTCGGTCACAGGGCCGATCATTACCCCATGCCCAATTTCAGTCTAAATGGGAGGATGAACCGCTAGCTCTATGCTACATCGTATTTGCATGGTTGTTTCAGCTAGATATTCTGCTAGCAACAGCTACATGTACTCGTACCGTAGTAACGCACATATAGGCGCATGTGCCTGTATTCGGATATAAGCGCACTCTCACTTATAAGCGCATGCTCTTATAGGCGAAGCACTACCAAAATTCTCACTTTGACACAATCACGGATAAAAGTCTGCAAACAGCATACAGGAACCATGAAACTGACACTACAAGACCTTGTCAAGCACAACGACTCTGGCAAACAAACTCTGATCGTGCATGCGCGTTTAGGTGAAAATATTTCATTTCTGAAAATTGGATCCGTAGCAAAAGTCCTCGTAGCACAGTAGTCCTCACTGGACAGGAAGAACCATTTAAAGGGGAAGTATACCCTAAAATCAAATTTTCACCAGTTGTAGTCTTCTGGGTGCTGAGTCGAATGGTCTTGGTCCGAGGAAGCTGCGACGCTCCCTTCCTACTTGAATGCCAATCGAACTCGCGCACTTCCACCGAAACTGGGTGACTGCGCCCTACTAGATGGGGATTTGTATGCAAAATGTCACTAAAAGCGCCATTTCGTTCTTATAAAAGCACGGATGACCGCGATTGGCCCATATGTTGTAGTCTTTTGGACGCTGAGTCGACTGGTTTTGGTCCGAAAAGGCTGCGATGCAGCGTTCCTCCTTTATTCCCAATCGAACATGGTTGAACAAGCGGTCACGTGCTCCTGGGTGCCCAAATCACCTGGTCACCGCGCCAGCAGGCGACAACTTTCACACCAAGGTTCAACTCGAGTTCAACTCGAGTGACAGGACTGCACCCAAAAAAGGTCAAACAGGCTAGTAAGTTGTACCCTGCAGGCACGGTGACCAGCTGACTGGTGTACGCAGGAGCACGTGACCGCTTGTTCAACCATGTTCGATTGGGAATAAAGGAGGAACGCTGCATCGCAGCCTTTTCGAACCAAAACCAGTCGACTCAGCGTCCAAAAGACTACAACATATGGGCCAATCGCGGTCATCCGTGCTTTTATAAGAACGAAATGGCGCTTTTAGTGACATTTTGCATACAAATCCCCATCTAGTAGGGCGCAGTCACCCAGTTTCGGTGGAAGTGCGCGAGTTCGATTGGCATTCAAGTAGGAAGGGAGCGTCGCAGCTTCCTCGGACCAAGACCATTCGACTCAGCACCCAGAAGACTACAACTGGTGAAAATTTGATTTTAGGGTATACTTCCCCTTTAAGGAGGAAGAGACTCTTACCGCCAGTGTACTAATATAGCTACTTGCATTTACACATAACATTTTTAACGCTGGAATTGGCGCCGCTGGTACAGCCGTGGCCCTACCAGTGGCGTCACCCCTGGCCACTAGTAGCGCAAGAGCGCCTGGCCGGTCCCGCCAGAGCCTTGGCTTCACAGCCAGAGAAAGGGAAATCGCACGGCAGAGTGCAACTTAGCTTGTACTGTTGTAGGGCGTGAGGATCTTAGGCAGTGTACGTACTGAGGTCACACTTAGCACGATTGCTAAAACGTACGTCACTCATCAAGGGACCCTGATCACGTGCGCGGCTGTTCCCCTGTCCCCTGGCATTCGTAGAAAGGCTCTGTTGAAAACCTACTACCCCCTCCCCCTCCCCTCCCCCTTCCCTAAGAACAGATTGAATACAAGCAAACAGGGATGTTTGATCTTAAATGTATGTACACATCAGATGTTGATTACGACCGCAACCAGGCTACAGGTGCGGAAAGCAAGTAAAATATCAAGTTAAAAAAGTACAACAGCAATAGGTACAAACGGCAGTAGAAGTAAGGGAGAGAGGGAGAGAGAGAGAGAGAGAGAGAGAGAGGGAGAGAGAGAGAGAGAGAGAGAGAGAGAGAGAGAGAGACGCACGTGTGCATGCGTGCGTAAAGCAAAGCTATGTACAAAGCATGGTCATCCAGACTATGGACGGGTGGGTGTGCGTGCATGGGCTCGTGTATGCATCCCTGACCCCACAGTGTGTGTGCCAGTCTGTGACATGGTGTCTGGCGGTGATGTAATTGATGACATCATCAACAGAACACACTGATTACATTGATCTCTGCGGGAAGAGCTCCGGATACTGTGCGGACAATCTCACTGCTTCATCGTACGCGCCCAGATCTAATGACCAAAACACACACACACACACACACACACACACACACACACACACACACACACACACACACACACACTCACACAGCAGAAGAACATACTATCGATAGGGATCAGGCTTGTGCAAACACTACGCCATGCAACAGTCGGTTGGACTGCACCCACCAACCCTGACGTACAGGCATCCCAACATGATTTGACTGAGTTAAAATTAAGAAATACCGGTGAGGCTTGTGACAGTTTCGTTTTCAAGTTCTAATGGTTTGAGAGTTTCCCACTTGGATGTATAGATATCCATGCATCCAAGTACATGTACTGTAAAGCGACAAACTTTCGCGGCGCCCAAATTTGGCGTTTTCATAAATTTGGCTGGTTCACGATAAGAAACTTTTGCGATTCTATCTCTTCAGTCGGATCTTGTACTGTCCACAGTCAATGTACGGAGAGGTTTGCGGCGATTTGCATTCGCGAATGTGTGATGGTCGCGAAAATAGCGAAACTTAATCTCTAGCGAAAGTTTCTCACTTTACAGAATGGTTCAGCCTGTGTGATTACTGCTACGATGACGTCACCATGACGTCACTATCATACTGCTTGTGGGCGCATGCAAGCCTACGCATGCCAGTGCTGATTGCTGCGCGCAAGGACTTCTTGCTTTGCTCTCGATCTTTCACTTACAGTAAGTATCGTTTATAAAGTGACCGGATATAATGATATACCGGTTATAGTGATAGAACACGTCAAAATCAAAATCAAATCTGAAAAAATACAGCTAAAATATCACTATATACACTATTATCGGCTATACCGATATATCGCTTATTGTGATGGCCTTCAGGAAGCAAACCATATCAAATGTACAGGAAAATATCGCATATAATGATCAAGAGTGATCTTTCTGCATGCTCTTGTCCGTTTCTGGCTGTGTTGCCTCTCACGATGATGTTGCCAACTCACGTACACAGCCACTCATGTCTATTTCTGGCTCTACGCAACTCGTTGGACACCGAGTAGATCTACGTGAGCACGGATCCAGCTCAGGCTTTTTTTGGAGAACACGCTGAAGAAGCAGCCATGCCACATGATGTATCGAAGTTCTAGTACATGTACAGTCTGTACTCGTACTGCACTGCCATGCACTGCTCTGTGTCATGCACCGGTACACAGTCCGCGGAGCATGCATGCACTTTCAGCATGCTTTTTCCAGCGTGTACGCATCATTTCATGTGCAGTCATGTGCCATGTGTCGGTCAAACATGCAAATCGGCTATAGTGATGCACCGGATATAGTGATACATTTTCGAAAATCAAAGGGGCACGTTATATCCGATATTTACTGTATATTAAAACTTAAAAGTTATACCTACTGTAAATAAATATACAAAACTTCGGCATTTCAGCAGCGATTTATTTTCGGCACAGGGTTTACTAGTAGTGCATCACCAATACTGCACATGCTACAAGATTGAGTTGAATAGAATTTAATAAATGATCACTGGCTTCACTCAGCAGAGTCAGTCCAGCCAGCCCAGAACACTGTCAGCACCCGCAGCTCCAAGGCTCGTCGCTGCGGAGCGTCCGATGCTGCTGCTGTCTTCAGCGCCTCTCTCCAAATTCACGACTTTGGCGAGAGCCAGTGTTGTCAGTGTAGTGGCTACTCAAGTTTAGCTGCCGAAAGTCAACAGGCCGTGCAAGGGCTGCACTCCACAATGCCCCTGGGGGGGGGGGGGGATTCCGCCACTGATGAGAGCCAATGTTGCCAGTGTAATGGCAATTCAAAGTGCGGAGTCAAGAGTAGCTGCCGAGAAGCCAACAGGCCGTGCAAGGACTGCACCCCAGGGAAGAAGGAAAGATGCCAAACCCACCAACAGTCGACAAGACCACCACCGTAGCAGTGTAGCAAGAAGGACCCATGAGTGTGTGTGATCCCCGGTAGCCTAATCGGTAGGGCACTGTCCCGGAAAGACAGGGGTGCTGGGTTCGAATCCCGCTCGTGGATCCTTCTTTCGCAACATTGGCGCCCAACTTTGGTTCTAAATACCCACTCTCAGCTAACTGGTGTCTCTGTGTTATCAGTGTGTGAATCTAATCTACAACCATAAACCACCAGGGATTTAGATAACCAACATTTGGGTTTTAGACAACATTGGCTTTCAAACGATACGACACGTTACCGCCTCGCCACGTGCCTGGCCCCTGCGAGGCACGACGGTTGATGCAGCAGGTGCATGAGGAACTTCCTTCTTTGGAACTGCTTCTGGCCAGAGCTGTTTGGGATATTTCGTCTCCTGGCTTATTTCGCTGTTGCGCTGTTGAGACCTCCTTTCACGGAATACACTCAATGACAGGTGAGTCGCAATCGCAACAGCTGGCATGGGACACACTGGAGAGCTGTTTCGGATGTTTCGTCTCCTGGCTTATTTCGCTGTTGCGCTGTTGAGACCTCCTTTCACGGAATATACTCAATGACAGGTGAGTCGCAATCGCAACAGCTGGCATGGGACACACTGGAGAGCTGTTTCGGATATTGCGTCTCCTGGCTTATTTCGCTGTTGCGCTGTTGAGACCTCCTTTCACAGAATATACTCAATAACAGGTGAGTCGCAATCGCAACAGGTGGCATGGGACACACTGGAGAGCTGTTTGGGATATTTCGTCTCCTGGCTTATTTCGCTGTTGCACTGTTGAGACCTCCTTTCACGGAATATACTCAATGACAGGTGAGTCGCAATCGCAACAGCTGGCATGGGACACACTGGAGAGCTGTTTCGGATATTGCGTCTCCTGGCTTATTTCGCTGTTGCACTGTTGAGACCTCCTTTCACGGAATATACTCAATGACAGGTGAGTCGCAATCGCAACAGCTGGCATGGGACACACTGGAGAGCTGTTTCGGATATTGCGTCTCCTGGCTTATTTCGCTGTTGCGCTGTTGAGACCTCCTTTCACAGAATATACTCAATAACAGGTGAGTCGCAATCGCAACAGGTGGCATGGGACACACTGGAGAGCTGTTTGGGATATTTCGTCTCCTGGCTTATTTCGCTGTTGCACTGTTGAGACCTCCTTTCACGGAATATACTCAATGACAGGTGAGTCGCAATCGCAACAGCTGGTATGGGACACACTGGAGAGCTGTTTTGGATATTTTGTCTCCTGGCTTATTTCGCTGTTGCGCTGTAGAGACCTCCTTTCAGGGAATATACTCAATGACAGGTGAGTCGCAATCGCGACAGCTGGCATGGGACACACTGAAGAGCTGTTTCGGATGTTTCGTCTCCTGGCTTATTTCGCTGTTGAGACCTCCTTTCACGGAATACTCAATGACAGGTGAGTTGCAATCGCGACAGCTGGCATGGGACACTCTGGACCAGCAACTCACAGCTGCTCGCCAAGAAGACAGGGCCAGCGCAGGTACAGGGCCTGAACTCACCGGGTCACGCCGCTTTCCCTCCTTTGCTAAGTTTAGCTATATCCCCGAACCTTGCTCGGTCTTCCAGCCTCACTCTCACTCTCTCTTGCGGAGTCCACTCTTGCCAGTTGTTTTCTCTCTCCCACTAAAGCAAGCAGTAATGGTAGCCAATCAACTCTTTATTCAGCAGCCGCACAAGGCATACTTGCCAACCCAGCCAAAGCCGTTCCCTTACACACACACCCAGTGTCCCTTAGTTTCCTCTTCTTTCCCTTATTTTATCCAGTTTCGCCAATTTCGGCCAGGTTTCTCTTTTTTCGTCCTCAGTCAATTATTCATGATGTCTTCCTTTTTTAGTTGTTTGAAAAGACAACTCCTAGCGACACCGTATGTTTTAGCATGATACACCGATTCACTTCGTCGACTCCTCCAACACCAACAGAGAAATGGTGTGTATGACTGGTCACAAGTCGCATCTCAAACACCACAAAAAGTTGTTTTTGAACACCCGTGGTTCCGTGCCATTTCCCTTAGTTCTTCAAAAAATCCCGGTGTGCCGGCCGGTACTTGCCCTAGTTTCCTGGAATAATACCGGCAAAATCGGTACGCAGTAAGTACTCAGATAGTGAGCCAAGGAAATATTAAATTGGAACAAGGAAAACGGTGGGGCACAAGTTATGCGTTAGAGTCCATCAATCCCCACCCCCCCCCCCCCCCCCCCCCCCCCCCCCCGTCGTGGAATGTCTCAGTACTCCTTGTCAGTCTGGTGCTACCTTGTGCACGTCTGACTGTTCAAAACCTGGTTTAGTTGGTGGACTCTAACGCATAACTTGTGCCCCGCCGTTTTCCTTGTTCCAATTTTAAATCGGTATGGTTGGCAAAAAATGACAAAAGTTTTCTCACACCAAGCATATCGCGATTGTCTGGTACACCGCTTACAACACGGCAAATTCAAAAATTTTGATCGACCTCTTCGCCATTTCGGGGAAAATCCTTTTTTGGTGTGCTCTTTGAGCAACTCAGCACATGATAATGACGTAGTGGGCTAAAGTTTGAATTGGCTCGAAAAATTTGAGCGTTCTGCAATGGAGGAGAGTGGAATGGCGTTGATGGGGCAAATCTGCCTGCATATCAGGCTTGGAGACGACTTTGCCGTGTTCCCGCGCCTGATTTGTGGCGGCAGATTGATGTAATCTGTATTGCTCTCGCCAAGAGCTTTCCAACGAGTCCTAAAATGTGAAAATCAAGCGAAGAGGACCAAAGTTATGACCTGGGGAAGTTGCAAATTGTATTGAAATTTCTTATTCTGTTGCAGGTGATGTCATTTTTTATCTCAACCCGATGTCAAAAATAAGGCGTAATTCACTGATTACACGTTCCCGATACTGTCTCAGTTGCACATCCTCGTTTATGTACTCTTGGTGACGCAGCACAGCAAGTGCGTGCATGTGTGAGTGTGAGTGGGTGTGTGCGTGTGTCTTACCGAAGTCATTGCCCAGCGAGGCATAAAACTGCATGTCTATGGAGTTCTTGTCGGCCACTGTGCCCAGCACCTCTACAAAGCCATCCACCAGCTCAAACTGACACAGACAATAACCATGAACAACAACAACAACAACAACAACAACAACAACAACAACAACAACAACAACAACATCAGCAGCAGCAGCAGCAGCAAAAACAGTGCATTAAATTTTAGATTTCCCTCTTTTTCTCATTCCTATCATACATGCACAGGACACAAACCAGCGGTGAAATTGCAAATTACTTCCAAGGGTTTTGCTAACTTTTCATGCATGCATGCAGGCACACATTCACACATGCGCGCACACACGCACGCACACGCACACACACACATACTCATATTGTACTTGCTCACTGCCAAAACTGGTCACGTGGGTCTCCCCGGGAGGGGGGAGAGAGACTCAAAAGGAATCTTGGAAAGATGACTCAATCGGCTATTGAACCGCCCTGCAGCCAACACACCCTAAAATCCCCAAACTCTGGGTGGACTTGGGAATGATCCCACTTATGGGCTCCCCACACCTCAGTAAGTGGGTGAGGACAAGGTGCAGAAAAAGGATTGATGGCATCAGGGTATCCATCCCGGGATTCAACTGCAGTTACCCCTGCCCCCGGGGAAGGTAATACTTGCTACTCGCTGTGGGTGGCTAAATCAGAGTGGATCTAATATCAGGCAATTACCCACACATGCGCGCACACACACACAAACACACACACATGCACGCGTGCACACACACACACACGCACACACACGCACACACACATAAATTGAAGCACAAGCCAACTACGATGCACCAACAAGCACACGCCCACCTCGTCACCCAGCGTAACACGGCACTGGACCTGCGTGCCTTCTCCAGTCTGTATGCGTGCCCATTGGCGACTAACTTGGTCCACCTGACAATTCAGTGTGCGAGAGGCCACAATATCAAGAACGCAAAGCAACACACACACTAAGCATAAAGTCAAACTTCTTCAGGACGAACACCAAGGGCCCGATGGTATATGTTAGCACGTTTCTGTGCCCACTGCGAGCACATATTCTCTGGCATGTGACTGTATGATGTACAGTGTAACGGAGTGTGTGAGACTTCTGCTTGTGCGCCCGTGTGTGTGTGTGTGTGCGTGTGTGTGAACGTACGTGTGTGTTCGCGCACGCGCGTGTGTGTGTGTGTGTATGCACGCGTATGTATGTGCGTGTGTGTGTGCGTGTGCGCGCGCGTATACGCATATGGTTGGTGTTTTTGTATACCGTAGTGTCTTGTATTAAAGCCGGTCCCGTTTAGAAGCCTGTTTTGAATACAAGCCTGATTTTCAAGATACACGGGTGGCGCATAGGCCTGCTTTTAGCATGGACATACATAGAGATACATGGTTTGAATAGAAGCCTGACTTGAATAGAAGCATAGCACTGACATCGGCTTCTACAGGAATAAGCACGGCTTTAAAGGGGAAGTCCGGTGAAAAATTTAAATTTCACAGTCCGTAGAGTTCGGGGCGCTGAGTCGAATGGTCTTTGTCCGAGGAGGCTGCGGCCTATGGTTCGTCAGATACGCCCAATCGAACATGTGCGAATTTGAGCGCGCCTCGCCCAAATCCAGGTGATGACGTCACAGCGTGCAGCCAGGTAGCCACGCCATCTAGATGTGTACAAAACGGCCATATTCGGAGCGCGTTCGATTGGGGAACCGTTTGTCGCAGCTTCTTCGGACCAAGACCATTCGATTCGGTGTTACAACCACTACGTACCCTGTGATTTTCAGCTCGGTAAACCTCGAGGTTATACCGTATTTTAGCCGTTTCCGAGTTGCACTTTTTCCGTAGGCATGCAATGCGCTGCGTGCATGCTAGCTGTAGTGTATCACATGTAGTCAACAAACTCATCACACACGGAACTACTCCCGCACTGCCGTGCTGGGGTAGCTACAACAAGACTCGAGTCACAAGACTCAGAAAACTAGTCAACACACGGACTTGTCATGTGCTACACTCGTATCAGTCGTATTGTACAGTAGTCAGAGAACGAGCGTTTCTCCTTGCCGGTGCCGGTGGTTGTGCTTTGAGAAAGAAAATTTTAGTTTTCCGCTCCCGCCTCATTATTTTATGCTACAGCGATGCGTGCACAACCGTGACAAGTGACAAAACAGCGAACAGCTCCCGGACCTTGAACTTTCAGATCCCGTAGCGTTCCAAGCGAAGAGTCGTGCCCGTGGTTCAAAGAGCCTGCACTGTTCTCCAATTGAGTAGTCCGAAATTATGCCAAGTTCGCACCAAAACATCACCATGTGGCAGGCTACTGGAGTCTAAGCGAATCAGTATGGAATAACATTTAGAGCACTCGCATCACTCTTCTCCATTTTGGCGACTCTGCTCTCCAGCGATCTGATAATTATATCAGCCTCGTCTGCAATAGCTGCTGCTTCTTCATCAGTCGGAAACTCAGTAGCGCTCACTCTTGACCGGCCCGCGCGGCCATTTCTTCAGCTGAATACCGAGGTTCTCAGCCCCAGACCGAACTCATGAAGTTCAGCCATGGCTGCATCCTCACTCTCACAAGGAGTTACGTCTTCGGAGTCGCTTGCACCACCTACTATGGGTCGCCAAATCATTTTGAAATAGCACTGACACTATTGCTTTCACGCACTCCTTTTGACCTAGCTGCACGCTATGACGTTGCGGAGGGTGTGGCGCGGCCGCATGACGTCATGGCGCAGCCCCCGAAACTCAGTTTTTCAAACGGGAATATCTCGAGAACGCTCTGGAGACACGTGGGACCAACACCATTCGACTCAGCGACCGAAACTCTACCAACCCTGAAATTTAATTTTTCACCAGACTTCCCCTTTAATACGCGACTTTACGGTATAATTGTGCGTAATTGTGTACGCATGTGGGTCGGTGCGCGTGCACACACGGTCAGTATGTGATGTGGTGGTGGTTGTGTGTGTGGGGGGGGGGGGGGGGGGGTCATGGTGTTTGCCGTTCTAAATACTTAGAGCCAAAATATCTGTGTTTGAGGTGCTCTTGTTCAAACTTTTTCAAGCAAACTGTTTTATCATGCATTCTTAGCACACGAAGCTAAGAAAAGCTAACAGGTACTGTTCCTACGCATTTCACAGAAAACCAACACTGTCCAAGACAGCACAAGCGAACAAATGTTCACACACACACACACACGCACGCACACACGTGTTCTCTCGTCAGACGTACCTCGACAACTTGCCCCGCCAGGCACACTGTACTGCCGATGAAATCTCCCAGCATGGACGATGTCACTCTGGGTCGAGGTGCAGCAAGAGACATGGTGTTCGTAGATCGGACACTGATTCAAATAACGGTAAGAAGGACGGTGAACTTCGTTTGCTGCTCTGAAGAAGCCACCGATCTGACTGCTAGCCAAAATAGCTTCAATGATTCGGAATGGAAGGCTGTTATGTTCATTCGATGGAAAATGAATCGTGAAATCGAAATGCATGCAAAATGTTCTTTCGTACGAGGAGATTTCCCGCCATTTGGATCTGTTTGGGCCGCAGCCGCGGCCCTCGTTCTGAGCGCCGGGCATCGACTCATCATGCATATCACCAAGTGTAGATGTTTATCTACTCTTGATATCACCAAGAGTAGATAAACTACTCTTGATATCACCAAGAGCAGGGAGTCGTAGGGAGTATTTTACGACTCCCTGACCAAGAGTAGATAAACAAACGACAAAACGTTTATCTACTCTTGATATCACCAAGAGTGGGTTATCAGGTTATGTACTCTTGATATCACTACCGAAAATCACGCATTTTTTTCAGAAGCATGACGTAGAAACAAAAATTAATGACTTGTGTGTGTACGTGTACGTGTGTGCGTCTACGTGTGTGTACGAGTCGAGTGTGTGTGTGTGTGGGGGGGGGGGGGGGGGGGGGGGGGATGACAATGAAGCTGCCTGGATTTGAGCTCTCCTATGTACTAATGTAGTATGGAGTGCATGTATGACCGGGACATAAGCATCAGCAATTTCACATGCAATACGGTGTAAGTTCAAAGGCAATGTCTGTACGCGTGGCGCATCACATCCAAAACCATCCAAGTCTCCGAGGAAAGCGGTTTTGGACGCAGGAAACCATAGATCAAAAAATGACACCTCTCTTGCCATACATCATCATGTTTCAAGTAGCATCAGTCAGTCATGATGCATTCAAAGTTCAGCTGAGTGAAAACCGATCAGAGCTTTCTTATGTCTGCGCTCACATACCGGTACATATATCCGAAAAAACAACAACAGGTGTGTGGTATTATATTTTGATGATTCCCAAGTGAGTCGTGTTGAGCGAACACGCACACTTGCCCCCCCCCCCCCCCCCCCCCACACACACACACAGACGGAGAACACACGTGTCCAGGAAGGCTAAAGTTAAAACCTGGTGCTAGGAAAAATTGCATCCGAAGCACGGCAGGTAATTGGACAAGTGTAGTGCACCGTTAATTAAAATACACAACAAAAGAAGAAGAAGAAAGATGACAAACAATGAGAAGGAAATCCAATAATAAAACTCAAAGGATACTACAAACAAGAAAAAAATAGTTGAGAAACAGCACGCAACAACGAAAAACTTCGAAACCGAATGAGGGAGGTGGAGGGAGAGAGAGAGAGAGAGAGAGAGAGAGAGAGAGAGAGAGAGAGAGAGAGAGAGAGAGAGAGAGAGAGAGAGAGAGAGAGAGAGAGAGAGAGAAATGGGACATGGGGGAGGTGGAGCATCCGCTGCTGGCCTTCCGATACTAATGAACAATTAAAACATAAGAAGTGAACTCCGTGGCGGGAGGACAAAAAGAGGTAAAACGGGGTTATGGAACTGACAGGCTGCCGGACACAGTGGTCCATCGTCGCGTTCCGATCTCACTGGCCGAGTGTAGGGCTAGCTGGCAGCAATCTAGTGGTCGCTATCAACAACGAAAATTTAGCACTCGCGCCCGAGCACGGTGTGAGTGTGTGCAGGAGATGGATAACACACGCAATAGGAAACAACAGAAGGAACAGTTACCAAACAGTAGCATCCAGTGCCACCGGAAAAAGCAGCAACGAAGCAAAGTAGCAACAGTACTCGCAGGCCAAGAGGCTGCATGGAAGGTCACAAAACACGGAACTAGAGAAATAGACTGTCACATCTTGGCGGATGGGGTCGCAACCGAGAGACAGCCATCACCACCAACGCCCTGTCATTACGGATGGCCGGCGGTGTTCACACACTTCCGTTATCCACAGTAGCTCGTCCCTGCAAGAGTGTGGGTAACTACCGATGACATCAGCACGACATCATCACCACCGCTGAGGTGAGCGCGACAGGACAGATCTGACGACGAGGTGGCGGCCGGACCGGGCTTGCGGTTTAGAACATCTCGGGGCCGATTTCGGCGAGGTCGATACCTAGGTGCTTGCACATCTTCGCCTGCGCAATGGTGGCCTCGCGGATGGAGAAGAGGTGAACCATCTCGATGCGCGTGCGCACCAGCAGCAGCGCCTGATCCCAGTACTCGACGGCGCGGTCAATGTTGTGCCGCTGCACCTCCAGCTGTGCCATGGTCTCGTAGACAAAGTCGCTGTACGGGTCGATGGTGAGTGCGGCGTTCAGCTGCTCCAGGGTCTTGTCAAAGTCGTGCTCGCGCTGCAGCACCAGCAGGGCCTCGTGCACGCGCACAGAGACGTTCTCCGGGTCGGCCTTGCGCGCCGCCGCGTACAGGCGCTCAGTCTCGCTCAGGTTGCCGGCGTCGGCCGATACCTGCAGCGTAGGACACACAGGAGCACCACACACACACAGGCAGAGAGAGAGAGAGAGAGAGAGAGAGAGAGAGAGAGAGAGAGAGAGAGAGAGAGAGAGAGAGAGAGAGAGAGAGAGAGAGAGAGAGAGAGAGAGAAGAGAGGCAGAGAGGCACAGCCACACACACACACCATGTACACCAAGACACATGAAAACAAAGCCTAATGTTAGATGGTCCACATTTGTTATCGGGACTGTACACTTCCACAGTACTGTAGTATTTGAGACAGACTGAGTGGTTTCACAACTATATCCCCCGACTCCAATAATGTAGAAAGAGTCCATGAAATACAGACAGTGGAACAAACATGGCCGATATCATGTGACCCATAGATGCAGGGGTCGAGTGGAGTTGGAACCAAAATGGCTATCCCGTATGGTCACGTGATACATGTGAAACAGCAGCAGCAGCAAGCGCTGTCCAACTGGCAGTCTGAGGGAGCGTTCGGACCATCACTCTTCAAGTAGTTTCGTTTTCTGAAGAGGTGGCGTATTGGCCTGTCCAGAGAAGTACGAGAGAAGACATTCAAACTACACGACTGGCCATGGCTGCATATCCCCCCCCGGCAGGTCTACAACCACTTTTCCGCGGGACGCCGCTACCCCATCCCCATGATCACGAATAGTCTGCACGTCCTGCTCAACGCAATCCGATTGTGTGAGCGTGGGTTGGACCCTGCACCCGTTCGCATTCCAGTGTTGGCAGGTCTAGGGCTGCATAGCACCCGGCATGGCATTGACCCGCTTGATCGGATTTCATTGAGCACTGCGACTGGCAATTGTCATCATTTCCTCACCTAAGAAACAGGAGCGACTTGCACCTCTCGTCTCTCTATCACGGTCTTAGACCAACCCACTGTACCTGTCTGCTTATCTTTGCACTGAAGGCCCAAAAAGTGGCCGCACAACTAAAATAAACTACTCTGATTTCAGAAATTTTTGGTGCTCAATATTTTCGGTATGAGGGCAAAAGGCCAGGTTAGGTGAACAGAAATTTTAGGTACAGAGAAGCAGTTCCCTATTGGATTAAGTGTGTTAGTGTTTGTTTGGTGTATAATAATCAGGGTTCGCAGCCAACCAAGCACACAAAATTCCAAACTTTTTCCAAACTTTTTCCAAACCAATTTCAAGAATTTCCAAACCCACTCGTGCAGGAAAAATAAATTATAAATCTCTTCTGCACGACTGTCTTCTCCACTACGAGTACAACCAGGGAGTAGTAAAATCCTCCCTGGTACTACCATCAACAAATTCACCAAGGTGCATTGCGATGATATCGCCTTCAGCAGCTAGAGCCTCTGAAAATAGCAGGGGAATTCATACGACGAGAGTTCCCCTCCGTAAGTTCAAATCCGCCTCCAGAGGGGGTTCCAATGAAACATTTACATAGCTGGTGTCCATCTCAGCGCAAAAGACGGCTTCATCCTCGCCATCAAACTCATCTGAGTGCGAAAGGACCTCGCCATCCTGCTGTCCCGACTTCAAAGAATCAAAGTGGAGCGCGAGCGCCAGTAACAAAAAAACGGCCAAATAAAAAGTCATCACCGGCCGCGCTTGAGCTGCACTGAAATGACTGTACGAGACTCGTACATGCAGTGAACACCACGCATCGCCAGCGCGTCTTCTATCGCGGCACTCAAAACCGCGTACTTGCATGCAGTACTGCCAGCAGCTAGTAGTGCAGCACATCTGCGGCCAAAAAATCGAAATTCAAAACTTTTTCCAAACTTTTTCAAAAGGAGCGCCTTTTCAAAACTTTTTCCAGACCTGGAAAATTGAATTATAAAATCCAAACTTTTTCCAGACTTCCAAACTTCGCTGCGAACCCTGTGTATTGAAGTTTTAGGCAAGAAACAGATAGTACGCCGAAAATTTGTGAAATGACAGTAATTGGCAATCGTTGCCGTGGTCATGACCTCACCTGTCCATACATGTAAAGGCCCTCGGCATAGTCGGGGAACTTGCTACGGATGTCCTCAAAGCATTGCATGGTCTGCTGCAAAAGCCGGCCATCACCCGTCATTGTGGCCATTTTGTACATTGCATACGCTTGCTGAACCTGAATACAAACGGAAAAAAGAGCGTGGCAACGAGAAGGAGTATGAGAACGAGAACGCATGTGTGTGCGTGTGAAGAGACTGAGAGATAGCGGAAAACGTGAGCTACAATAAGAGCATGAAAACTACAAAAAGACAATAAAAATCACTAGCTCCTAATTATCCAACAGTCTCACACATAAATAAGTGGGAAACTCATCCCCTTTCGAGGACTAGGTCACCATGACTACACGCATGTCCGCAGAAATTGCCAAAGGAGTAGTACAGTTGCGCTCGGTGAAATCCGGCCCGAAGTGCATAACTGGCGCCCAGTACTGATGCGGCCCTTGACGCCCTCAAAGTTGTACAAGTGCTAGTGTGCACGTGTGCCGTATGAACTGTGCATGTGCTGTACTCATACGCATGCATGCTTACACCAAAGTGTAAAAAACCGCGCCAAACAAAGACAAGTGTAACATTCATTTCAGTTCAGCACAAGTAAAGAAGACGGAGATCGTTTCGAAGCAGTTTATTTCATACACAGAGCAGCAGGGCTTCCATATTTTGTGTGGCCACCGTCTGCTTCGATTAGGGCTTCAACACGACGTGGCATTGACTCCACGTATGGGGAAACCGTGTCAGGAGCCAACGTGTCCCACTCCAGGTGCAGTGCCTGCACCAGCTGGTCAGCATTCTCGCAGCGATGTGGAATTATTCTCTTCTTGAGAAGAGCCCACACATTGGGAATGGCCATGTCCTTCTTCTCTATCTCTTCTTGATCTTGAGCTGTACTTCGTGAAGTGAATGAAAGAAATTTTGAACTGTTTTTAGCATGCAACACGTGCACTCCAAACTTTTACACGAGGTGCGTACAGTTGAGTTCATACACACAAATCGCCAGTGATGTAATGGGAGCTGGCTTCGCGGCGCCGGCTTTGCACTTCGGGCCGGATTTCACCGAGCGCAACTGTAGTAGTAGGCCAGGGTTCCTGATCGTCACACTGCACAGTATGCATGGAATCAAGAGTGCGTAAACAAGAGTATGCAGCTGTGGTTAGGGATCAGTGCACGGCGCGCTGCCTTCATTACGTAACTTGCCTCCATCACGCTCTGAAAGCATGCACTCAAACCCACAATTTCTCGACAAGCCCGTCCGTTTTTGCTTGATTCGTACCTATCCGATCTCAAAATTTGGCACGAGAACTCCAGTTCCGTACGAAAGTCATTTCAAACTGGAGGGAAAGTGCGGTGTTTGATTTTACGCAGTGCGCGGGCTGCAGCTGAATGATGTAATGAAGGCAGTGTGCCGCACATTTGACCCATAGAAAAGAGATCACAGTTGCATACTCTTGTTTATGGACTCTTGATGGAATGCAATGTAGAGTGCAGACAGTAAAAGCACTCTCCTGGAGCTGCACTTCCCGCACATGCACATACCGTATTTTCCGGAGTATAGTGCGCACTTTAGATGTGCTATTTTAGGCCCTAAATCGCAGGTGCGCACTATGCTCCGAATATGAAATGCATGTACTTCAATGCAGATTGAAGTGTGCACCCCCAATGAAGATTGGGGGTGCGCACTATACTCAGAAAAATACGGTACCCACGCACACTCAGCACCATTAGGGGATCACCACAACCCCATACAACTTACTGCAGTGAAAGTACAGTGGAAACTCACTTAGTGCGTACCCAGGCAAGACGTACACCTGTTTAGTACGGTCCTTTTTTGTCGCACCGATTTTCCTCCCACAAGCGCATATACAAAATTGAAAGGAAAAAAACATACACAGAGACCACTGGACTGCCGCCCAGTCATTTAATGTGGACGGATAGGACGTACTCTGATAACACGTACAGTTTCGTGTACGACAAACTACTTTTCAGCAGGTCCCAACAGAGCTAGCTTCGCATACTACATACTATGTTCATGTCTTCGTACACAGTGATACTCTCAACGTACACGCGCATACCCGCACACACTCAGCAGGACCACAGCAACCGCGTACAACTTTTTATATTGCAGTGAAAGCACTCCCACAATACTATTCTCTCCGCACTTGCACACACACAAACACACGCACACACTCACTCAGCAGGGGATCAGCGCAACCGCTCAAACGACTTACTGCAGCAGCTGCCCAGTCAGGGGCAAGCTTGACGGCCTCCTGGTAGTCAGCCATGGCCTCCGCCATGTGGTTCATCAACGCATGCATCTGGCCGCGATGGTGGAAGACGTCGGCATTGTTTGGAGTAGCAGCTCCGGCACGCTGGAAGTCCAGGAGACCTTCATCGGTCCTGCCGAGAACAAGATACTGGCTGCCTCTCTTGATGAGGGCATGGCTCTGCAGAAGATGTACATTGTACACACATGCACACACACAGACACCACAGAAAGAATGATTGAAAGAGAAGTGTGTGTGTGTGGGGGGGGGGGGGGGGGGGACAGACACGATCCACAAAGGACGAAACAGCTCTGTCCACAGATTGACTAGATAGACAGACAGACAAAGTAGGAGCATGATACAAGAATGAATACAATAAGAAAGTCTGTCTCAAACTGATCAGAAACCGATCTATATCGGTGCTTCGGAGAAGCTAACCCAAGCCCTAATAGCAAACAGAGACGCCATGTGTTATGGGCAGCTCTACCTAGCTTTGCAGGCTGCACTGAGCATCACAAAAACTTAAGTTGTACCCTCAAAAACAACATAAAACATGGAGTAATGAAATTGAGTACATGTATGAACATGCGGGACACGAACAAACATGCTTGCGCTGTTCGACATACTGCGTTGAATATGCCACCGGAACCAATTGAAACTTGCGGAGCAGTTCACTCAGCTGCAGCAGACTTTCTGGGCCAAAAGTGTACGGTCTACCCCAACCACAGTGGCATAACTGGTCCAGAATATTCTTCAAGCAGCTCAAGAAATAGATGGAAATTGTGGAGTGCACGTATACAGCTAGTTACAAGTAACTACAAGTGGACATGTACATTGGCACTCGATTCTGGCTTAGTGCCAGGCACTGAAGCGCGGCCCCTTGTCTATATGCCCCATGCACATGCTGAATGAAGGTCACGATAGTTTTTTTTTTGGGGGGGGGGGGGGTGCACGTTCCCCCTATGCCCCTCATGGTCTGTATGCCAGCCCGTCCGGTTCAAAAGCGCCCAGTAATTCCGACCGCAAACTTGCCCAGCAGTCAGCTATAAGTCCTAGCCATATCACTCACCAAGAGCTCATTGGGAGCAACACCATCCATGCTGATCACAACGGCAAGATCGACCATGGCGTCGTCGAAACGAGAGTACATCTGATTGACGGAAGCAGCAATGAGATGCAGCTGAGCGAGCTGGGTCTTGGAGAAGTATCCCTCGTCGTCGGAAGCGAACAGCATAGCACGGCGGCACGCTTGCTGAGCCTGAACATGTGTCAACACGCAAATCACGGACACGGGCGCAAGATACCCACAGAGACACACACATAAATACATACATACAAGCACAGACACAGACACACACAAGTGCGCAAACAACACCCACAGGGCAAAACTCAACATTCAAGCACTGCAGAGATTACTGAGCAAACTGGCCAGCAAAAGAGGCTCTTTCGAAACGAGAAGCACTCAACAACGAAAGGACAAGCGGCCTACTGTATTCTTACCAGTGGGTACTGTCCGTTCTTGTACTTGAGCACGGCACGCAGGTAGAGGCGAGAACCTTCCATGCGCAGAGCATCCTCCTTGGTATCTTCTTTCTTCTCCTCCTCCTCCTCGGCGGTTGTGCTGCTGGCCTCCTGCGACTCTTCGGCGGCTGGCTCAGACTCGACAACTTCACCTTCCTCTGGCTCGGGTTGTTCCGCTGCCTCGGTCTTCTCCGCCTCGGTGCTCTCCGTCTCCGTCGTCTCGGCGTCCTCACCGTTTGCCTTCTCGCCATCGCCATTCGCCACCTCCTTTACGGCTTCTGTCGTTGCGGTCTCGGAGTCGGCCTTGTCTGCGTCCGCTTCGGGCGCTGCATCCGCGGCCGGGGTCGACTCTTCCTCGGTTGCCGTTGCCTCCTCGGATGTTTCCGTGCCTTCGGCGAGATTTTCTGCGGGCTGTTCTGCAGAAGTGCACTCGTCGCCGTTGGTCTTCTCCTCGGCAGCACCATCCGGTGTGTCACTCGAGGCGGTCGATGGCTCCGCCACTTCCTCAGTGGTGGTGGCAGCAGCCGCAGCGGCAGCAGGATGACGAGTGCGGTATCCAATGTTGTCACGGCTCACCGGCAGCTTCTCGTTGTCGTCGCCACTGAAGTCCGTACCGTCGGCACTCAGAGCAATGACGTCCAGCTCGCGCTCGGACTCGGCTAGGCACTCAGCGATGAGGTCGTCGCTGACGTCGTAGAACTTGCCCAGGTCAAAGTAGAACGAGTCCAGGTAGGTGCGGATGAAGTTCTTCGACACCTTGATCGGCGGCCGTTTGTCGTGTAGCTCCACCGCTTTCTTCTCACCGAGCTCCTTCAGGACGCGAGTGGCCAGCTGCATAACCTGATCAGAAGGGCGCGGGTCGCTCGGGTTGCTCGACGTCTCAAGCAGGTTGGCAGCAGTGATATCGTCCAACGCGGCGCTGTAGTCGGTCAGGATGTAGTTGCTTCGCGCACGGCGAGTGTACGCTTTCGTGTACTTGTCGTTCAACGCCAGAGCCTGTGTGCAGGAATCCTTCACCTCGGTCCATGCCTCAGTGCGAGTCGCCTCGACTGTTGCACCTTCGGCAATGCGCTCATACGTGGCGGCGATGTTTTGGTAGAAAATAGATCTTTGTACCCTCTGGTCTTCTGGACACTTCATCAACCCCTCCCTGTATGCCTCGATTGCAGCAGTGTAGTTGCCCTCCCTGTACAGAGCATTTCCAGCGGATTTACATTTCTGGAAGTCCTCCGGCTCCGGAGCTTTGGGTGTAGCAGCTGAGGATGCACTAGCATCTTTTTGCCCTGGCCCGCCAGCAGCCACAGTGGCACGTACATCTTCTGCCGTGGATCCACTCACACCAACGGACGAAGTATTATCTTTCGATGCCGTTGATGGAGACTGCGGAGTGTCATCATCCACATCGCTACGCCGAGATCTGTACAGTAAATACCCAGCAGTCGCAGCTACTGCTATACCAGCACCAACAGCAGCTCCTACTTGCCATTTAGGCCAGGCAGGCGGAGTCTGCTCCGTCATGGTCACTTTCTTGAGGAAATATTTCCACCAACAAAACAACAGCAGTGCTGCTCCTTTGACCTTGGCTTTGGGTGATTTGTTCGGCTGCCTGCTGTGTTCGTTGGAATTGCGCAACATTTCGTCTGGGGAAATCATAAAAAAGTGAGAAAATCACGTCACTCACCCCCTTAAACTTGTTCAAATTCCGCGGCAGTGAAGGTATTATGAAGAAAGTTACTGTCAACACGATATAGGCGTCATGACCTTGCCTATTTTTTGTTAATTCTCTCATACTCACGCGAGTGGGACTTTTGAGCCGCCATTTCTGAAGCCATGGAAACCTGATGGGTACGCATGCGCGCTGATCGAAAGCTTCGTTCTCTTTCTTGGCCTTCTTGCCCACGGTCAACATCACAACAGCAGCCATGCCGTTCGGAGGTGCCACAGTCAAGGATGTAGATCCTCACCAGTTTGTGAAGGCATTTTCCGCCTTCTTGAAGAAGTCTGGCAAACTTCGTGTGCCCGGATATGCTGATATCATCAAAACGGGCAAGCACAAGGAGCTTGGACCATACGACCAGGATTGGTTTTTCACTCGTGCTGCTTCAGTCGCACGCCACATCTACCTGCGTGGTGGTGTCGGAGTTGGTGCTCTGAGAAAGGTGTATGGAGGCCGCAAGAGACGCGGAACTCGTCCCTCTCACTTCTGCCTGGGATCCTCCAGTGTCGCACGCGCTGTTCTTCAGTCATTGGAAGCAGCAAAGTTGGTCGCCAAGGCTCAGGATGGTGGCCGCGTCATCACCGATCAGGGACGCCGTGATTTGGACAGAATCGCAGGACAGGTTCTGGGACGTGGAGAGTGAGAGATCTAACTAACTGTTGCTTTCCTGTTCTAAATTTCTCACTTTGATTCACCATCATTTCAAAGCTGAGAAATTTTTGTAAAAAAAAAGACCAAAAACAATGAAATAAATCTTGACTGTGTGGAGAGCATGCGAGTTGCGTGTCCATTGCCATCCGCTTCAAAGGATAGAATTATACCTAAGGCTTAGATCCGTTCAGTACATGTTCGCATGCTTTTGTGTTGGGGAGTAGCTAGCTTGGGAGATGTCTTGATCAATTATTTCCCACAAAAAGTGTAACCTATTTAGGGGCAATCCGGCATTGTCGATAATTTAAATTAATTTTCACGAAACGAAAATGCTTTAGTAGTTAGGATTCTCCCGCCCCCGACTGGATTTCATTGAGCACTACTGTAGTACGTGTGTGTGGTAATGGTAGTACACGTATTGTACCTTTCAATGTTGTAAACCTGGGGTAAGAGAAGACTAGATGCACTAATGTTGTCTTGCAATAATTGTAACTTGCTTTACGATGACAGCATGTTGTAAGGCAGAGGACACACTGTACTGTCCCCACAGAATAACGCGGACGAAATCCTAGAATCATGCGCATAATAATGTGGGCGAAAACAGGCCATTATGTGGCAAATATGCACAAATTCTCTGTCGTTTGTACAACTTTAGCATGCAGTTCCATGCAAGTATACAACTTTGTCGTACAAACTCATGCACTGGTACGACTTTGTAGTGCATTTTCAACATCATATACTATTTTCTTGTACATTCCATGAATAACACGAGTTTTATGCCAAATCTCTCGAAAACGCGGAAAATTGCACGTCCGCAGTATCCTGTGGGGACAGACTGTATGGAAATGCGTTGCCAGTAATTTTAAACGTGCTCTGTTTCTTCTGTGAAGTTTCGGGTTCACGTAACAGCATTGACATTAGAGAGGTTCCACACTACGTAAAGTTTAGCAGCCACGTGATTTGAAGACTCCGTATGGCGGAACACTGATGCGCATGCAGTTTCCGTCAGACTTTCCGTAGATCAACTACGTTTTTTACTAACGTAATTACGTAACCATCGTTATGCGGAACCTCTCTATTGCCTGCCCTTTTCGTCTGAAAGTATATACTTGTAAATATGTCTTCTTTTCTAGTCTCACCCTACAAAATCTTCTTGTTTGGCCATAATCACCCCACGAGGGTCTTACCCTGCAGCCATTGTAGTTTCTGTGTCTCATCTCTCCATTGCTCTGGCATGATTTTTGTGACTTGTGTTTTTTTCCCTGTCGAGTACGATTTGTGTCCACGATAGGGTTAGAGGTGGCATTCTCTCTTCTGGGCTTGTACGGTGTCACCATATCAAAGTGTTCGATACCAGTTTGCCGTTATGGTGGACTCTGCACGCTCAAGTTTGTATGTCCAGTCGTTGATTTTGTGTAATGAACCAAGCCCGTCTTGTTTGTATGCTCGGTTCACGTAGCAATGCCAAGTGTGTATCATTGTTTCGTAAAGACATCCCTCTGTGTGTGTGTGTGTGTGTGTGTGTGTGTACCATGCATGTGGGTATATCTAGGCTGCTTTGGAATCTGGATTGCGGCATTCAGCCTGGTAGCCATGCACTCCCTGTAGCTAATGCACATGGTGCAAATAGTGTGGGCGTGATTTGCAATGCGCTATGAAGTTCTGTAGTAGCAGACCCCATAGACTGGACTGCATTTCTTTGTATGGGCTTCGTTGTGGTGTGATTCCATCATTCTTGCGTTGTGTGTTTGTGTACGTCTCGGATTGTTTGTGCATGTTAGATGGTGTACTAGTACCCATGTCTGTTATTTCCATGCCGGTATGTCTTTGCTTCCTGTGTGGTCGTGACGTTGGTCCATTCTGTACTTCAACTTCTACGTTGGCCGGGAATTACATGTAGCTACATATAGGTACCGGTGCAACCGGCTGCGGCTTTGACCGCTATAAAGGTAATTTTTAATACTTGCGTCGAAAATAGTACCGAATTCCGGAGCCTGATTTGCTTACAGTAGAGTCGCACGGCCTGGGATGTCCTTACCTTTCAGCAATCTGTCTGTGCGCCTATGGCATGGTCTTAGAAACTGTGTACAGTCAGACCTCGCTTAACCGCACACATCCGTTTTCCACAAAAGTATCCGGATAGGCGAGGGAACCGGATAATCGAACACACATACTCTGTGTGTGCATAGCATTGCTGTAAATCGGTGACCAACAATTTTCTTCCGAATGGCGAGGGATCCGGATAAACGAGAACCGGATAAGCGAGGTCTGACTGTACTGGGTCAGCTGCCAGAAAGCCAACAAGGCTGTGGTGTTCTTCCACTTTCTTATGTGCCCGGCTCTATTTGAGGCCTTCATGCACAACGTTCTCGTGCTGAATTGTTTCACTGTGCATGTTGGGTAATCGTCTCTGCTGGAGTTCTGTCTATTGCAGTTGTAACTGCGCTCGATAAAAACGGACCAGAAGGCAAAGCTGGCACTCGGGGACCAGTTTCCAATACCTATGCCGCATCACTCTCTAATTATGTGCAGGATTTTGTACATCCAGCAGTGTTCCAGTTAAAGTAGGGTCTCGCGTCCAAGAACATGGTTTCCAAGGGCTCTAGGACGTTCTTATTTTTCAGCAATTTGGATATATTCTTAGAAACAATTTGTACTGAATGCGATGTATCCTAAAAGCTACCAGGAAACTAGCATTTCAGGCTCAACGTTCTTCGCCACACGACTCTACTGTAGGGCAGCACGTTTGCACTTTGGTTGGGACGGATTCGCCCAGGACAGCTGAACATGATTGTACTTTCAGTCTTTGCTTTTGCAAGCTTGATGTCTACGATACTGTCTGGTGCACAAGAACTGGTAGTTCCGAGTCATAGCCTTGCTACACGTACAGTCCGTTCTATTTTTTCATGTACATAATTATAGAACTGTCTGAACCACTGTGTACTCGAGAAGCAAGAGTACATGTACTCTTGCTAGAAGGGTATCCTGCACCTGGTAATATTGCAGTCCGTCTATGTTGGTATGTCATACTTCGAAGTACTCTGTGTGACTGTCTGAACCATCGTGTACATACGGGTAATATCCTGCACCTGGTAAAATTCCAGCCTGTTTGTTCTTCGGCGTCCGACAGTCAGTACTGCTTGATACTCTTGTTGCTTTATCTTATGAATGTGCCCTGAATGATAAGCTCCCCCATGTCAGTCATCCAGCCATTTTAGGGGGTTCGGGTTCACAGGATGCTTCCCGGGGACCAAGCAGCCCTCGCCCTGGACTTCAGGGCTAATCATAAGCACTGGGATACCATGCATGCAGTTCTCCGTTGTTTCCGAATTTGCCTCTTGAACCTGTATCCGAGATCCCGTGCGTTTTATATAGGGCTGAAACGATCATTCAATAAGTCTTAAAACGATCAACCAATATCATTAACGATCGATATAATTATTGGTTTTATCGATTCTTGTCGGCTCCACCCGTGTATTTCGACCACCAGTTTATGGAAAAATTCCACGGTACCTTTGCTACGTTCGAAAATTTGTGGCACCGCACTGTTGACATCTGTAGACATCTGGCTGGTTTATCAACATGACCTAGAGAATTTCATGTTATTTCTAGAGCGAAGAATCTTGTCATCACCCTCCGGCAACTGCTCTTATCTCTGACCTTTCCCGCAAATGAACTGAAAAGACAGAGTATTCTCTTCCGACCTCTTTCAAAGCCACAAATCAATTTTACTGCGCTTGAAAGTACATGATTGTACATGATTGTACTCGTCTTCACTATCGGATGGAGTGCAAGGGCTAGAATACTGTCACTCATATACATGCATAAAAAATCGTTAGCACTCGTTTTGAACACTAACGATTATCGATTGCACTCTTTACGATCGATATGCGAGTTATCGGTATAATTGTTTCAGCCATAGTTTTATAACGTTAGTTTCTGGAGCTTTATTTTGGAAATAATTATAAAATCTGCGGTGAATGCATACATACCTATAATTAGTTTACATGCATGCATGACACGGCCCACGGTGCCTTGCATTCGTGCCGTGTTCGCTTCGTGATACTAGTACTAGAGTAGATCATGCGAGCAGAAGAGGCAAATGAGTATAGTAATACTTCCATTAAAACTCGCCCACGGGGTGCACGGTAGACCGTCGTCAAGGTGCCCATAACTTTGAGGTCCGGATAAGAAAGAGCTGAATGCGTAATGGTTGGGGATTCCCGGTCAACCTGCCCACGGGTCCATCATGAGAGAACATCTGTATACCTCTGCCGACTTCTCATGATACCATGCATGCAGCCTCAAACCCGGTAGAGCCTAGGGTCCGGTGGATTCTGCCGGCAGAAAAATTGGCAGAATTGGGTACTTTTTCTGGTAAGTTTCATGCATGTTTGGTATATGGATAAAAAAAATGGAGCAGAATTCGAGGAATTGCCGGCCATAAGGTTTTGTATGGTTCTGCCAATTTCACTGCTTTTCGAGCAGAATTCGCCGGTCCCTAGTAGAGCCGGGGAAATAGAATCTACGGTGGGCGTGTAGTACAATTTGTTTGCATCAGCGTCAAAGTCTGTAGCTGGGTCCGACAAAAGCGACTCGGCTGCGCACTCGTTTTGCGGAGAACCCACCAGCCACACTAGGCATATCTGGGCCTATACTCGCACACACATGCACATGTAACTGTTACATGGTGGTCACGGATGATACCGTATTTCCCCCTGAATATAAGTCGCACTTTTTTTTACACTATTAAAACCGTCTACGGGGCCAACGATTTCTTTTGACAAGGGGATGCGACTTACAGTCGCAGGGAATTACGGGACATGTAAGCGGGCCTGAGCAGTTTATAGCGGCTTCCGCAGTCTTGGGCGCCGAGGCGGGGTAAAGCGGCATGATTCTCTCCCAGAGCCTAGGCCTGTTAGGGACCGGCGGATTCTGCTCGAAAAGGTGGCAGATTCTGCTGGGAAAGCAGTGAAATTGGCAGCACCATACAAACCTTATGGCGGGCAATTCCTCGAATTCTGCTCCATTTCTTTATCCACAGACCAAACATGCATGAAACTTACCAGAAAAAATACCGAATTCTGCCAAGTTTTCTGTCGGCATAATCCGCTGGTGCCGCGGCTAAGGCCTGTACTTATGGGACCGAAACATGCATCCACGGGCGTCGGTCGGTTTCCTGAACCGGCCGGGGCAGCGGATTTTACAGAAATGCTGCCCTGCTTTTCCCCAACTTGGATGATAGACCGCGGCTAATTATTCGTGTAGGCAAGAGTACAATACAGTCATGTACATTGCTGCTCAATGAAATCCAGTCTCGTCACTCAAGTACACGCCGGGCGTTGCGCAGCCCTAGACCTGCGAACACTGGGCTCCAAAATGGTGCAAGGTGCAAACTTGAGTGACGCGGCTGGATTTCATTGAGCGGGACTGTATATACAATGTACAATGTACATGACTGTAATCCCCGGGGGTTATGACTTATGTTACTTATGTACTCTTCGCGTAGGTCATAGCTACTGTACAATGACTGATACTATCAGTCATTGTTTTGCGGCCACTCATTGTACATGACTTTTGTACAGTGTACGTATGTTTTATGGGCAGGGAATAATTTAACCGGTATTGCATCGCAGTATGCAAAGGATTGACAGTAAAATATTCCCCGATGGGGCCTCAAAGTTCGGAACTTTTATTACGCTAAACTTCAGATACCATACATTTTCAGCCAGCTACATGTGTAATAAGCGGTCCTAAGCCGGGGTTTTGCAAAAGATTATTGTCGTCCCTGGCGAAGCCAACATTCACGGTTATTAATTTCACTCTCGGTCCTGCGTGTGCATGCGTGCGTGCCGCGGGACGTGTGCATGTACACACATGATGTACTTGTATCAAGAGTGCATAATTATTAGGGCTCAAACGGTTAGTCCGATTAACCGGTTGCAGACCGGTTACGAAGAATTAACGGTTAAAACCGATAAAGATAACGGTTACGCAGTAACTTTTTAGTCAATTTTTCAAGTATCAGGTCGTTGCAAAGTATGCACTTTCGCAGGCTGTCGCACTCGTACGCAATTTCTGGGCTGTCAACTCGGTCATATCTGGTCTCTTGGTGTGAGAGTATGTATGAATGAGCATGCAAGAGAATGTACACGTGTGCATTGTACTGAATAGGGTACATTTTTTTGAATGAGTACGAGTCGCTCTCGTATAGTCAAATATACCGTTATAAAAGAGTCCGCAGGATTGCCTTGGCTTAGTTATAACCGTTAAACCGACCGTTAGCTTAGCAGTTAACCGTTCGGGGTAAAACCGTGACCGTTTGAGCCCTACTAATTATGGACTCTTGCTTGTATGTATGCACCTACAATGTACTGTAGCTCAGCTGACAGGGGCCTACAAACTCAACAATAATCATGCAGGGCCCGGGGTGTGGGAAGGTATTCGGCATTGATGCGGCCACATGAGTAGGTGGGGGTGCAGGGGTTCTCCCCCGGGAAATTGGGCCCAAATCATCCGGGCCGCCGGGCCCATATGATTTCATTCACTACAAGAGTCACAAGGTGAAATTAAATTATTGGTGCGGCTTTGCGGGCCGGACCTGCCGCATCGCCGGGTTCCGGCGACCCTGTAAGGATAATAGTAATATCACTTGGGTACTTTTTCTGGTATGTTTCGTGCATCATTCATGTTTGGTATGTGGATAAAGAAATGGAGTAGAATTCAAGGAAGTAGTAGTAGAATTTATTATTTTGATAGGGAAGGCCGTACAGACGTTGAAGTACTGCCGTACGGTTTGTATGGTTCTGCCACTTTCACCGTGCCGCTAGTTTCGGCTAGCAGAATCTACCAATGAGTCGAGCATTATCCGGGCTGCCGAGGGCTATTTGCAGTCCAAATCGCCATAAATCGCACGCAAACGCATAGACCGTCTACGCATGCACACGATACCGTCACGAATTGTAGCTAACGTATTGGGGTTATGCCGGGCCCTATATCATAAGCATAACCCGGAGTGATACTCATGACTGGGGGGGGGGGGGGGGGGGGGGGGGAGGGGAGGGGAACTAATTTTTTTATTTATTTATTGCAACATCTCAAGACTCGGCGGAAACACCGGCCAATATTACGAGAGTGGGTGATTGCCAACCACGGCGATAAATAGAAAGAAGGGGAGGGAAAAAGAAAGAGTAGCAAAACGAACAGCAACAACAACTCCGTAAAGAAAGATAATGTCAAATAAAAACAGTGAAAAACACAGAGACGCAAAGGACATGTGGATAATGAGCTATGCATGTCGTAGTAAATAAGGGGCGGCACGGATCTTAAACAGGCGGAGTGAGGTCAGGTCCTTAACTTCTCTGGGTAGAGTGAGCCAAACAGAATAAGCAATAAAGAAACTAATGCCACTTTGTGGCAAACCAGCGCCAGTGGAGTACTACTACAATCATTCATGACAACGTCTACAAGCACATGATGATTGTACTGTTGTGTAGATCAAGCAAGACGCTTTTATGATTCCGGCGTTATCAGGTTATGAACTCAATCTTGCTTTGACCCATTCACTGTCGTGCTTTGTTGTCTTGCTTGACATCAGGCCAGGGAGCACTACTCCCTGCTTGACATTGCAATGCATTCATGATGCAGCCACCTGGTCACATGCTTTCTTTCGTTCACTTTTCAGCGGGTTTCTTGCCCCTGATCTGGGGAGTTGAGTGTGAAAATCTGTGCAACAACACCCATTCTCGCGGGCAGCGACAAAATATTGAACAAACACTCTTGTAAACCGGGCGAAAGTTGCGGGTAGCACGATTCTTACGTCATGATAAACGTGGAGACGTCATTCACGCATGCGTATGCGCGCGATTTATGGCGATTTGGACTGCAAGCTTGAGTGCACAGCGGTGTCGGCGTCACCAAGTGATTTTGTTGCGTTGCAATGTCAAGAGAGGGTTTTGTCAAACCAATGTACGACAGTTTTGTCACTGCACTGTGACCAAGTTTGAGTAAGAGAGTCATCTTCTCAGCTTGTTGGAGTAGTAGAAGGTGTGGGTGGTGTACACCGAGCGAACGTAGAAATTATAGCTGTGCTGTGGAGATTTGGACTGTTACTTCGTTGATCAGGTGAGGTTTTGTCGGGGGTTTGTCGAAGGATCGCGAGTGGAATGCCATGCATGCAGTTGTTTAGCGTTTCTACCTTTCGGTGATTCGATTTTGTGCCCATCACACTTTCACTCGTTAGGCCCCAAAACTGGCATGTGTAGCACTGTCGGAGAGCACTCCCACGTCTGTTTTCATCAGCTGATGGCGTGATGGTCAGAGTGTGGTAGTGCTTCAACCCGAATGGGGTTGTGCTGCGACTGAATGTTCAGGCAGACGTGCACAACTCTTGATTTGTTGGGTGTAATCGTTGTGCTACTCATGCCACTTGCACACCACAGTTCTTCTATTCCACACGGCTCTTGTATGCCTTCAGTTTGCTTTCACACGACCGAATAAACAAATATTTGTGCATGCAATGGTGTAGACCCCGAGTCACAAGTTCATTTTCTTACTGACTGAATTCGAATCTCAAAGGATTTGATAAGTGATATGAACCTTGGTATAATGAAGTATAGAAGTACATAATGACGAGCAGTGAAGTCCTGTGGCTGTAGTTTACAGCAGCCTCAGCTGTTTAGAATACTGCTAGTCCAATCATTACTTGACGGGTAGGGCTTCAAAAAAATTGCTTGTCGTAGAATTTCGGCTGGACCTGCGTCACAGCGCGCGCAAGGATGAGCGTGTGCGTACGTGTGTGTGTATGCGTGGTGTGTGTGTATGTGTGTGTGTGTGCACTCCGGCAGCTTGAGCTGTGTGTTTGTGTGTATGTCTTTCCATGGATATATTCCACTGTCCAATGCCATTGCCGCAGGTTAGCATTCGGCTTTGCCCTCGGCCGCCTGTCTTTTGCACTGCTGGTACATGCATTTGTGTGTGTGCGTGCGCGCGCGCGCGTGTGTGTGTGTGTGTGTGTATGTGTTTGTGCATGTGCATGTGTGTGTGTGTGTGTGTGTCTGTGTGTGTGTGTGCGTGCGCGCGCGCGTGTGTGTGTGTGTGTGTGTGCGCGTGTGTGTGTGTGTACATGCGTGCGTGTGTATTCACGCTGTAGTTGTATCTGTGTACAACCACTGTCTAATGGTTGGGCGTAAGGCTGTAGCCGTCTTCTGCATTGTAGAGCTGTAGGGGGTTTCCAGGTGATGGTCATGAATGTGTAGGAACATTGCGTGCCAAAGAACGGGGGATGTCCGATTTAGGCTAGTTGGTATGTTCTTATCTTTGAGATACTAGTACATGTATCATCTCCAGTGTTGATATGCTGTGCTTATACATTCACATAGGACAGGTACACCGTGCATGCAATGTCACATACCCCCCTCCCCCCACACACACACACTGGTGTTCCTAAATCTTTGCTTCCGGTCTGGCATCTTCTCTAAAATTTAATGTTGATGTCTTTCTAACCTGAATATTCTTTGAGGCCGGTGCTACTGTACTGCCTAATGTACCGCAGTATCAGGGACTACCACCGTAAAAGTATAGTCAACCTGGCGAACAACGACCCACGTTATTGGGCATGAGAAAAGAAATGTGTAGCTAATAGCTATTCACGGGTTGTCTTTATTTGTTATGGTAAAACGTATGGTCTGAAGATGGCGTCGTTGTTCACGAGGTGTTATATCCGAGATTGTTCTTGGCGAGGTTGACTGTAGACACTTTGACTGATGTACATACTCTTGGGGTGTTCTGTGTTGTGTGTGCTTGTGTGATGTGCTGGCCACTTCAGAGACTAGTCCACCGTCATCGCCATCATCGCCACCGTCACAGCGGCACTATTGTCGTCCTCGCTAGACCATGGCGTACGCGCGTGTCTCCCACTACGATGACCTGTCCGTAAAGAGCGAGCCAGAAGGTACGTAGTGCAGCCCAATGTACAGTGCTGGTCAATGAAATCCAGTCGTGTCGCTCAAGTACGTGCCGGGCGTTGCGCAGCCATACACCAGCGAACACTGGGCTGCGCAATGGTGCAAGGCGCAAATTTGAGTGATGCGACTGGATTTCATGGGCAGCTCTGTAGCTGTCTGCAAGAAATCGGATGCAGCCACTATTCTACTGTGGTATCTGTCACAAATTATGACTACCATATTTTCCCGAATATAAGTCGTGCCTTTTTACTCCACAACTTCAAGGGCAAAGAAGATCGTGTGACATCCTACCTATGCGAATGTACATGTATTGAAACAAGATTGCTCAAACCTGAAAAAATGGGGATGCGACTTGTAATTGAGTGTGACTTATAATCGGAGAAATACAGTGCTACTACCACTACCACTGCGGTTGCAGTACATAGTTTGTTGGTGTGTGTGTGTGTGCGTGCGTGCGTGCGCGCGTGCGCGCGTGTGCGTGTGTGTGTATGCATGCCTGCTTGCATGTCTATCTGTATGCATGCCTGCTTACATACAGACTCTTCGTCATCCGCGCCCATGAGCAAACTCGAGCAACAGGCTGTCCAGGTGCGGCATGCTCAAACATCATGGCAGTCCTACTTCCAGTAAGTCCATGTACATAGTTCAACAAACACACACACACACACACACACACACACACACACACACACACACACACACACACACACACACAGCTTCTCTCTCTCTTTTTTTCTCTCTCTCTCTCTCTCTCTCTCTCTCACACACACTCTCTCTCCCACTCTCTCTCTCTCTCTCTCTCTCTCTCTCTCTCTCTCTCTCTCTCTCTCTCTCTCTCTCTCTCTCTCTCTCTCTCTCTCTCTCTCTCTCTCTCTCTCTCTCTCTCTCTCTCTCTCTCTCTTGTTGTTTGTGTGTGTCGCACGTAGTATTGTCCACATGCCCAACAAAATGCCTCAGATTTAAGGTCCATTCTTCAGGTTTTCACGATGGCTGTCAGCATGATCGCTATATTTTCTCTCTTGTTTGGCCCACATGCCCGCCCACCCTACCCCGACTACCGTTACTTTGCCTGATTTTTCTTGTTGTTGTTTTGCGTTGTTTTCTGCCCATGCTCACACACAGAGGTAAGGTGATCACAGAAGAGGTGTTTCGCTTCATCTCGGATTACGATAAAGCCGACGTTGAGCGACGCACACAGCTTGTTGCCACACACGGTGTGCAGGTAAGCACAACTCTGGCATTGCTGTTGAGGTTGCTGCTGCTGCTGCTGTTGGTGCTGCTGTTTGTTGATCATGCAGTGGCCCTGCGGCTACTGTCTATCGGAGTCAAGAGTCATGCTATGGCAAACATGGGCGCGCAAGTAGCTACCCAGGCCAAATGAATAATGCATGAACTTGTGGGCCTAACATGTACATTGTGTGTGTGTGTGTGTGTTTGTGTGTGTGTGTGTGTGTGTGTGCGCGTGTGTGTGTTTGTGTTTGTGTGTTTTGTGTGTGCAGGCGGTGAAGGCTCTGCTGCAGATCCTGCAGTCAATCTCCAAGGAGCAAGTCTTGCAGTATGTGCTGGTGCTTATCGACGATCTCATTCAGGTACGTATCGGCATGTGTGTGTGTGGGGGGGGGGGGGGGTGTTCTTCTTCGTCTGGTGTTTGCTGCTGTTACCCACCCAACTCTTGTTGCTGGTGGTGCTGTGTCTTGGGCCACCAAGAACTCTGATGCGATGCACCCCATGCATGGGCAGTAGGAAAGTGTACTTAGTATCCAAGATACTTATTATCCAAACATACCTCTGTATGGATCAGTACCCCTCTACTCGGGATAAGTTCCTTACTAAGCAAGAGTATGTATTATCAGAGTACGTACTTAGAGAGTTCCAATGTACATATCTGTCACCACTAATGTTGCTGCTGTTTATCACTGGTGCTATTGCTGCCAGCATAAAGCACTGTCATTCTAGCATTGGCCGACTAATTGTTGGTTTTGCTTTGAGAGTGACAGTCGTCATGTCATGGCTATAGAATTCTTCAGTTCTTTCGGGTGAGCAGCTTGACAACCTACCCATGAGAGACTTGCTCAATTAGAATTGTGACATTCAGCCAAACCAGCCGCTCTGCTGTGCTGCGCTATTGCTGTACGTTAGATGTTTCTGCTGCGGTTAGCAAGTCATTGTCGCTGTTTACCTCCTCACTCCTTTCTTTGGGACTGCTTCGACCTGACATGTTGTTTCTGTCTTCTTCTTTTTTCTACACATGCGTGTGTGTGTGTGTGCGTGCGTGTGTGTGCGTGTGTGCGTGTGCATTACGCCATTGTAGAATGACCCAACGAGCATCCGCTTCTTCCACCAGTATGCCGAACAGTGAGTTTCCTTGAGAGCGTTTTTTGGGGCCTAGTCAGCTTTTACAGTACTTGTTTGAATCACTAGTATAGATATTGGTAGAACGTTACGTGCTGTCGGCTGCAGCTAGAGCTTGAATGAGAGGAGAAACTGCATCACTACATGCACTGTGCTTTTTAAAGCTGTAAACGTTTAGCTTCTGGTGTTTGGACCACAGAAATCTGGCGGATTTTCTCTGGTGAATTAACCTCTTTAGCACGACGCTACCTGAGCGCGCCCCACGTCAACACCTGTAAAAGTCGCATTTCCCATGAAAGTACTAGCTGCTCAAGGATCGATAACTTTATCTTCCCTTGGACGAATTCCACGATCTTGAGCTTCCTGGAAAGGTCTTGACACGAGGGACAAACTGGTGTCAAACCCAGCTCGGAGCGAAACCAAAACCCCGTGCTACAGTCTGGCAAACTTCATCCACGCGCTCGACAGACTTGAGCACGGCCAAGACTAACCGAGCTCAAATATTCAGCTGCCATTTCGGTCTCCTTGCTCGTATCGAGCTCAATTTTTTTGTGAGGACTCACGGGATCCACTACCATCATTTGAATCTTGTTTCCATGGCAGCAGGTAGCGCACAAATGATCCATGATGGAAAATACGCGTTCTGCAGAGTGCGCAAAAAAATCGAGTTGTAATTTGCCGTGTCGAGTCGCATATCTCAACAACCGGTAGTCGCATCGCTTCGGCGATTGTTTCTATCGCCAGCTGAGAGTTTTCTCTTGCAGATACATGTTTCGATTGTGAGAATCGACCAAGTATTGAGTGAGTTACGATAGTTTGAACAAGTCACTATGGACTCAACACGGACCCCACGACTATGAGATGCAGGTTCACTGTACAGTGCGGATCGGCTATAGGGTTGTCGGCTATAGTAATATACCTCTTATAGTGATCGTATTCTCAAATTCATTTTCGTAAACCACCCCTTTCTATACATATCGGATCGGCTATAGTAATAATCGGCTATAGTAATATATCGGCTATAATGATACGATTTCTTTGTCAAAATGATCTTATTGCATACATTTTTCATCGGCTATAGTGATGGTCATAAGAAATTATACATCGTACATGGCGAGATCTGATCGCGGCAGCCAGGAAGCGCTGGTACAACTATGATATCCCTAGGAGGAAATAATTCGAAATGTTTGGCGTGGGCTGTGCTTGTTGTTCCGGGGCATCCTCGAGCGAGATCGGAGGCAGTAATGAGTACCAGCGCTGAAGCGCTACCGTGGTCTCCGCCGAGATGTTGGAGAAGGCATTCAGGTAACAGCGAAGACGATCAGGGACGCGGAGAAGCTTCTCCGTGAAATACGACATCACGATCGACCTGCTACTTGGAACGGTTTCAGCGGTGATGAGTCGAGCGATGGCGACCCAGACTGAGACTCTACTCCCACTAATCGATCCTGTAGATATTGTTATGTCGATTGAATGTGTTGAAGTGTTTCTCTTCCAAAAGAACACATTTGTTGAGCACAGGAACTCCATGAAAACTCATGTCAAAAAGTCACGAAGTTTTTGTTTCCGCACGAACTAGCTCTGCACTGCGCGTATTGCACAGTCATATGCACAGCACGCGTCTGCACGCTGCACTGATTCAAATGACACCATACACGCATTTGTCAGGCATACCTAAGTATGCATATCGCCTATAGTAATATATCGCCTATAGTGATATTTTCACGAAAATCAAACACCAACGCTATAGCCGATCCGTACTGTACAGTGTACAGCGCGCGTCGTACTAGTACGACGGCCGTGGGGCATGCAACTCATGTGCGTCGTACTAGTACGACGCTCGCGCTAAAGGGGTTAATCACACTACACATCAGCAATTGGAATTTCCTTTCCGTTGCTAGCTGCATAGACCTTTTTTCCTGTGCTCCGTGTCTGCTGCTCTGGTGCCCATCACCTTTTCGCTGTGCCTGGAAGCGCTTTGCTAATGGTACTGGTGCTCGTCTGTGTCTGTCTGTCTGTCTGTCCACTTTCTCCTTTCCTTGCAGATCTGGTATGCCCGTGTACAGTAGCTTCATCAAGCTCATGAACAGACCGGATCACTTCATTGTCCAGATGGTAAGATACTCACACCGTGTGTTTGCTAGTACTGTACAGTGTAAAGTGATGTCGGGCACCGAAGAATGAACGGGCTTGAAATGTACCATGTCAGGGATACTAGTACTAGTACCCGTTTGTACATGGTGGCTCAGCTATACCCTATTTCCCTGATCATCAATCGCACTCGATTGTACGATAGAGAGTTTCCGCATAACGTAGTTACGTTACAAAATAGTAGAAAACGTAGTCGATCTACGGAAAGTCTTACGTACACTCGATAGAAGGTCGTACCCCCTTCTTTGCCTTTGAGGGCTTCTGTTAAAGTGTGTGACTGACATTCAGGGAAATACGTTATAGGCAGTTCTGCATGAAAGCCACTAACAGCCTAGGCTACGGTTCTGCCCCCCCCCCCCCCCCCCCCCCCTGTTCTTTGGCACCAGGCAGTACTGTAGCCTGCGGGTATGTTGTGCACTTCTGCTATTCTGGAACGCACTGGCAACGCCTTGCTACAGTCCATTCATTGGAAACTGGCACCCTAACTTTTTGGTGTCTCTGTCGCATAGTTGTAGATATCGTGAAAACAACAGTACATCCTGCATTGTGTGACCCGTGCAATTACTCCTTGCCACATTTGAGGCCAGAAAAGTCCAAGAACAGGGAAATAGAAATTCAGCCAGGTTTTTACAAAATTAGGACAGGTATCCCATGGCAAAATGTATGGAGAAGCAGATCCAAAACCCAGATTTTTGAGATTTAAAGTGGGTTTTTGATCCTCAATTCGGCCCAAATCCGACTTTCAAAAGCCAGCGGGCCAGTTTCCGATGAATGGACTGTAGGCACCAGTTCCGCCTTGCCGTTTACAGTACTCTCGTTTTCCGAAGAACTAGGGGGTCAGCCTCGTAGCCTAGACCGTTCTTATTTTCACGTACTACAGTCTATGCACAGTCGAGTCACTGTGTATACATCGGTATGCTGTGCTTGGTGAAATTCCAGGCTGGTCGTTCCCGACAGTACTGTACGCCAGCATGTTGCCTACATCAATATGATCGTCTTCATGAATTTGTTTTTCCTGCGTCTTCTTGGTTGTTGTGTGTGCTCCTGCAGTCGAGTCGTCTTGTATCGTTCTTGGTGCTGCACTCTCGTCACCTGATGTCGGCTGAGGACCAGCGCTGGTACCTGCATTGGGTTGTGCAGCAGCTTACTACACCGGTAGGTACACCACTCACTGGCCTTCATTATCGCTTCTGGTGCGTTTGATTGGCGCACTCCGTTTTCCGAATTCCCCGTAGTGACCCAGGAATAGCCACACACATACACACCTGCATTGGGTAGTGCTGCAGCTTACTTCACCGGTAGGTACACCACTGCCCATCATTCTCACTTCTGGTGTGTTTGATTGGCGGCCAGTTCTAACACAGAAATAGCTGGCTTCCCCACTTTGAGTATCTTCTTTGGTATGTGCATTCATTTGGGTTATGCTACCGGAACACGGATACGGTTACGTTTCCGAATCCGAAAGAGCTCGAGTTTTCTATTCTGCAGCATTATTGTAACTTCATTTGGTTCCATTTTGTTTGCTATTTTCATTTCAGAACAACGTCTATGTGACGTGCGTAGCTAGTGCACTGCAGAGGTTGATGCGTGTCGAGGCATACCGTCTTGGATACATGCGTGTGCACGGAATCAAGCCGTAAGTTAATTAAAACCATCGCAGTCAGCAAGGGGGGGGGGGGGGGGGGGGTTATTGTGTGGACAAGGATACAGGCGTGCATTGTGAAGTGTTTATTCTAGTAGAGAAGAGGTGATTGTGTTTTGCGGTCCTGCTCTCACACGCAAGTGTTGGCGTGCATGTACATAGTCGATTGGTCTTGGTATCTCATAGAACATATTGTTATCATTCACTTTGTCAGCCAGCATAAAGCACTGTCATTCTAGCATTGACCGACTAATTGTTGGTTTTGCTTTGAGAATGACAGTCGTCATGTCATGGCTATAGAATTCTTCAGTTCTTTCGGGTGAGCAGCTTGACAACCTACCCATGAGAGACTTGCTCAATTAGAATTGTGACATTCCTAGGCTGTTCCATATGCTGGCACTACATGCAGTGAATATGTCAGTATGCGACCACACATGTTGCAAACATGCTACTATTTCTCACTTCCTTGTGCCTGAAGAAGAGGCTTGAACGTTAAGATCCACGAATTCGGGTCTCGGCAGTCGGGCATACACACACTTAGTGTACAACAGTACGCAGGTGTCATACTTTAGATGATATGTGCAGTCTTACTTTGTTGTTGTCGTGGTTGTTGTTGTTGTTGTTGTTGTTGTTGTTGTTGTTGTTGTTGTTGTTGTTGTTGTTGTTGTTCTTGTTCTTGTTCTTGTTCTTGTTGTTGTCGTCGTTGTTCTTGTTGTTGTCGTCGTTGTCGTCGTTGTCGTCGTTGTCGTTGTTGTTGTTGTTGTTGTTGTTGCTGAGATCATGCTTTTTTTGTTTTCTGTCTGATGACAGGTTGCTGGATGTGCTGGCCAGTCGGAATACTGGCTTTCAGATGCAGTACCAGCTGATCTTCTGCTTGTGGCTGATGGCCTACAGCTCCACCGTGGCCACTGCGGTCATCGAGTAAGTCCTCACGGCATACCCCACTCTTTCTACTGTGAAGAGGTTGTAGCGACTTCAGCGATGCTCAAGGAATGGACCCATTGCGCAATGACGTAAAAACACCCTTCACAGCCAAATATGGAATGCATGAGTAATGCTTGTGAGTATGCTGGGATCAGGAGTGCACTGTTCAACACCCCATGGCCCAGACGACCCCCCCCCCCCCCCCTCAGGTGGCTTGGTTCGGTGTTTATGGTACAAATTACGTCATTGCGCAATGGGTCTATTGTGTGTTGCTCCGTATGTGTGTGCTCGCGCTTGTCCTGCCGACTTGATTCTCGCTTGGTGAACTCGCGTCTAGTCATCCGAATTAGTCCCGCTGGATTTTAGAACCCTGATTTTGGCCAAGCTCAGGCTCATAAACCTGGCTTTTGTAAAAAGCGAAGGTCCCTGGTTAGAGTCCTGGTAGTGACAGTCAATTTTTTCTTCAGACTTTTCCCTTTTGCATCGTACCCTCAAACCAATGAATAATATAAAATAGGAGAACATGCTAGGTCTTGTACATGCAGTGCAGTTGCAGTTGTGTGTGTGTGTGTCACTGATGTTACTGCTGTTCCAGTATGTCATGTACATGAACTGTGTGTACCTCACTCTCTCGTCCGCAGGCTCAACGCTATCCCAGTTCTTGCCGATGCCCTCAAGGGATCCGGAAAGGAGAAGGTCACGAGAATCATTCTGGCCGCGCTGCGCGTAAGTCCCGACAACGTCTGCCGTGTTCAGCCCAGCATGGAAGCTGATTGCTTGCCTATGTCTTTCACACGATCATAGTTGCTTTGACCTGGATTGGCGGTGCACGTTAGGTTTATCTTTTGAGCCAGTGTTGAATTTCAAGCCGGCGCCTGGCATGGCCGGGAGAGAAAAACAAAACTACTCTGCTGGCCAGTGAGATGCATGCAAGCAATGGGGCACCCGTCATGTGACCTGAATCAAACAGGCTTTGGTATCCTCTGTAGGTGTGCAGTCCTGCTCAGTTCACTTCGTTTTATCTGCCTGTGCATGTGTGTTATTCTGCGCCTATGCCTCCCACCATGGCAGAACCTGCTGGAGAAGCCCGCTGATAAGCAGGTAGTTCACGTCGCCGCCACCGCTATGATCTCATGCAAAGTGCCAACCGTAAGTGTTTGTTTGTTTTTACTTCAAAAGTATTTTTACTTCACCAGCATCTACGCAGTATCTTCATAAGCTTTTCCCTTCTCGTCTACGCGTATGGCTCGACGGCTCTCGCTGAAAGACGAAGAAGTGCTGCTGCCAATGTCAGTACATGTACATGTAGTACCCTCTATGCCAGCTGCATACAGTGTGCAGTTTTCAGTGTGCCAATGTCCGCCTTCAGTGACACAGTGAGACAGCCCTGTTTTGAACTACTGCTATTGTGGATATTGAAATACGTTGAGAAATCAAACGGCCACGGGGCGCTGGCCTTGCAGCCGTGAGCACTGCTGGTCCATTTTGGCAGCGTGAACTACATTGGGTGTGTACACCCTATGGCAGTAAGGGCGCCGGCCCCGGTCATCCCATCGGATTTCGATGTCCACAGCAGTAGTACGCATTTCATCTACTTCAAAGTACCTTGTGTGAATATTGAGACGTCGGTAATAACCTTTTTTTCTGCTGCTGCTGCTGCTGCTGCTGCTGCTGCTGTTGTTTTGAATGCTCTCTCTCTCTCTCTCTCTCTCTCTCTCTCTCTCTCTCTCTCTCTCTCTCTCTCTCTCTCTCTCTCTCTCTCTCTCTCTCTCTCTCTCTCTCTCTCTCTCTCTCTCACTGTAGGTGATTGCTGTGTTGGCTAACAAGCAGTGGCAGGATGAGGATATTCGGGTAAGTTTCTCCTGATAGGCCACCAGTGGCACCATTTCTGGTACCGGTATCTAGTTTCTCCTTTGGGGAAATTTGCCACGGTACATGTACGCTGTATGTTTCAGTTCATGAATCCCAACGCCCTTCTGTAAATTGGGTAGGAGTAGTAGTATTTATTATTTTAACAGGGGAACCATACAGGTGTCATCTTATTACAGGGAACCCTATGAAAGATTGACACAATTGTACAAACTCTGAGCGAGAGGTAGCGGTACGGCAGGCAGCAGGTAAAGCATTCCAGCGATTAGCAGCGAGAAAGGATATGGTGTTAAGGCCATGCCTAGAACGCGCGACGGGAAGTGCGAGCACATGGCTAACTTGACTGCGTGTCTGCCGGTCAGTGTGGCTGGGTAATTGTTTTGGTGCGCAAAGTTGTAGCACCTCCCAAGCCAGCCAGCCCGCCCCCCACAAACACCTTTTTTGTTGCAACATCTTTTGGCGACCAGAATCTCCAGCCCAATAACAGTAGAGTGAATTCAGATCCGAAGAATGTTTAGGAGGGACTAGCAAACTTTAGCAAAAGCACTCCTTTCACACTAAAATCGCTGAGAATAGAGCATCGCAAATGTTGCTTGTTTTGCAGCATACCGTACTGCTTTGTGTTAAACTGATTTTCTTTCTCGTGTGCACATGTCTTTCCAGGATGACGTAGAGAGCCTGCAGGAGAAACTCGAGGAGTACCTTCTCGATCTTAGGTATGTTCCGCTCTTCTCCTAATATAGACCTTGTAACAAAAGTGCATTGTAACACATCCACCACAGTGTTTGAAAGTGATGAAGTCAGAAGTCGGCATCTAACAGCAAAATAATATCGATTTTTTGGATCCTCTCTGGCCACAGCGAAGTACAATATGTGGTGAGGGGACACCTCCGGTCGCACGCAGGTGTGATTTCTCTCTGTAGCAGGAGTGGGGGGTCCCTGACCGGAAAGGCCCTGTCCAGTCACTCCCAGCGAACATGTCACTATGCTGTGAAGAAATAAACACATGAGTATGGATTCTTCTGTCTCTCCTCTCACCCAAGCCATTCAGCGTACGCGAAGCTGTGGACAAAATCAGTCTGACTGGCTCTTGCTCAAGTCAAACATTTTATTTTAGGCCCATTTGCTCTTGAAATGTTTGTTGAATGTGGTATGACTGTTGTGTTGTGTTGTTCCTGCTCTTGTAGTTCATTTGATGAGTACCTGTCTGAGGTCCGCTCTGGACGTCTTCAGTGGACCCCCGTGCACAAATCTGACAAGTTCTGGGTGAGTTGTCTGCAGTGTGTGGTGGTTGTGTGTCAATTAACTCTTTTCTTGAACAACGGACATCGGAACCCAACCAGAACAGGTGTCTAGTAGCTGCTGAATTGGAACGAAGGCTGCTTTCTTTCTAGTATCTTTTTTGGTGTTGCCACAACTGTGTATGTATTGGGCCAGGTATTTATAACATGCTGTCTGTCTGTTTGTCTGTATGTATGTCTGTATGGTGGCCGTGTATGCCTGCATCATATTGCAGAGAGAAAATGCTCAGCGACTGAATGAGAAGAATCACGAAGTGCTGAAGTAAGTCATCCATCAACACAGAAACATGCAACTCTGCTTTGGTCTGGTTGCTCTTTCTTCTCTTTTGTTTGTTCCACTAGCATGGTCATAATTTGACCATGGCCTTTCTTGACTAAATTTGTCGGAAATTATCAACCCTTCAAGAATGTAACCAAAGGTCTGCGTTTCTGCGTTTTGTTGAATTGTCGTTTTCCAGGATCCTGACTCAGTTGCTGCAGGAGTCACAAGACAGCACCGTGCTGCAGGTCGCAGCGCACGACTTTGGCGAGTATGTGCGACACTACCCGAGAGGAAAGAAGTAAGTCCAGTGGTGTGTGTGTGTGTGTGTGTGTGTCTCTCTCTCTCTCTCTCTCTCTCTCTCTCTCTCTCTCTCTCTCTCTCTCTCTCTCTCTCTCCCTCCCCCCCCTCCATATATCTATCTCTATCTTCTTTCTCACTTTACAGTATCCATAATCTGCACCCAAAAAATGGAGCAGAACTGACTCTATTTATATCCATCCAAGGTACTTTTCACCCCAGGTCCTTTTTCCATTGTTATGTTTTACTGTTTGCCACCATGTTGAGGTAGAGTACTGTACGTGTATTGGACCAGGCATGAAACCCCTATTACCGTATTATCTCTAATATAAGCACGGTCCTTTATTTTTTCAATGTACCTCCGCCCCGTGCTATTAATGGAGACGTTCCTTTATTGGAGACTGTTCCATTATTATTTCAACCTCATTTCAGAGGCATGTTGCCATGCCAAATTTATATGTCAGACACACACATTTCAGGGGGTTTTCGCCGGTACAGATAATGAATTTACACAGTGTGCTTATAATGGAGACTGAGCACTTTATTTTTTGAATGCCGCCCCAAGGTGTTCTATTATTGGAGACGTGCTATTATTGGAGACTGTGCTTATATTAGAGATAATACGGTACTTTGTTTCAGAGTTTACTCTTCTTCATGACTTGACACGTTTCCTCTGTTATCTTGCATTGCTATTGGGAATCCATGTTGAAGCTGGATGCTATTGTGTGACTAGAATTGTTGCTGTTGCTGCTGCTGCTGTTTGTGCGTGTGTGTGAACGTGTGTACGTGTGTGTGTGTCTGTGTGTACGTGTACGTGTGTGTATAGGGTACTGGACAGTCTGGGTGGCAAGCAGCTTATCATGGGACTGATGAATCACGCTGATGGGCAAGTGCGCTACGAAGCTCTTGTAGCCGTGCAGAAGATGATGGTACAGAACTGGTAAGTTTGCCGCCAGTGTGTGTGTGTGTGTGTGTGCGCGCGTGTGTGTGTGTGTGTGTGTGTGTGTGTGTGCGCGTGCGTGCGTGTGTGTGTGTGTGTGTGTGTGTGTGTGTGTGTGTGTGTGACAGAGTGTGTCCCATATGGTGCAGTGGTATGTGCAGCGATTTCCAATCGATAGGTTGCGGGTTCGATTCCCGACGATTATGGTCACACGCGTCTTTCTTCTCTTTCTCAGACTCTTCCTGACTTTTCTTTCATTCTCCTGGGTGGTTACCAACAGCCAGTGCATGCCGGAGTATGTGGTGTGATGTGTGTGCGGGAAAAAAATAAAAAAGACCAAAAAGTAGGGATTCACTGGCCAGAAAAAAGCCACTTCATAGCTGTGTAGTGTAGACCAGGCTGAATAGTGGCGGTCAATTCTTCAGCCTTGCAAGCTGTTGAATGGTGCAATCCCAGCACAAGTTGCTATGGCTTCTGCTGTAGCATCGCTATCATCGCCTCCGGCGATGGGCATCCAATGGTGTGACAGAGACAGAGACAGAGACAGAGACAGAGACAGAGAGAGAGAGAGAGAGAGAGAGAGAGAGAGAGAGAGAGAGAGAGAGAGAGAGAGAGAGAGAGAGAGAGAGAGAGAGAGAGAGAGAGAGAGAGAGAGAGAGAGACACAGAGAGACACAGAGAGACACAGAGAGACACAGAGAGACAGAGACAGAGAGATTTGCATGCGTGCTTGCACCTTGGTGTGCTTTTGTTCATCTGCTCACATGTATTTCATGTGCCGCTTTGTTAACATGATCCCTTTTCAACCCATTTGTTGTTTACAGGGAGTTCCTCGGTCGCCAGTTGAAGACAGACTAGACCCTGGCAACACCGTACGTAGTAGTGGCAAATGTTTCGCTTTCTTCCCGGCATTGTTGCTCGCTTGCTCTTTGGCCGGCAATAGTAGTTACAGGCTGGCTGTGTCCGCCTTGAAAATTTGGAAACTTTCATCAACACCCCACCCCCTCCATCTCTCTCTCTCTCTCTCTCTCTCTCTCTCTCTCTCTCTCTCTCTCTCTCTCTCTCTCTCTCTCTCTCTCTCTCTCTCTCTCTTCCTCTCTCTCTTTATTTCTCCAGCCTCCATAGCCTCTCTAGCCCATTAGGTGTTTTTTTTTTACAGATTCGACTACACATGTAAATTGCGCATATGGAACTTTTTATACGCATTGAATTCATTGTTCTTTTTCTTTTTTTTGCTGATAATTAAATTTGTACAAAGCGCTATATTTATGTATCGTATTTGTCACGATTACTTTTATATTTTTTGTTCTGGTGTGTTCCGCTGTGTGTATGTATGCGTGGGATTTGTCTCTTGCTCACCAAGACGAGTAGACCTGGAAAGATCTGTTAATACCCATAGCCTGTTGTTGTACTCTATGGTTTGGTTTGGTTTAGCTATGGTGCAGCGGAGGCCGCCAATGTACGAAATTTGCTAGTGGCTCCCGCGTCCGTTCCGCACAAGCGGGTAACTTTGTTGCAAACATCGCACTCTGTTTACACACACACATGCACACGTACCGTTGATCCGCCCCCACGCCATGTCGCTTCCCAGCTGGGTTTTCGGTAGGGGGCGGGAATTAGATCAAGGCTGTCAAGTGCGGTACGATGTACAACAACGTGGAGGATCAGACTCAATGTGCTGGATTGTGCACATTTTGATCCTGGATTGGCAAGTATTGTGTACAGCAGTGCATGCGTCGGTTCAACATCGTATTTCGTTGTATACGCCGAAGTCGCTTCACAAGGAGAAAATCGACAGGGGGTGGGAATTAGAGAGGGGGCGGATCAACGGTACTTTACGGTATGTGTAAGGGTGGGGGGGGGGGGGTACGGGCGGGGTCCTTCTACCCTTCCAAGTGGTATTACACTCGGACGTCTCTTATCTGGGCACTGCCCGTATCTCAGATTTGCCCGTCTCAGAATAACTCATCTACCATTTTTGAAGAAGTTTATTTGGCACGCAGTGCACATGTTCAGGTTACAGAAAGAATCCATTGATAAAAATGTGTGGATTTCAAAGGTTGGCAGGGACAAATAAGCACTTGCGCATACGAAAAAGTTCAAATCCCCCAAATTCGAAACATTTTTGCCATGGGAACTCAAGCTTAAGGTGCCCGGTAGAGAGACGTGCCTGTATCTAAGGTGTCCGCATAACCGTCGACGTTTGAGTGTACTAGAGTGGTTCTGTTGACATGCGGGTTTTACCGCATGTACCGTGCATGTACTGGCTGCATAAGCGCAAGTAAAATATAGCCAGGTGCATGGCACACTCTCAGTCCTGGGATCCCAGTATGTCTTACTGCACGTAAACAGATCATTATGACTATGTATGCACACACAACCCCAGCAGACGGATCAAGCCAGTACAGTCAGACCTCGCATAACCTGATAACTGCACACATCCGTTTTCCACAAAAGAGGCGATATAGGCGATAGGCGAGGGAACCGGATAATCGAACACACATACTGTATGTAAGCATGGCACATGCTAGCAGTGTCTGGTCCAGCGCCGGGTGAGCCGGGTAATCCACCCGGTTGGGCGGCGCTTGGACCAGGTTGAAAATATAGTACCGGGTCACCTGTGACCCGGTTGGTACTTTACACTTTCCGGAACTTTGACAGGACTGACTACATGGCTTGTATGTGTCAGATTATCCGACTCAGATACTTCTTCTTCTTTCGTAATTAATTTTTCTAATTCCTGTCCTCTCTTTTCTAAATGCGACTTATCCATTCGCCTTTATATCATAGGGCCTTGTTCCCGTTTATTGTCCGAATTAAAATAAACCAACCAATCAGTTAAAGCATGTGACTCGGCTGGTGAGACAGCGCCAGGTACATGAGTGCCCGGCTCCGACCCGGTTGAAATGGTTGCGCCAGGTACACGTGTACCCGGCTGCCCTACAATCCTAGAGCATACACTGGCTAGCTGTACATTTGTAACCAACTATTTTCTTCTGGATGGCGAGGGATCCGGATAAACGAGGACCGGATCAGCAAGGTCTGACTGTATTCTGAATGGGTACAGCTCTCTTCGCCTATGCTGCACACGCACACTCAGTCTCACAACACACCTACCGGAACCAAGGGAATAACTGGTATGAGTGTGCACAAACTCATCTAGACTTAATACTCATCAGGGAATACTCGTATACAGTTGTTGCATATTTAGAAGTCTGTACACCCTAAGCTCATCAAGTGTCACCATACCCAATCCACACCATGCACACGGCCAAGCTAACATTCTCGTGACGCAAGCATGCACATGTGCACCAAGGTTTGCAACCGTCAACAGCTGACCGAGGGAAGTGTGACCACAAGACTACAAATGGCCGAACATGAGGATCGACGGTGGCATTTCAAGACTGCACACAAAGATGCGGCAGCGACACACAGGCCGAGAACACGAGTCTGAACAATTGAAAGAAAGAAAAAAACGAGTCCACAAAGGACGAAACAGTTCCGTTCGCAGATCGAGAAACATCTAAATATAAAATTATTCCGTTTACAGTGTTCAACCAGTATTGGCCACTCAACCAGCCTTATCAAGCTATACCAGTACGAGTCTACTCCTAGCTTTCAGGTCTACTTGTACATATGTATACACACACACCAGCTAGGGCTGTGACTGGCGAGTGTGGTTCACGCATACTGCACGGTACGCTCATCCACGAGCGCCCGTCACATCTCAGTACGCACCGATACGTCCAGAACCAATCCAACACATCGGTCTCAATCGGTCATCCGTGCAACCATACTGCCGGCTTTGTAACACAGCGTAGATTGCATGGCTTATCACTCTGCCCGCTTCAGTGCCTGTGTCCGTCCAGGCGGCGGGGCGTCGTCAAAGTAGCGACTCAGGTATGCCTTCTTGCGTAGCTGTATGGGGGCGCGCTGTCCCTCCAGCAACTGTGAGCACATGTATGCACATGTAAGCAAGGGCACACACGCACACACGCACACATGCACACACGCACGCGCATGCACACACACCATGTACCATGTACTGAGTATACGCCCGTTGCAAGAGAAAAAACGCAAATCTGCAAATGCACTGGATGTGCACCCACAGGTTTTCTCTTATAGCAACGATAGCAGACAAGATCTGAATGAGACAGATCAAGACTTGCGCCAGATAACTGTCTAATCTACACAACTGGCGAAGCCATGTGAACACACACACACACACACACACACACACACACACACACACACACACACACACACACACACACACAAACGCACGCACACACGTACAAACGCACGTACACACACGCACGCACGCACACAAACACATACACACACACACACACGAGCAGAAGGAAAGATGCAGCATGGTTATCCAGTGCGAAGGGCATATGCTTGCAGTAGGCCTGTTTTCGGAGTGGGAAATGGCTAGGCTACTGGAGAGAGAGAAAGAGAGAGAGAGAGAGAGAGAGAGAGAGTGTGTGTGTGTGTGTGTGTGCGCGTGTGTGTCGCGGTGTGTGTGTGTGTGTGTGTGTGTGTGTGTGTGGGTGCATGTGTGTAGGTGTGAGGGCGATGGGGGTGTAGGCATAATATACACACAGGCAACTTGAGGCAAGCAAGCATGCAGATATGCTTCCTGATATACATAATAATAAATATTATGACTTACCGTCAGAACATCCTGATTCTCTTCAAGATGCTCGCCGTAAAATGCTTGCAAGTAACTGTATGGCAGAAAGCAGATACATAGCGACACACAGGCCGACATCAAACCCACAACCAATCTACGGTCAACTTCGCTGATAACGGATGCGGATATAACGACAATTCGCGAATAGCGGCAGAATTTCCATGCCCAGAGCAAAGTCCCATCCAAGTGTAATACATATACGGTAATGAGACTTCAGGTATAAGGACACTTCGCGAATATGGACACTTTTCGCTAACCAACAAGTTCCCTGAAAACCCAACGCTAACCAGCAAAAAATCCTGAAAACTAAAGTTCGAATATGTACCTGAAAGTACTTCCTCCTAACCTAAAACGGGGCATGTTTTGATTACCATCATGCCGACTAGAGATTTGTGCACCCTAGGTTTGAGCATCTTAGCTTGTTCTTACTGACCTGCCCCTATAGGCTTCTAATACGTCGGGTCTGTAAGAGTAGCCATGGCGGATGTATGGCTGGTGTGTCTGCAGGAACAGGAAAACAGAAATGTATGCACACACACACACGCACACACATCAGTGAGAGCAGAAACGGTTTGGTATGGCATTCTCTATTTGACTTCGTCAAGCAAACATGCAGTGATGCCTTCTCATCCGCCAAGGGCTGGCTCTCAGAGCATGATGACAGGGTGCTGGTACAGGACAGATTTATACACTCTTTTAGCAAAGTAATGAAGTACAATCGTCATGTACATCATATGCTGTCGTGGACATGGAAATCCGGTCGCACGTCTAGCGGCCCCAGGGTGCTGGCCATGCAGCCGTGGGTAAGCGGCAGTGCACACATGCATTTATGCGCATGCAGCGCACTGGTCGCATCGGATCAACATGTGCACTGCATGCAACGTTCTGTACGCGCTGAAGGCGCCGGCCCCGGGTCATTCGATCGAATTTCCATGTCCACGACAGTACGTACTGCTTGTACATGTTCACTGCCAAAACAGACTAGTCACGTGGGTCTCCTCGGGAGAGGGGAAAGATACTCAAAAGGAACCTTGGAAAGATGACTCAATTGGCTGTTGAACCGCCCAACGGCCGACCCCCCCCCCCCCCCCCGAAATCCCCCGACTCTGGGTGGACTTGGAAATGATCCCACTCATTAACCCAAAATTTACCATATTGCGTTGACTGGGTCCAGCAGTGGGCAGGAGTCGTTCAGCCTCTACCTTCAGCACGCGCGGTCCGCCAAACGTGTGATGGTAGAGCGGCCTGCGGTCACGCTCCACGTCGTGTTCGTAGTGTCCGGCACTGGAATAGAATTCACACAGCACAACACAGGGCAGGAAGGGCTTAGTGATATCCATTTGTTTTATCGTGTTTTCCGGAGTAACGTTATAAGCCACACGGGAGTATACACACCGCATCCAGGTTTTTGTCACACAATACCGGGCCGTGAATACTCTGTACATCACGGCTCATTTGACCATCACAATATAAGTCGCACCGACTTTTTTTGGGTGCATTACGAGTGCTTTAAGTTCAGCGTATACATGCACAGTCAACTTGGCTAATACCGACTGTGGATATAACGACAATTTGCGCATAGCGACAGCATTTCCATGCCCACAGCAAAGTCCCATCTACCAGTATAATGACACTTCGCGAATAAGGACACTTTTCTGATGCCCCGCTGAGTGTCGTTATACGCAAAGTTGACTGTACTCCGGAAATACGGTAGGTAGATCGGATAGCATGGCGATCATGACACGTTGACCACCATGCACTCTGTCATGCTACACACAATGTCACATCTTGAAAAATCAGTGCTGCATGTGGAGTCTTCAGACCATTAGTGCACATGTGCAAAACCTCAGCAGGAAGAGAGAAAGCCAGACACTCTAGTTGTTACGCTTTGTTCGGACATGTTGCATGGTCAAGAATTATGGTCGACGCTTCCTATAGTCTTTTAAGACCAATGGTACATCTCTGGTTGGAAGCAACGGTATGTATGGGAGGAATGGTATACAGTGAAGCCTGTCAAGGCCACCACTCGGAAGACCACTGAAACCAGGACCAAGGGATACTATTTCCAGTTAAATGCCCTTGGATAAGGAGACCACCTGGTAACAGAGACCAGGTTTTCAAAGTTCCTTGAGCGGTCGTCTTAGACAGGTTTCGCTGTAGTTGGGAGGAATTATCGGGTAGGGTTGGGAGGACAACGGCTGAACCCAATCTTCGACGTATAGGAGGCTGATTTGGACTATAGCTCACACATGAACTTCAGAAGACATTATTTTCAGCCCAGCGGAGCCGCCAGACCGGATGTTATGACTGAGATGCCAGCAGCCTGCCTCACAAGCTGATCTCTGCCATCCTACACTTACCCAGGTGTTTGTCGACTCTGTAATGTTGCAAATGACCAGTGGGCAAAGTAGCGATGGTGGTGGTGACGGTAGTGATGGTGGGAATTCATCACCATGCCAGGCACGCAAGAACACACACACATAAAAACAGAACAGACAAGTCGTTTAGAGTACGCTGTATGTATCTAAGCCACACAGGTACATTCAAGTGCACAAGTACTGGGTATCACAGCACGGCATGCCCAACTCTGCCATGCTAATCTGCAATATTATTGAGGAGGAAAAGGAAACTATTACAAACACACACACACACACACACACATATTCCTCTCCTCCCACTAGGATTAGCAACCCACTCTCTCTCTCTCTCTCACCTTGGGAATGACTCCAGGGAATCTTGCACTTGACGCTACCCCGCTGTGAAACGGCTTGTAGGCAGTTTTACTACTCCAGTCCTTCTGTGACACATGCTCACATGGTGCTGGGGCTTCCAGGTAGCTCTGTGTGAAGAGAGACGACGACGACGACAACAACAGCAGCAACAACAAGAACAACAGCAGCAGCAGCAGCAACAGAAGAAACGGTGGCGGTGGCAACAGCATCAACATTGTGTGAGAGAGCCAGAGGGCGTTAGGTTAAGGTTGCCACGTGACGCGGCGTGCTGTCCCAGAACTCAATGCAGATGTGAACAGTGAGACTTGCCAGGCATGGTTACTCATGCACATTGCAGGCGCGTAGCACCGCTGTTTGAGGTGGTCCGGCGGGAGGGGTGTCGGGGTCGGGGTCCCCCGGGGAAAATTTGAGATTAGGGTGCAAAATCCTGCATTCTATGCACTTTGGGCATTGTGTTAAAAAAGTGGGTCAGACCGGCCGGACCGGCTGCTACGTCTCTGCATGGTCACATCGACTGGAATACAGTAGCGGCCGTCCCCCGTTCACAACACTCGCGCATACACACATGCACACACACACACACACACACACACACATACACCCCCCCCCCCCACACACATGCACCCCCCCCCCCCCCACACACACACATGTGTACACCCTGGAGTGCATGCACGGCGGTTCAACACTGTGTGTATCGACGAGTAGGTCCAGCAGCCACTGGTCACGGTCCAAGATTACCAAAAGCAATGACGCTATTACAGTGAGTAGACGCTACTACTGCAGACGTTGAAATCCGTTGAGAAGTCAAGCGACCACCGGTCGCTGACCTAGTAGTCGGTAACACTCAGGGGCATCGGACGCCATACAATCTTTTCATTTTCTTTCTTCTGTTTTCTTTTTCAACTTAATCCTCCCTACCCGATCTCCCTTTAGTGCGTCCATGGAGCTATGAGGCCGAGACCTCTTGTCGGCTGAGCTTAATGGGCGCCGCCACCACACTCCATTATTCACCCCAGTGTCCGGAGATATGTGGATTTTATAGAGAAAAAAAACACGGTACGGTCACTACGGTATTGACCATACCGCCTTTTGCCCCAGGTACCCCGTGAATCAATAAAATACACCGTCATCTGGGCCCTAAATTTCCAAAATGTTCCGCTGGCCGTACCCCACTAAAAATACCTTCCAACGCCCCCCTGGCACTGCTGGTGCTGGTCCAGTTTAGCAGTGTTACAGTGCGTGAACTACAGGCAGTGCGTGTGCGCGCTACGGCAATAAGGGCGCCGGCCCCGGTCATCCCAACAGATTTCAATGCCCAGAACAGTGCTTTTAGGTGCCAAACTCACCGCCTTATTCTTGTCAAAGCGGTCCGCCGTTCGTCCACCCATCACCGTGCCTTTGCTGGTCTCCACGTGACTCTCCAAACCGTGTAGCAGACTGGTTTGCTGCACGGGACACATGCAACACAGCAACACAGCAACACAGGGGTTACAATAGAAAGTATAAAAGACAGTGGAATGTGTGTAGGTGCGGGAGGGTGTGTGAGTGTGTGTGTGTGTGTGTGTGTGTGTGTGTGTGTGTGTGTTCGTGCGTGTGTGTGTGTGTGTGGCAAGTACAACATTACACCTTCGAGCAGCCGAGACCGTTGGTTGGTTCCAGGGTTCATGTACTTTCTACTTGAAGTATACATACCTGTTAACCATGGACTGTTTCTGGCTAGATCAACTCTTGTGTAATCACTGGTGCTAGTGAAGCTTATATCAGATCCACTCTGATTTAGCCACCCACACTAGTAGCAAGTATTACCTTCACTGGGGGCAGGGGTAACTGCAGTTGGATCCCGGGACGGATACCCTGATGCCGTCAATCCGTTTTCTGCACCTTGTCCTCACCCACTTACTGAGGTGTGCTGAGCCCATAACGGTGGGATCATTTTCAAGTCCACCCAGAGTTTTGGGGATTTCAGGGGGTGTCGGCCGTTGGGCGGTTCAATAGCCAGTTGAGTCATCTTTCCAAGATTCCTTTTGAGTCTCTCTCCCCTCTCCTGGGGAGACCCACGTGACCAGTTCTGGCAGTGAGCAACAAGTACAAGTGTGTGTGTGTGTGTGTGTGTGTGTGTGTGTGTGTGTGTGTGTGTGTGTGTGTGTGTGTGTGTGTGTGTGTGTGTGTGTGTGTGTGTGTAGGGGGTGTACATGTGTGTGTGTGGGGGGGGGGGGGGGGTGTACACATGTGTGTGTGTGGGGGGGGGGGGGGGGTGCATGTATGTATGCGCGAGTGTGGTGAACGGGGGACGGGCCCGTCATGATCAGAAAATTCCAATCATATGAAAATTCAGCCCTTAATTTGTACCACTGCACAGCCCAGTGTTCGTCCGTCTTCACGGGACCAGGGTTGAAAGGAGTTAACAAACTTTTTTACTTCAGGATGATTTTTAATTCCAGAGTGTAGATCTCTTCATATCAGGTGCACGGCTGAATTACCCAGGGGGGGGGGGGGGGGACAGGCCGACCTCCTTGCATACTTGCATACCCGATTTAGCCATCCACTTACATCTTCAGTGTCGTACCTAGCCGGTCCAATGCCGGGGTTCTCTAACCCGGGCGGCATTACAGCCTGACCGAACCGATGATCCGGTACGTACAGCGGGAACATCAGACGGTGTGACTTAGTGCCTATGGGTGCACACAGCAACAGACACACAAGACACAGTAATAAACACCACACACAATAATCCACACAACACGCAGCAGTACACCCTGCACATACCAATGCACACACCACACAACAACAAAAATGTATTCCCGTAGGCCATAGCTATGCAAACAGACGTTACTTCAGTAACGTCTGGCGCTGGCCAGGTCCCACACAGCATTTATAATACACGCCACAGACCACAGCTTCCAGAACAGACAAAAGCTTACACAGAATGCAGAATCTTACAAAACACACAGAGCAGTTTACTGAACACACAGCAACAACTACTAGTCGGACAAATGCACTGTAGGAGCACCCAACCCAGGGTACACACACAGCAAACCAGCTGTTACACAACGAGTGGCTCTTCTTCACCAGTCAGCACAGTACAAACGTGCACATCCGCAACTCCCGAATCGTGTACAGTGTACGTGCTCAAAAACGAGGGTCTCCTCTTCGCCAGTCATGACAGTACATACACGTACACCCGGAATTCCCAAATCTTTAACAAAACTCAGAAATAGTGGCTCCTCTACACCACTGGGGACAGCAATTGACCAGTACAGTAAAACCTGTGACTAACGACCACCCCGTGCGGCCAGAGAAAGCGGTCTTTAGTGGCAGGTGGTCCTTAGTTAGAGGTTTGCACAGCACAGCCATTACATAATTTTAGTTATGAACGTGAGACCGTTCGTGCCTGGCGAAGTGGTCTTTAGCACCAGGCTGGTCGCTAGTCACGGTGGTCTTTAGCTACAGGTTTTACTGTAGTACCAGGCTGGTCGCTAGTCATGGTGGTCTTTAGCTACAGGTTTTACTGTAGTACCATGCTGGTCGCTAGTCACGGTGGTCTTTAGCTACAGGTTTTACTGTAGTACCAGGCTGGTCGCTAGTCATGGTGGTCTTTAGCTACAGGTTTTACTGTAGTACCAGGCTGGTCGCTAGTCACGGTGGTCTTTAGTTACAGGTTTTACTGTAGTACCAGGCTGGTCGCTAGTCACGGTGGTCTTTAGCTACAGGTTTTGCTGTAGTACCAGGCTGGTCGCTAGTCATGGTGGTCTTTAGTTACAGGTTTTACTGTAGTACCAGGCTGGTCGCTAGTCACGGTGGTCTTTAGCTACAGGTTTTGCTGTAGTACCAGGCTGGTTGCTAGTCATGGTGGTCTTTAGCTACAGGTTTTACTGTAGTACCAGGCTGGTCGCTAGTCCCAGTGGTCTTTAGTTACAGGTTTTACTGTAGTACCAGGCTGGTCGCTAGTCACGGTGGTCTTTAGCTACAGGTTTTACTGTATTACAGTACATCTGGCATTCCTACATTGTGTATATATGTTGTACGTGATTGTGATTTGCTCACCGAACGAGACGCGATCCTCCGGCGCTTCCTCGGCGAAGTCGAACAGCTTGTCGGCACGCGACTTGCTGGCTTCGAGGGCAGCGCGTTCGCGCTTCTGCCGTCCGAACTCGAGCCGTTCCACCTTGGCGCGGGGCTTCTCTATGACTAGGCGCGCCATGACGACTGTGCCGATGTGAGCAGAGGTGGTGCTGTTGCAAACAAACCAAGCAAGCACAAGATGTATTAAAGTTAGCGACGTGAGGCTTGATCATTTGTAGGACGGGCTGGGGACGGGGGTTTCATCGCAATTCTTGGATGGGTTTTACATAAATGTACTGTGTTTGCTGGAGTATTGGACATGCCGTAGTACCTACTTGAAGTAGTATTGATTGCCATAGAACGAGGTTTCTGCTTTTTGAAAGGCTAGCGGTGTTCATACTGTCAAACTTCCTGCGTCATTGTTCTCACTCTGTGCTTGTACAATCATACACACACGCGCACACACAAGCACACACGCATGCACACACCCGCGCCCGCGCACACACACACACCACCACTAACCAAGCACACGCATGCACCCCCCCCCCCCCCCCACACACACACACACATTCTCTCCTCTCCCCGCTCTCTTTCAGCTGTTCTTTTCAAACAGCAGTGTGTATTCTGTCCCATGGATTGTGCTTGCAATGGGTTTTCTCCATGCAACAACTGCAGTTACTGGCATGTACGGTTTTTATCCTGACAAACCCTGGGTCGAGCAAATGACATCTGGCAAAGTCTAATCTGATAAAAGCCGTTCCCGGAGTAGTTCTGTAACCGTCAATGGCATGATGCATGATAGCGCAGTACCCCACCGGTTTCAAAACGATGGAATGAAAAAAAGCCGGCTGTGCATTGCTCAGACCATACCCTATGACTACATAGCTATCTAGACATGCATGGAAACCTTCAGAAAGAAGCTATTACTTGGGCCATCCGAATTTTCAGAATGGACTGGTTTGTACTGGCATGGGCATGTAACCTACCTCTTGTGCGTGTGACAATTTCCCCTAGCGTTCGGTGCACGATTCCCTCAATCGCTTGTCTCGAGTCCCGCTGGCACGGTTCCCTGACGGTGAGTTCGACCTTGTCTTTCAACTTATCCGCAACTGTACGACCTAGATCTTCTTGGGAACTGACTTCGTTACACGACTCGCTGTGACTACTATCAGCTGAGACGACTCACGAGGTGTCGAGTTGAACGCGCCCTATCACGCCTGCATGCTGTGAGGTGCTGTCGCTCGCAGCTACTTTGTGCGGACGTTCGACCCAGCAGACATACCGTCCGTACACTGGCAATACGAGAGAGGATTTGTAGATAAACCGGCAAGCGCTCAGCTATCACCAGGTCCAGGGCGTTAGATCTAGCTATAGAGCGCCTGTACAGTCAGTAGTGCAGGACCAGCACAAGCACTGCCTGCTTCTGTCACGTTGATTTCATCACAAACTCACAACAATATTTTTCTCTTGGCTTGACCTCATTTGCAAGCTCACGACGGGAGTGACGGATCTTTGTGGCTGGTCAGTTTGGCGATGAAGCTAGCAGCACAGCTCGGACAATGGTCACTCACTGACGGTGTCCTGACTCGTTTGCGGGTGAATGAAGTGATGTTGTAACAACGAAGGGGCTTTGCTAAAGTCGTTTGTTTCTCTATTTCTTTCTACTCCCAAACTCAAACTTCAAGTAAAGAGATTTCAGCTTGGGCCTGGGCTCACCCAACATGTATATTGCTGTCACTTCTTTTCAAGTGCATCCACTGACCACTGCTGACTCAGACTGTCTATTGAGTATTGTGTATGTCAGACTCAGTACTAGGTGAGGGACCAGGTGCCCTGTCCACTGTCTGTGTCACCTCAGCCTGGCTGTAGTGTTATGTGCTGTAGTGTAGGCGTAGTGCGGTGCTTGCGATGTTGTCAGGGACAACGTCGCTAGCAACGCGGTATGACACCATGACGACAAAAAGCTCGAGGGATGGTCCGTGTGGACGATGCATGGATGCATTGATGATCAATAGGCGCAGGCGCAGCGTGACCTTGTACGACAACAAAGCCTTTAGGTAGGGACTTCAGACCATTTTTTCAAATCGGTTTTCTGTGGCTTATGTTCTGCTTTTTGGATAGGTTAGAGCTTCCTGAGGAGTTTGGTCTTTAGTTTTTCTAAATCAGACAAAGGAAACTAAAGTTACAAGCAAAATAGTCATCGCCTATCGCCGGATTTGTCCGACAAACATCCCACACATTTGAGATCAGAGAGATATGTCAAACTGAGAGAACCCACTTTCCTTGGCAACGCATAGCAACCGCACACCAGATCCAAAAACAATCTTGATTCTCCGCATGAAATACATGTAACTGAATAGTATGGTTTACAATGTAGTGGTTAGTAACAGGAGACATTGATAATACAGATAGCTTCGAACTGTTGGCGTGGTTGGTGTCAAGAAAAAGAATGATCACGGAAGAGGCACTGACTAAGCTCAACATGTACATGTACAGGACATTGTATTGGCTGGGGAAATCGTAGCACGCACATCATCATCAGCATAGATACAGCAAATAGCAACAAGAGTATACAGCACATCTCCCAGTTCGGCACTCTTTCAGCTATTCTTGCGGAGCTCAACCAGATCGAGCATAACAGCATTGGAGACAAGAATCGAGGCATGGACCGAAACAGCCAAGAGCAATTCAATTTGTACATCAGCATCATTTAGCGCAGGATACTTCTCGCTGCTTTCCATACTGTGACTATGGCGGCGCTGCACGGCAAAGTACAAAGAGGAATAATGCAAGAAATAGGCCTTCTGGAAGGTGAAAACAATACTGATTACCTGCTATCTAGACTAATTCGAGGTCGTAGAATACGAATATCACATTTTCAAGAAGGGGACCCGGACGGATCATATGGTTTCTCACCTTTCCCTTCCATCCGCATACGTATCTCCGTCAAAAATGAACGTAACAGCCCCATTCTTGCTGGTCCCAAACGAAGGCAAGCTCCAACAAGACGAACCGAAACTTTCTACAACTGTACAAGACTTCCTTCATTTCGAAAAACGGTTCCACATTTTCTTTACACGACTTGACATATGACCATCACACGATTTGTGCAGGCGTCGATTTGCACGCTTTTGGGCCAAGAAGTCACGTGGTCTGAAGTCCCTACTTTAGGCTAGCTGTTAGTCCGTGAACCAAATCTCAGAATCGGCTGTTTTAGCATCGACCGTTGCACCCAGAGAGGGACAAATCGTCCTTCAGCACACCGCTTCAGGATGGTATCCTGAAGCGATTTCTCCTTGTTGCCAATGTTGGACAATTCGAAACTGATCCAGGGAGGTCACAGAAGACGCCAAACATCCAACTTTGCTCACTGACAGCAGCGGCCATTTTCGCCTTCTTCACTAATCAAGTCTTGATTTTTTGCGCTTGTTCACGGATTCTCATTTTTTAAAGCCATGATTCCACGAGTGCACATAACGCGGAACACGGCTGTTAGCTGCACTTGGATCGCGGCAACTTAGTTTTCTGCACGTGAACCATGAAAAATCAATGCATGCTCATGCATAACCAGTCAGCTGGCCTGCTCGCCCACGCATTTGACAGGTAACAATTCCATCAAATTTGAGATATCGCTTCGTTCTAAGTCTCAAAACAGTTCTAAAGTCACCAAACCACGCTGGTAATCGATGGCTATTCAATGTTAACATCTTCAGGAAGACTTCAGCCGTTTCCCGAGAGTTTTGGCATCGTTGCCGTTGTGTTTTACGGTGTTCTTCTTCCTCCTGTCTGGAGCTGCAATTGCATCCTGGAATTATTTGAAAGGTATTTCGTGCGGGCTGTGGGGGGTTCCAACAGGCATAAACTGACATCGCTATAGGATAACTGGTAACTTTCACCCTTCAAGGAGGTAGAGCAATGAGAATTTTTTTGTGGCGGTCGTCCAATTTTTGTGGCGGTCGTGGCTGTATTTGTGCACTTCCAAGGCTTTCATTCTGCCTGATACTACTCTCTACTGTATGGGGATCGTTGTTTAGGCACATGTAGCTGTCTTATTTGGTAGATCTGCTGTTTTCAATCACTTGGGACACTTTGTCTAGCCTATTTGTCTTTCGTTCGTGCCATCTATCAGTTTTGTGGGGTGCCTTGGCCTGTATTTGTGAAGTTCTCGAGTAAAGACCCTAATTCTTGACTGGAGTCACGACTTGAATTGTATTTGCTGGGCGAGCCCTCGTTCACGCAGTTGTCCTTATCGTAATAGTCAATATCTGCTTGCTGGACGGACTAGCGCCTAGAATAGGGATGACCAAATGGTCCAAGTGTGTACTAGTACACGATTATTGTTTCCATCATCGTGAAATGAGCGTTGTGGAATTGCAGTCGTCTGCCTTTGGCACTGAGGACACGAGGAGAGTTGATTGTTACTTCTGCTCAGCAATGAAGCGATCATCAGCTCTCTTTGTTCTAATTATTGAGAGGACATACCGGCATCGATATCAAGTAAAGACTAGGCAAACCTCGCCAACCTCCAAAGAGATTCGAAGATATTTTCTCAAAATGCGAAGACGATCTTTGTGAGTTTGTGACTTGCATTTGCGTGCATACATGAGCAAGTCACGGACCACGGCACGTGCGCGGTTACCATGCCATCTCGAACCGACGCCATCTTTCTAAGTTGCCGCTTCTTGACAGCCGTGGGAAACCAGTGCACAAAACTAGATTTGAATATTTTTACCGCTGAGAATCCGCGATATTCATGTTAAAACAAAATGGCGTCACGATTTATTGAAAGTGGTATAGTTGGTGGTACGAGTGTTCAAAACCATTAATTTTGAACTTCATACTGTTCGTCTTCTTTTTGACATGCTCTCTTTCCATCGTCCTTAGCTTTTGTTTGTTGAGAGCTGTTTTGGCTTTCTCCTATACCTCTGGGGGATGCCAAGTGATGGTTTTGAGAGGCTGGTGATGGCTGTGAGCGAGAGTTTGCCGATCGGCGTCGTCCTCGCTATAGCGATGAAAATACTAGTTACTGCGCACCTGGCGGATATCACAACACGTCGGAGCATCCAGGAGCAAAGGAATCTTGGGTTTTCACTGGAATCTAGTTCCTCCAGCATCGTGTAGCGCACCGTCGGTGAATGGCGGTCCAGAAAGGTCGAACCTGGTCTTCTGCAGCATCTCGCAGTCCTGCGAGGCACACTGAATACGCCTGTCATATACTCTACAAATAAAAATCACGAAGTAGTGGACTTTACAGTGATGAGTCTATCCTGTATGCTGCAAAAGACGCAGGAAATGTGACTGGTGTCTGTACACTCACTGACTGGACGCCAACACCCCAGTCTTCTCCTGCAGGATCTGTTTGACATTGACATTATGCAGTAGGTCGGCATTGACCTGGTTTGGCAGCTATCGTAATACAGTCGTCCCTCTTTAATCCGGCACTTTATAAACCAGCACCCTCTATAAACCAGCATAATTTTCATTAGCAAAAATGTCCTCTTCATGCACATAGCAACAGTAGATCAAATCTGTTAATCCAGCACCTTCCCTAATCCAGCAGAATTCTCTAGCACGAATGGTGCCGGATTATAGAGGGACCACTGTAGTATCTGCCTGGTTGGATGTAGCAGGATGGTGTTTGCTCGTCGTCCAGTCCGGAATTTTCTTGTAACTCACGGTGGAGTACGCGCAGGGTTTGTGATCATCCCTGTTCACTTCAATATTATCAAACACAACGTTCCCTTTGTCACTCATCTTATCCTGAGCACTGAATTTGCTGACAATATTGCACCACACTTGTCACAACCTACCGCCACTGCTGGCGGTGGCGACTGGTTCGTCAATGGCGGTGACCAGGCTGACTGACTAGCTTCGAGACAGCGGCCTCGTTGTCAACCCCGCGGCAGCCTAAAGGTTGATTTTATCGATCCAGCCTCAGCGCCATGTTGACGATGCCCTAGTGACTGTGTGTCATGGATTGCCTTGCCATCAGCGGTCATTGCCGTCCACCTTGGTGCAGCCCTCAACAACTGGCTCAGCCCATGGGAGTCTCAAGTGGACAAAGTTGTTGCCAAAGTAGCTCAGAAGATTGGTGCATCGTGGTGTAGGTGAGCACTTAACTAGGACTTCCCAGCGCCTATTTGTCCAGGCTGCGATACTATGTGACATGCTGTACTGCACATTCTTTTCAGCACTGCAAGGCCGGCAGCTGGACCGACTGCAGGGGCCGCGCACATGCAGGCCGCCTGTTGCCAGTGCAGCATTCTGGAACGTTCCTTCCTTCTGAGATCCGTGGAATAATAACTTTCTTTGCTTCAAAGCAAATTGCTTACCTTTCTGTTGTGCTCCCAGTGTCCTTACAACAATAACCTACAGCAATGTTTTATTTTCCTTTCCATTCCCCAACCAATGAATACTACAATGTCGATTCTATTTCTGAATACCTTAGAGTGTGCCCGCGCACGCACGTGTGTGTGTGTATACCTCACTCGCCACTCGAAGTTCTGTTCCCCATCACTGGAACACTGCCTGTTCTTTCAGGACCTGCCATCATCTGCGGATGGGCATTCAATGATTGTATTGTGTGTGTGTTTCATTCAGAATCAGATCCGCTATCGTTGCTATAACTAAGAGAAAATCTGTGGGTTCACATCCAGTGCATTTGTAGATTTGCGTGCTTTTCTTGCCACGGGCGCATACATGG